CTATAGAGGTCAGTGAGGTGTTGAAACTTTGTGTGTATGCTTAAAATAATGTTACCTTTCTGTAAAAAAAATCAGTGGGCTATTGTGATATATATTAACATTTGAGAGAGATTGGGTAAATTTTATTACAGGTATAATAATTATGACTATGCCTGTTATGTCAGGTTAACAAGGATTCCTCAATACGCTTTAACAGAAACTTATTATAACATGAAAAAAGGAAAAAGACGTTTTTATATTTTTCATCATTCGTCCACTTTTTTAACACTATTATCACAGGATAAATTGTAATCATGGAAGAGTAAAAATTATATACGAGGCAAAATTGACAACAAACTCATAATTTATTGGTCATATCCATACTTCGATGTATTTGTAATATGATTTAATGTTTGCATTAAAACAAAAACGAGTGTATCAGTAACCAAAGACTCGACCATGAGTCAATCAACTGAAATAACTTTCGCATCCAATAAGAAAGACGAGATGAATCAATAAACTCCTTTATAAATTTGATGTATGACCTTATGCCTGCACTGTGCAGTTTAATATTTAAAAACATTTGACACATTAAATTTATCGAATGAAATATAGATGTTAATTGTAATCACTTCACTAATTAACTCGTTCACCTTTTAACCACACGTACCCACTCGGCGATGACATAATCCTCCTGATAAAGCATATAAAACGTAAACAGTAAAGCACAGTAAACTAAAATTTGACACCTAACGAACACTGCAATGCAATAAGATCTATAAATAATCTAATACAATATCTTTGCGAACCCACCTGTTGAGCCACCGGCTCCAAAATGCTTTCGATAATTTTCGTGTGAAACACCGGCATCTTCGAAATTTTACAGCACTAATTTTACATTAATGAACACAAAAAACACAAATCTCACAAAAATAATACTAACACAAAACAAAAAATAACACAACCAAACTTCGCGAGACACAAAAAAATACTGAATCAAAAATTAAAGTGAAGTACCCATAGATGATACACTTATATAGAGATAGATAGGCCACTCTAAATCAAAAGTTAGAGTAGTAGCAGGTCCTCGGGTAACAGATGGCGTTAATTAGCATTTTGATTTCAGGCATACCGACCATAGATGGCGCTCTCAGCTTTGTATTATATTTCTTTTTATTTATTATAATTCAGTAAATTATCAAAAATGCTTCAAAACTATGTAAAATGATATTTAAACACCAATTTTAAAATATGATGCAACATAGTCTGTGAGCATTTCTAATAATTTACTGATTTAGCAACAGTTTCGGATTAAATGAAACGATTTGATTGTTTTAATTATTTAATTAACAATATTCTCAACTACATACAATGTGATTTATTTATTTTTTCTTATTTAAATATGACATTCGCTTGCCTTTGCTTTTATATGGTCATTCCTATCAAAAACTGTAACCTTTCCATTTATCTTTTTTACCCCTAAACTGCGTACAATCAATTTATTATATAAATTATAAATGAAGTCAACCAATTCTACTTTGTTTCTTAAAAGTTATACATTAAGTATATAATGTATAACTTTTAGGAAACAAAGTAGTTATACATGAAGTAAAAACTTTGTACCACTTCTTACGAAAATTGCGGGGATAGAGGTGTCTGAATTTTCCCACACTTATTAATATTGTATATACATTTTTTTAATTATGCACCAAAAAAGTTGAATAAAAAAACATTACATACACCATGTATAATTAAATATGGTTGATTTCGACCACTGGTCGACCACTAGCAATACAAAAATTGATGATTTGATTTCTTAAACACTTCGAGTTTGGATTATCTCGAAGACATGCAACAATCAAGTAATATAAATTATTCATTTAATTTATAAATTCCTCACGTGGATGAAATAATGACTTTTTTGTGTAATCAATTTCAAAATTAAATGAATCATAATCATCACCATATCTACATAAATATTTATAGATTATAAATAAATAAATATAAAATATTTATAGATTCAAAACAATTTTTAAAGATTTTAGATTGAGATTTTTTAATCACTCACATATTTTTTCTATTCGCCATGTAATATAGAATTATAATTTTTAATTTCTGCTATAACATTTAACAAGCGATCAATGTTAAATGCAAAATCAACAGTGAAAACATCATTATGATGATGAACAATAAAATATGATTGTAATTGCATAACTGTATTATAATTTTCTCAATTGGCACCTGCTGTAATTGGCTGCATTATAATCATAAACAATCAACGGTTTAAATGCATTCTTAAATTGATTACAATTAGGACTGATATTTTGGACACCATTGCATCTCTAACTACTAAAATTTTTTTACAGCCTGATTAAAATTTCCAGCTATTAAATAACAATGGTGAACTCCAATACAGATTTTTATTTCAAATAAAATTTATACGTCTTTAAGTAAAAAATGTAATATTGAGAAATTTAAATTTTTTATAGTGCTAATCTCTGCACTTTATTAAACATTAAAATTTAAAGATTAAAGATTATACATTAAAATTAAAAAACAAATTAAATTAAAATTAAAATTAGTAGAAAAAAGTAAAGTTTATCGAAGTTTTGGGAAAGTATATTCGAAATTGTTTGTATGCTGCAAAGGATATAATAATGTATGCGCCAAGCATTGCTTCAAATGCAAAAAAATATTGTAGATATATGTCGGTATGGTAATCAGCTGTTTAGCTCAGTGGCTTAAGCGTCAGGGCGCGAATCCCGAAGATGTGGGTTCGAGTCCCTCAACGGTTAAAAAGTGAAATATTTTTTTCAACAAATTTTAATATATTATTTAATTCAGCTATAGATTACGATTTTGTTTGTGAAAAAAATTTGTTTAGTGGAGGCCGAGAATATGAGATATTTAGTATTGAACTTTTCTAGGTTATTACTGTCACTTCCATATTTTGTATCTATTTGTTAGGACACAAGTATTTAACAGACAAGGGGAAAATAATGAATATGTATTGTGTATAATACTGAAGAAAGGTTATATACAATACATCTTTATAGACCTTAGAGAGATTGTATTACAATGCATTTTGTTAATTTTTTTTCGAAACAAAAAATACCTTTTACTGTGTCAAAACGCTACTCTATAGTAGGAGTGATGCGTATTTATCATAACAGGTAATTTTAACACGTAAGATAATAGACTGTACCTGTAAGAAACAAACTTAAATAACAACACTTATTTCATAATTTAAATAACAGGAACTCCTGTTCCATAACAAGCAGTCACAAGCTTTTCTTAATATCTGCTTACGGCTGTTACTTTAGTTAGAACAATATAAAAATTGTTACATCCTGTCACAGTTGTTACTGAAAGTGGTCATATATATATATATTTGTTAGAAAGAAAAGTACAGACGTTACCATAAAGCTACAATTTGTTACTAATCGTTATACAATTGTCACAAAATAGTATGAAATAACAGACTGTTATTTTGTAAAAGGTATGTGTCACTGTAACTGTTGAATAATAAAGACGGCCTTAACAGGAACTCGATTTTACCTAGTATAAAGCACAAAATTTTCAGTGCTGCCATAACATTTCTTTATGCACTTGCTATTTTACAACAAGATTTTATAACGGAACGGAACTGAATAAAAGACTATATAATAAACAAACAAAAATCAAAATTTATTACATTCTATTCAGGAAAACTCATAGGTTTTAAAATTATATTTTAAGAAAGTGATCCAATGGTTATATATCTACCATAAGGATTAAAAGTTTTAGAAGGAAGCACAAAAGTAAAAAAAAGGAAAAAAATAAGTGTGTGTACTTAAGTATACGAGTTAGAGGTTATACTTCTTTGGCTTAATAAGATAAAAAATTTTCAAAAATTTATCTTTCGCCTTATTATACGTTTGTAGAAAAAATGACAACAATAACAATAGAAAAAAAGGTATTTAATACATTGAAAATTTTATAATAATGCATTTTCTAGTTTAATAAAGTTTATTTAAATATAACAAAATAAATATCGTGAATTCAGTTGTCAGTTCTCACGCAAACATACCTAGATGTCTAGCTAACTTAAAGGTGTCGGTTTTTTCGTGACGGTGTGCGCGCGCGTCATAAAAATTTACTCTCATAATTTTTCCCTAATGCGCCAAAAGAAGTTTAACTTTAATAAAAAATAAACATCAATCAATTCTATTAAGTATTCTAAATAATTATATTTTATTTCCGGCCTTAATTAAAACGATAACTCGATAAAATGTACATATTTTTTTTAATATTCTTGGTTTATAGACGACTTAAATTTAATCAGATAAGATTGCACCATTGTTCTTTCGATGTGTTAATTAGTTACTAAATTTCCATATTAAGTTAGAAGTTTTGATATTATCAACCTAATTTTTACTTGAAGGAGGAGTGTCGTCTCATATTTTATTCGCCCATAACCATAAAAGATAGTTCTTTTATGTACTAATTTTTGAATAATTAAATAATTAATTTAATTTCAAAAGTAAAGTAAAGTAACAGTCTATACATATCCCACTGCTGGGCATAGGCCTCCTCTATACAGTGGGTATCAGGGCATAGTCCACTGTGGATTGGCGGACTTCACATATTTTCGAAATATACTTTTTGTTATTATTTCGAAAATATGCAGGTTTCCTCACGATGTTTTCCTTCACCGTGGAGCACGTGATAAGTCAGCACTTAAAGTTAAAAACTTCATTGGTGCCGGCACCGGGGATCGAACTCAGGTTGCTCGAGTACATTGAATTAAAGGCGAGCACCCGGACACAGAGCTATCACGGCTCTATTTTTCTAATTTAATTTAATAGACTCTAAAATAGGTAGTAAATCATTCCGCAGTTGGAAGTGAGGGGAATTATTTTTAATAGGTCTTTTATATACCTTTGACTCTTCTTTATAGGAATGACCATTAAAAGATTTGATTCATTTAGCTTATCAAAAATTTGTAGAAAATATGCTGCTCCCTCTCACTGCGGGTATTATCCATGTCCTGAAAAATAAAAATGTCTATTATTTTTGTGTTAAGATTACATAGAAGAGGTGAAGGGGTAGACAGATATGTATACTATAGTACCCTATACCTTTCGCCTTTATGTTGTACATAAGTCACCCATGTAATAAAGTAATAGTAGTACCGTATATATTTATTATAAAAGTAGCTGACTAGGCAAACGTTGTTTTGCCATATAAATTATTTGTAGGGTAGAAAAAAATGTTTGGGGTGGACCACCTTTAACATTTAGGGGGATGAAAAATAGATGACTCCGTGGCGCATTTGGCTTCGGCGTCGGGGGTCGTGGGTTCGATTCCCGCATGGGACAACTATTTGTGTGACCCACAGATAGTTGTTTCGTATCTGAGTGTTCCGCGTGAAATTTATGTTTGTAAAACGTCCTTACAACAGGGTAATGTTATCCTAAAGTAAGGGCAATGTTTTAAAAAAAAAATGTCCGACTCTCCACCACTGCGGAATATCTTGACGACGTCAATGTCCCATACACACGTTAATACTGTTGATACTCATGTAGGCTAAAGTAACATTTATACCTGTCCTATTATATTGTAAACTAATCGTTTTAAAAAAAAGGGCAACTGTTGAGTTTCTTGCCGGTTTCTTCTCAACAGAAACTGCTTCCCGAACCGGTGGTAACTTACTTACGAACGTATTAATTTTTATGTAAAATGTTGAAATGTCATAAGAACGCGCAAGCGTCTATGTGAATAAAGACATTTTGAATTTGAATAGATAGAGCAACAAGGCAGTTGAAAAAAAAAAAGATGTAGTGAATTCGTATTTATATTCGTATTACATAGAAAGAGTGAATTTATATTGGTGGTATGTGGTGGGTATGCATGACTAAAGGAATGAACACGCTCGTTCAGGGAAGCACCACGGCCTCAAAAAAGACCGGTGTGAAGTGGACGTATTATACTTTATTATTTTATCCGACGAGTGAGGTAACCAGGGCTTACTTTTTTTAAAGTTAGCAACGCATGCATCCCTTCTGGTGTTGCAAATGTCGATGGGTGGTGGTAATAACGTAACATCAGGCGAAGTACCTGTTTGCTTACTAACTTTTCACATAAAGTACAAAAAAAACGTTATTTACTTAATTAATATATTTTATTGATACAAATGATAAAAAACATATATCATTTTTTTCTTTTTAAAGTTAACTCACCAATTGGTAAGACTATTGATTTTGGTTCTATTCCAAATTGTGATGTACCAGATGTGGATGGTTGTTCTGCAAAATTTGCGCTTAGTAGCTCTTAATTTAGGGCATTTTGAGCTAAAGCTGTAAATGAAAAAATATTCTATTGCTCCATTTTTTAAATGTGGTATGACCACTTTTCAGCTTGGGCAAAGGTGTTGCACGAATGGGCAGGTCAGTCCGGATTAGCAGATGACCTCAAAGATCAGCTTCAAGTGGAAGTGTCATACTTCTGCGTTTCATCTGGTTAGTGGGGTAGACGGGGCTCACTTGATTAAACAACAAAGGTAACAACACGGGTGTCGCAAAATTTCATAGGCGGCGGTTATCACTTAACATCAGGAGAACAACCGGCTGGCTTGCCACCTTCTTACACATAAAAGAAAACCACAGAGTTTCACAAAATACAAAAGCTTTGGGCGTACCCAAGACCTCTAAATTGTTCACAGTTACTTTTTCGTTCCAGGCATATGCAATCCAAAATAAAAAAACCAAATGAAATATAAAAAATACATACTACATACACCACCTTGTCATGATCCAAAAAGATTTTAAGATAAAAGGAAAAATAAAAACTAAAAGTAGGTAATTTATTGTGAATGGTATTTAAAAAAATTACCTAAATTTAATGTGGAGATAGCATTCCTTATCAAATATAAAATAATTATCAAAATGTCTGTGGCAAAACGGAAGCGAATTGTAAATATTTCCTCACTCTTGAATTGCTCAGTCCATATTCCATTGGTGATACTTCTTAGTGTGAGGGTATGTCCACTTGGTGTGTAATAGATGTGGAGGTCCTAAAAAGTTTTTAAATTTTAAAACTAATTAATTTAATTAGGAAAAATAAAATAAATAATATTAATCAAATATAAAACTGCATAAGTAATGTCCAATATGTAACAAAAATGTATCTAAGATGCTCATGAAATGAAATTGTCTCATTATGATACAATAAACAAAATCCATAAACTGTTATTCCAAGCCATGGATATATTAACACTACCATCCCTGTATATATATGAAATTTGTAACTTTGTTAAAAATAAATTGTTTAAAACAGCAAAAAAAGTTAATAACAGGTCAAAAAGGAACCAGCATAGATTTGTGCTAAAGGATATGCCTGGATCAGTAAAATTTAGTACATATACATTTTCATATTATAGTTGTTTGATGGTGTTTTGATTTTTAATAAAATACCTAATGACATGAAAATGCTGATGACAGACATTTAAAAAAAATACTTATGGGGTTAAATGATAATAATTTTTATGATGTCAAAAATTTTTAATAAGAAAACTTGATGTTATACAAAGGTATAATAATTTTTATGACATCAAAGAATATTTCAATAACAAGACTTGACATTATATATAAAACAAATTTTGTGCTCTTTATTATAAACATGTGACATTTAATGAAGAATTTGATTAAATTTACAACTGAATTTTGTCAATTTTATATAATTAATGAAGTAAAGTAAATTTTGTTGATGATGAGATACCATTAATATTTAGCTATTTATAAATTAGATTAACATTTAGTTTATTATTTATGATATATAGTACCTCTATACTATGTTAAAAGCAAATAAATGATTATCTTACTTAAAAAATTAGCGACTGATTTATGTAATAGCTAACTTATACAGGTGAATAACATTAAACTAAATTTACCGATTTATCAACAAACAAATAAATAATCGTGATTTTGTTGAAGAGATAGTAATACATAAGTAAACTAATTTAAATATCTCACCATTGCATTGACCAAACAACAATGTATTTCAGCTGCTTTCGGCATGTTTAAAATCCAAAGTCGAAAAAATTAATTTCAAGTTCGTGTGATGAAGTACAGGTTATCAGTGAATCAAGAAAGCCAGGTAAAGTCACACTTTGGAAGATCAGAAAATTCGTAATCAAGCCCACTCGTAAGAAAAACACAAACCATGCACACAGAAAAAACTCAGAATAAAACAAAGAAAACTTAAAACGTGTACTTCCATTAATAAACATGGCTGGCTGGCCGACTGACTGACGACGTGACGACAATTATATTTCTTTCCGTTTTTAACATTGTCGCTATAAGAACAATTCATATGATTATAACTGATTTTTCTGTTATTTTAATTAGTCATTAAACTTAATCATCCTTATACAATATTTAAAAAATTTGAATTCCATAATAATTTACAAACAAAACTCGCAATTATTTGCATTACCGTAAACACTGCCCTCTTTTGGCATTCAGTTGGCAATTCACTGAAAAATTAGGGGTCCCTCGCTAATTGATGGCGTTAGTTTGTAAGAATTTTGTTAATGTATGGAAGTTTCAGAAATACCGATGGACTGAACTCGCGACTACGCTACGCTAAGAGGTTTCCAAACTAAATTCGATTTAAGTGACTTACAAATCGATGCTTTTGCGTGTTGAACGCAATAATATTAAAAATTTTATAATGCTAATCTCTGCAGATGAAATATTAAAATTTGTAAAATAAAGCCATATATATATATATATCGATTTAAAAAATACTCTAGTGTAGTTTGCTGTTATTCTGGCGGCTTTTAAAGCTTCGTCGAAAGAAGTCCGCAGGCAGACGACCCGCTGCCTCAGGAAGACATCGTAATTCGTATTGCGATGGAGCTCGAACATTAGCTCGGATCGCCATCGATTTAGCCGATATACTCAAGTAATTTTTTGGTCAACTTTTCAGGCACTATCGGAAATTTGAAAATAAGATGCTATTCTATTCGTAATAGCGTCTAGACGACTTAAAAAAATGAAGCTCTGATCGAAAAATTGTAAAGTTTATAAACTCATTACTAAAAACAAAAACCGGCCAAGTGCGAGTCAGACTCCCGCTCGAAGGGTTTATCACAAGGCTGCGTACTGTCTCTTACTCTATTTCTTTTGCATATCAATGACGTCATGTTGAAAATCAGAAACGTTAATTGCTATGCACACAATAGCACTGTAGATGACTTGTACACTGGACGTGCTAGCATTTCTCGGAAAAACGTCTACGAGAACCGGAACAGCCTTGTTAACCAAAGTCTCAGACTGAGGTTACCAAAACTTAGTCCAATTCAACCCCAAAAAGACACAAGTTTGCGCGTTAACCGCTAAAAAGTCCACATTTGTTGTAACTCTTCATTTCGAGAACACTCCCCTGTATGTCACAGATATTATTGGAATACTTGGCGTTGAAATCTCGAGTAACGTCCAGTTCCGCGGTCAATTGGAAGGTAAGAAAGACCTCAAAGAAGCTTGGTGTGCTTGGCAAAGCGAGACAGTACTTCACGTCGGCTCAACGCCTAAACCACTATAAGGTACAAATTCAGCCCCACATGGAGTACTGTTCTCATCTCCGAGCGGGAGCCCCATATTACCAGTTTCTTCCATTTGACCGCATTCAATGCCTACGTTGCAGCAGCAGCAGTACTAGCAGCTAGGTTTATCGACGACCAAAGTCTTTCCGATCGGTTTGATCCTTTGGCTTTGCGTAGAGATGTTGGATCCCTCTGCATCTTCTACCGCATTTATCACGGGGAGTGTTCCGAAGTTCCAAGGAATTGTTTGGATTGATCCCGGCGGCTGAATTTCACCATCGGACATTGCGCCAAAACCAAAAATTTCATCCACACCACCTCGATATCCAGCGTTCATCAACAGCGCTATTCTCATGGCATTTCTTGCCTCGCACAACCAGTGGAACCAGCTGTCGCAAGCGGTCTTTCCGAACCGTTACGACCTGGGAACCTTCAAGAAGAGGTATGCTCTCTTTTGTAGGTCCCCGGGTGTAGCAGGTGTTTATGCGGTAATCACGACACTTACCATCAGGTGAAGCCTGCTCTTTTGCCCGTTTTCTCCATAAAAAAAATAATCTAATCAGAGTCCGTAGATAATAAGTCAAATATCTAATAATGTGCCGGATTCGAATTTGAAAATCTTGAATGGTGGATGTGGCTAATGGGATCATTTTCAAACAGAAACGACACTTAAGGAGTGATAATAAAACTATTTATTTGAACTTAAACATTTTGAACTTATTTTAGACCGAACGTAATGATTATGAAATTTATATAAAATACAAGAGTTATGTCATATAGCTTGACATGTTACTTCTGCAAGAGATTTTTACGGAATCTATCAAATATGACAAAATTCAGTCTGAACAAATAAAACTAACATTCCAAATTTAAAGTAATTCAAACATAATACATAAATCAAATAGGTCAGAGTTGATATTAAAAGAGTATGTATAATCTGAGATTACCAATCAACAGAAAAAATATCGGTTTTGATACGATTTCGATATATTTTGTATCGATATATCGATATTTATTCGAGATCCCTAAATTCAAGTCGATGTGGTTGTGTGACATGAAAGTATGAAAGGTTGAAAGGCATGAAACTCATGAAAGTCATGAAAATAAAATTATTACTATCAAAGAGTACATGATTACTATCAATTCAATGTCATTATAATTCAAATTATTAAAAAATTTAAATAGTAAATGCTTTAAATTAAACTTTTAGACCAGATATATAAAAGTACTCATTGTTTTAGACTTTATTAAAGTAAAAACACACAGTGTAACTTTATCTCCTTAGCTATGTTTAACTATAGTAATGGATTATACATGAAAAGCGGTACGGGACAAAGAAGAGGAAACAAAATATAACAATGTCTGATTCGGACGGTTTAGAAGATTTCCTGGATTTTATAGATTTTACTCGTAGAGTACGGGAACAAGGACCTAGGCGTTATTTGCGAGATTTCGATGATCCATTTACAAAGCACAGTACTCAAGAGTTTTTTGCAAGGTATCGATTTACGCCACCTGTTGTCAAAAATTTAATTATACCTATGGTATCATCAGACCTAGTGAGAACTACTGCAAGAGGGCTTCCGTTTGCGCCCGAAGTAATGATATTAGTATCATTAAGATATTACGCCACAGGAAGTGTTAAGGTATGTGCAAATATATAAAATATCGTTTTACTGGCCACATCCATTAGTTTTTACATTTAACTTACTTTCGTAGAACCTTGGGGGTGATGTAATGGATATTTGTCAACAATCTGCATCCAGGATAGTCACCAGGATTTCATTTCTTTTAGCAAAGAAAATGAAAGATTTTGTTCACTTTCCCTCTACATCTGAAGGCATTACATTGATTAAGTATGTATTTATATTACCGAATCATTTAATTTTCTATAAATAATCTATAATTTACATTTTTTGTTTACAGACAAAAATTCCATGAAATTGCAGAGTTTCCTGATGTTGTGGGATGTTTAGACTGCACCCACATTAAAATTAAGAGCCCTGGTAGAAATTATGCAGAAGCGTATAAAAACAGAAAAGGTTGGTTTTCCATCAACGTCCAAGCAGTGGTAGGCCCTGATTTGCGGTTTTTGAATTTGGTTGCACGGTGGCCAGGAAGTACCCAAGATAACTTTATCTTTAATAGTAGCTCACTTAAAAAATCCCTTTACTGTGGTGAAATGGAAGGAATATTATTGGGTGATAGTGAGTAAGTGATGTTTAATTTTTTTTTCATATTTATAATTGTTCTTGAACCTTTTGTCCTTATGAAACAAAATCCTGAAGAAACTTTTCTATTTCAGTTATGCAGTAAGTCCAATATTAATGACACCAATTCTGTCACCAATAAATGCTGCTCAAGTTAGGTACAATAGAAGCCATGCAAAAACAAGAAGTGTAGTAAACAAAGCCTTTGGCATATGGAAGAAGAGATTTAAGTGTCTGCAGGTAATATATCACTTTTGTATTAAGGCTATCAAATAGTGATTCCCACTTGCATTCATGCCTTGATCATAATATCATGACTTATTGATTTCAGATTGGTATGGGAATAAAGCTAGAAACTGCTGTTGCAGTGATATGTGCGTGTGCCACATTGCACAATCTAGCTATAATTTCCAAGGACACCATGGAGCCATTCTTGCACTATGAAGAAGAGGAACAAGAGACAGTCCAAGTGGAATCTGAAAATATTCACAGTAGTGGCTTTGCAGCTCGAGATGCATTAGTGCATAAATTTTTTCAATAAAATTCTCTGGGTTATTACTTTTTTATTAAAATTTTAATTATATGTAAATTAACTTATGTATATATTATATTAACTTATATATACTCGATTATAATATCAAACTGTTTCTCCTGTATCTAGTAAGTTAGAACTGTGCTTTCCAAAGCTTTTTTTTAATTTCCAGCTCTAATTTTGCTGTTTCTAGACTAACTTGTGCTGCCTCTTGCTGTAGTAGAGCAGTCTTTAGCTGAAAATAATATTTTTTTTAATGCTCATTTTAAACAATAAGTACTATAGATTATTATATATTAGAACTAATAATACCTTTGCCTTTAATATCTGATTTTCTAGCTTGCTTTTAATCTGAAATGTTTTCAAACGTAGGGCAGACTCTCTACATACAAAATCATTAGTACTTCTGGACCTTCTGTTAAGTGGAAGTGGGTTTGTAATATGTTCATCTGAAACTAAATATATTAATTAATTAAAAGTACAATTATTGCTATAATATTATCTGTTGGAGGGCCTTCCGTTATTCTAAATACAACAGCCCCTTTCACGCACCTTAAACTGAGCTTTCAATTTATTCCATGTCCTCATTAAAATTATATGATCACACTGGAAATAATCCCTTTTTTATTATAACATCTAGTTAAAAATGTTTTCCAATACAAACAAAAGAAGTATTAAACTTCCCCTTTATAGATAACCCCACATTGAAGCTATCGATAAATCATTTTCTTTCCCATTATGTCTTGTAACAACTGTATTACCGTTTGTGTCCATAGATTCTGTTTGAGATGTATTGTTTTGTTCACAGACTTCTAAGAACTCTGCAGCTGAGTCAGTTTTGAATGGGAATGTGTCACTGCCACTCTCATCAATGGATATAGATATATTTCCAAGTACAACACCATCAGAATCAAAATTGTTTTTGACCTCACAACTGAGTGACGGAACAGTCTGTAATTAAAAATATTGTTTAAGATTCAGGTCATTTGTAAATAATATCTAACTCTGTAAAATAGCCGTAAAAAGTTAGTTCTCATACTTCTTCCACTGTGTTCATGTTAGATTTTTTCTGTGGAGTAGTTAGTTGAACTGGAGGGCCTCCTCCCGTTTTATTTTGACTGCTCTTATCTGCAGCACGCACCTTTCGCGTAGAAGCTTTCAAATTATCCCAGGCCCTCTTTAAAATTATATGATCTCGCTGGAAATAATACTTTTTAATTACAAATCAGGCAGGTATCACTCTACCTCTACCAACAGAAAAGCAATTAAAGCAACTGCACTTTGTAATCATTAGCCTCGCTATTAAATTCCCGCTCTATTGATAACCAGGCCTCTTTCTTTCGAGCTATTGAATTCCCGTCAGTAAGTTTACATTCAACTATATCCCTTCTTTTGTTTACAAGTCTGGTCAATAAACTTTTTTCATCAGCAGTGAAATTTGGGACTCTAGATCTTTTTAGTCTACATTCTTGCAAACTCTGAAATGGAACGTATTTCGTAACCATGGATTTGTATTAAAAACAATATTTTTTTATGTAGAAGAAAAGTTCACCATCTTATCGGAGATATGTTTACTACTTAAAAAAATATTTTATTTGACGACTTACGTCAGATCAATATGATGAATGAAGTTTGCGACAGTGTTATCAACAATACAAAGTTATACTCCTAAAGCAATTCGAAAACCCACTAAAATGACTAAATTCAAACAAAAACTTTGTAAATTGAAAATCATGATTTTTTATATTGTCAAGGTATAATGCTCTAGAAAATTAAATATAATGATTACCTTTCATTTTTTACAAAAAAAAGTACTCACTGCCTACACATGTCCCACTGCTAGGCAAAAGCCGAAGCCGAAAAGTCCCTATGTACAGAGGATATCAGAATATAGTCCACCACGCTCAATGCCGTCTTAGGCCATATCGGGGACTTAGGGCACACAATTTTGGGGCCCCGATGGAAAGTAATAAAAGTGAAGGACGAAAACATTTTTCTGCTATTATCTTATATTTTTTATTTATTCTATAAACTTATGTCGGATATATCTACGAAAAATTTCTGAAAAAAAAGTAATACCAACAGGTAAAAAGTTACTTTACTTTTGATTTAACCTAATGGACATTCATAGCAATGACTGGTGACAGACGGACAGGCAGACAGACAAACAGACTGCGGAGTCTTAGTAATAGGATTCCGGTTTGTCCTTTGGGTACGGAACCTTAAAAATTACAAATTAACGTACCCATGGGAAATAAAGAGATAAACAATACAAGGTACAGTACATGATCGCTTACAATCTTCATTTTAATAATTCTTCTGTGTGTGTGAAGACTATATTAGTCTTTCACATTTAGGAGGAGTTAGTCTAGTAGTTTCAGATATTTAAAAGTACTCTTTGGTCTAGTGAATAACTCCTAAACGGCTGGACCGATGTTGAAAATTATTAGGTGTGTTCAAATTGTGTTCGTGGTTTTGATTCACAATTCATTCCACTACAATTTTTTTTAATTATTAATTTATGTTAAATTTATTTATATATTCTTGTCAGATTTAAGAGCTGTGAACAGGACGTCTCGGGTCTGCAAGTAGAATATATAATATTTTACTTTTTCTTTTAGTTTTGTAAACGTTCAAAATACTTTACGTAAGATGTTAATTTAGACTTATTGGGCTTAAAATTTAATTATTTTATTCTAACCTACGCTGCTTTGGTCTTTCTTTAATTATATTACCAACAGTCGAACCAATTACAAATTCTCCAGATGTTATCTGTCTACAAGAGAACCTCGAAGTATTACTTTATTGGTGTAATTATAATAAAATGTCACTCAATGTTGTTAAATGTTTTTATATCCTCAATCACTCGCAATAAAATATACACTCGCAATAATGACGTCAGTTTACATCATAGTTTCAGTATATACGTCATATTACAGTATATACATCATAGTTTCGATGACTCCGTGGCGTTGTTGCCAAGGTATTGGCTTCGGCGTCGGGGGTCGGGGGTTCGATTCCCACACGGGACAACTATTTGTGTGGCCCACAGATAGTTGTTTCGCATCTGGGTGTTTGTCCGCGTGAAATTTATGTTTGTAAAATGTCCTCACAACACAGGATAACGTTATCCTAAAGTAAGGGCAAAGTTTTTAAAAAAAAAAAAAAAAAATATATGTATTATCTACGGTTTACATCTACACGCTACTTAATTAAAAATTGCACTCTGTAACGGATTTGAGAACAATTCTGGACGAAGAGTTGAAATTCAGCAATATGTTTATTGAACTTCCACTTATACTATAAATATGTTCTATTATTAAAACTTGTAGAAAAAGAGCGAAAAGATTGTCGCCGCTGTGGGAATCGAACCCACGTCATTCGCCACTCGCGGCCTGACGCTTTAGCCACTAAGCTAAAACGGCTGATTGCTACACCGACGAAAATCTTAATGCCTTTTATCTAAATTGTTTTTTAGCATTTGAAGCAATGCTTGGCGCATCCATTGTAATATCCTTGCCAACATACAAAAATTTCGAATATCGTTTTAAAACGATAACTTCGAACGAGAGAGGTCCCCTTTGCTTTTTAGAAATTTAAAGTTTTTTATAGTGGTATCTCTGCACTTGAGATTAAACATTAAAACCTATAGAAAAAGAACGAAAAGATTGTCGCCGCTGTGGGCCTGACGCTTTAGCCACTAAGCTAAACGGCTGATTGCCACACCGATGAAAATCTTAACGTCTTTCAGGTACAATGTTATTTAGCATTTGAAGCAATCACAGCGGCGACAATCTCCTCGTTCTTTTTCTATAAGTTTTAATGTTTAATCTTAAATGCAGAGATTAGCAGTATAAAATATTGAATATATATTATAGACAGCCTGCACAAAATTGCGGAGAGACAACTGTGGCAGGTGGATCTGGACTCAGTATCTTGTATTGACTGATGTTTTTGCTTTCAGTCCCGAGACTATTAAAGCTTCATCTGACCGGAACCGGTGGGCTAGCCAGAACCCACGGGTTTGGGCTCTCCGCTGTGTGTCGCCGTGGGCCGCGAATGTGCTCATGTGTGCGTTTAACTACGATATGTCATCAAAGGGCCATCGAAGTTGCGGTGCGGACCGAGACCCCTATGGCCGTCGACTGTGTTTTTAGCTAATCGGTGGCTGGGGGCGGTGAGAACCGCCCTGGAACGCGGGTGTACCTTGTGTACGCGTTGTGTAGGTCTCACCGTGCTCGGAGGCGAGGGCGAACTATTGTGTTTATTGTTACACTAGCTGTGGGTGTATCCGGCGGTGGGTCCGGCGTATCTAAGTCCCCTTCCTCGACCGGGTCGATTAGGACGTTTCGCGGGCGACGCTTGTTGAAGTTCGCGTCGGGTTGGTACTTTGCTGCGCTTACCACAAGAGGGTTAAGATGATGTTCGGCTCTATCGAAGAACCGTTTGGTCAGGTCTTTAAAATTTTCGCGAATCGTCGGGAGTCTAAAATCGCTGTGCAGATCGACGTTACGTTGATATCACTGTGCATCAGTTGCACGGCGGATGAACTTATTTTGTACTATTTGCAGCTTGTACAAGCGAGTAGGGTACGTGTGGGCGAAGGTCATGCATGCGTAGGACATAATAGGTCGTACGCAGGTCTTATATAATAATAATTTGTGCCTTAAGGGCATTTTACTTTTAGCGTTAGTTAAATTGTGTAGCCGGGTGGAGACGAACGCGGCTCTATTGCGAACTCTGGACTCAGTGCACCAGTCTTTGGAGTAAGCTTACAATGTTGAAATGATAAGGATGATGGGGCGTAATTAGGCTTGTAGTTCACTGAACTCACGAACGTTGCATTTTGTTAGCAGTATATTCAGCGTTGTTCCACGCGGAATGTTTACAAGATGAATGATTGGTTATGACCTCATACATATGATATATACGCGTATAATATAGACTTTTGTTTTGGTCACTTAAAATGCAAGTGAATATTTTTGAAAACTTTGCCAAAACGAAAGGAAGGATACATGAAAATCATCAGGGAATACAACAAGAGATAATAATAATACTTTATTGATCTAATCTATTTCATCATAATAATATCTATTAAGTCTTCATTTACACTAAAATTAGACTAAAAAGGATTTTTTTTTAATTGTAAAGGTTTTTTTTTTTATAAAAGCTTAATACAGAATGGTATATTAATAAAAATGAAAGTTATAAATCTCATACCTATTGAAATTTAAATATCTTTATCCATGGCTGACTCTTAATTATGAAGGACACCCCCAAAAGTTTCAAAGACAAATTGACTTTTAGGGAATGTTAAATTAAAAGTATTTAATTTCCGGTTTTAATAAAATAACAAAAACCCAATTTCTGCGTTAATATACAGTAGGTACTAACGAATGATCGTTTTTAATCTATTGAAACGAGACGTGCTAATATTTAAATCAGTGTTTTGGTGTGCGCTTCTGTGTTAGATATCTAATATTTACAATTGCGTTTTATAGTTTCTTGTTATTTTTATCGCGTTACGTTATTTTTACACAATATATTGTACATTTTCGTGTCGAGTTATTAAGAGGATAATTACTACTTTTTATTACATGTGAAATATAAAATTGTGATAAATCTTCATTTTTCATCTTAATTGATCAGCGATAAAATAACGACGTCGATAATTTGTTTAGTACATTTCTTCAAAATGTTTTATTAGTATCTATGTAAAAAGTATAAATTACTTATTGACGTTAAACACGTTAATAAGTAACTTACGTTAGATAGTTTAAAATACTATAATCGATTTTTATAATAATTCTTAAATATAGATAAAAAATTTGATGTTAAAATAACTCAAATGATAATTCATTTCTTTAATTTCTAATTTAATAAAAGACCCGTGAGTGAACTTATCGTTATAACTGTATAATACCTATGAAACATTTAAAGGAGTCAATTAGCTATCTCAAATTACTTTAATGACAACAATATTATTTAATTTAAACTAATATGGTGGTATACCACTGTGATATATTCTGATATAAGGTACGTTTGTATTTTTTATTTTATTTCTGTACAGCCAACAGCGGCTGTAACAATATTTATACACTTCACACTTGCTTTTATTAATATGTATAAAACTGTTTCCACCTGAACCATAGACAATAAACACTTTTACAAGTACTCAACTATGTCACATTTGATTGAAATGTTCGGACAACTAACTCCGTAGCTCAAATTCAGGCCGTGCGGCTGGCTTTTGTGTCTCTCCGTGAGAAGTTTTTGAAAAATTGGAAGTATGGCACATTCAAACAACTCGGATTCCGAACTGGCCGTGTACATTTTGCGCTGGTCCACAGATTCCTGACGTTTTGAATCGTTTCTATTGTACGTGGCGGACTTGCGTTCCTCTTTCTTGCCCGGTGATTCTGTAAGAGACAACATTAAAACAATTGTATAGCAATAGCGTATTGATTTTTTTTAACCAGAAAATGTTATTGTCTTATCCACTAAACGGTAAGCAGTGGTCTAAGGTGCTAAACACACTAGATCAGAAGATGTCTATTCATTCTTTTGTTAACAGTCAAGGGGCACTCGGTAAAACGGGCCTTCGCAAACTGTTCCACTTCTGTTGTAGTTACGCATTAAAGGCGTATAAAGAGGCGGGAGGAATTAAAGTAAGAAATTCTTGTGCACAAACATGAACAATGAGAGGCTGGCTGTCCCAATTAAAAATAGATTTTTAGATAGGCTTTCTAGCCACGAAATCTACAAGATAATGTAAACGCCAATATGTGTGAGAATAATGCGGACGACGAGAAAGAAGAACATATTTATTTATTTATGCTTCATTGCTAATTAAACAAAAGGTAACAAAGGGCGGACTTAATGCCCCAACGTATTCTCTACCAGTCAACCCAGGATGTAGTAAAAGCTTGTGGTAGGTGCATCAAGGGATGCAAAAATTACAAAATCTTATAATAGAAGGAAAAGAGAATAAGATATATGCATATAAATCTTCTTAGAAAGCTGTTGCAGCAGAAAATGGAGCCCGCTCAGTGACTTACCGCCTTTGTGTCTCGACGCGACGTTTGGGCTGCTCTTGTGGTGATCGGGCCTAATTTGGTGCACCGCTTGCGTCAGTTTGGGGGAGTCCCCGACGCCCTTCGCCCTCTTCAGCGGCTCGGCCTCCTGCTTCAGCCTCTTCGCAGGAGACTCCTGGTTCTTCGAGACCCTGATGGTGTCAGGATCGGGCTTCCAGGGTTCGGGCTCCGGTTGGGGGTCTGCTATGTGCTTCCGTGGAATGTCGTCATGCCTCCGCGGTGTGCTCTCAACTTTCTCTACCTCCTCCTGGTACGACCTCATCTGGTGGTTTTCGTTCGCGTTAAAACTGAGAAAAAACAAATAATATGGTTCGATTTGGGGATGGGCTCTAGGCAAATATTTGTGTGATCTTTAGATAATCGGTCCAACATAACTTTCTCGCTGGGAAATAATCCCTGTGTGTGCGAATTTTACCAACTTATAATCAAGTTTTTGCGAAATCTCAAACACACAGAATACTCAGCCTTGCCTAGAGCCCGATTCTGGAGCAATAGAACTTACATTTGTACATTAATCATAAATTCTGGCGCGAATATTAACGTGTTATACTTTAAGATATTACTATGAAGGTATAATTACTTACGTAGGCTGCTGATTGACGCCGTTTCGTCTGCAACTGGTGCGGAGGCGTGCTCACCGGTAGAGGATACTCGGAGCCTCGACGCTGGAAGCCATTATGATTTATTTACACGAAAACCGAGTATTTAAAGCATAAGCCCATATTAATCAAAAATACTTCCCTACCTACCTTTTTCAATAGTCGTCTTTGTCGTCATGACTCCATAGCCCAGTTGGGTTCGATTCCCATACGGGATAACTATTTGTGTGACCCACAGATAATTGTTTCCGATCTGGGTGTTTGTCTACTTGAAATTTATGTATGTAAAACGTCCTTACAACACGGGGTGATGCTACAGTAAGGGGGCAACGGTTTCAAAGGGAAGACTATATACCTTTCTAGGTCGCAGTGGTTGTTGGGACTTACGTTGACTACCTAATCCATTCCTCACAAAGTGCAATAATACCTTCGTCAATCTGTCGGACATTCTCAATGTATCGGCGTCTCTGTAGCCCTCTGGGGTACTGCCTCTAGCTGGTCCAGCTGCAAATCACAAGATAAAATGCTTTAATTCAATATAAGTCCGTGTACCTGATTCACGGCAAGTCATATAATATTTCCACTCGAAAAAGTATAATACCTCCACCGCACAATGAACTTTTTGGAAGGCTGTGGTACCCCCAAACGAGCCTGTTCTGGACACAAACATACAGCAGAAACTGCTGCGTATAATAGTAAGAATAAGTACTAGACTGTCTCCAATGCTGTAGGCTTTTACTGAGTAAGCGATTTTAGGAATAGATTAACAACAGATGGGGTGGACAAGTGGTAGACTGATTCGTAATGTGAAAGGAAAAATAATTACTGATGCCAATTTTGATTTTCATTTACTGCAATCGCTAATTACCACATCATGTCATGAGACTAGAAGAGTGTTGTGTATGTGTCGAGGGTATATAAGGCGAAAAAGATTTGGATGAACTGTCTGAAGAATGGTGTGTCAGTGAAAGGGGTGAGTATCGAGAAGACGGCTGATAGAGGAAAGTGGAAGGTCAAAGGAAGGACAAGCTATGACGAGCCCACACGACAAGACAGAAATATGAAGCTAATAATTTTTCAAATTAAAGCGGTAACCACACAAGGTGTCCTCAGTGGATCATATTGTGCGATTAGTTAACTGGTTAATGATGTGCAACTTATTGCAAAAACATTTTAAAGTTACTTAAACTTGATTTTATCACGCTATAATGCTTATATTTATAGATAATGCTTATATTAATTAGATACAACCGTCAAAAGTGTGTCTAAATGTAGGACAGTGATGCCGATAGGATTAGACCCAGATTTTCGTTTTGTATAAATAAAGATCTTGTATTAACTGATGTTTTTGCTTTCAGTCCCAAGACTATTAAAGCTTCATCTGACGCAGAACCGGTGGGCTAGCCAGAACCCACGGGTTTGGGAAAATAAAGACTTACTATGATTGATCGAAGAGTTCGAAGCTCTCCTCTCCATGCTTCTTGTATCGGGCTCTCTGAAAATTTAAACAAATCATGTTTAATAACTACTTAAAAAAACAAGATTAACTAGTTACTAATTATTTAATTTCTACGATGATTAATGTTTCAGAAACCGGGCGTAAGACAAAAGTCAGACATTTCAAATTTGGAGTAACGTAATAATTAGCAAAATAAAAGAATTTAATTTTGTTGATGATAAGATCCCAAGCCGACGGTAGCACTCAACCCTCTTCTCGAATCAAATAAGGATGTTTGTTAATTTTAATGTCTTCTGAATCGTCCTTGGGAGCAATCGGTGGCCTTTTGCATGAATGTGTGGTCTGTTAAACCAGAGTTGGGGTGGGGCGATTCGAGGTGCGCTCACAAACTGCAGACTTAATTAATCTTTTATCCTTTAGCTGTGATATACATTACTTCACGCGGTTAAAATTAAAAATGAAATTAATTTAATTAGTTTAATTTAGTGATGGCCCATTCGCGTTCAAAGTCAAATTATATTTATTCAATATACGCCTAACTTAAGCTCTTATTGAACGTCAACAAAATATCTACCACCGGTTCACTAAACTAGACCTGCACAGAAAAGAACCGGCAAGAAACTCTGCGGTCTTGTTCTTTTTGTTATATTTTTTTTAATTCAATTATACACACTTATTTAGGTATAAAATCAGCAGCAGCCAGGGGTCTTGCAAGTGCAGAGCAAGAGTCATTTCCAAACATCCTTGTCCTCAATGTATTCTTGGATATTATAGTAGGCCCTTGCCATTAAGGTAGCTTTTACAAATTGTTTGAAATTGTTTATACTTAGTTGTTTGTGGATGTCACCTATTTTATTATAAAAGTTGATGCATCTTCCAAGAAACGACTTTCTGGTTTTAGCCAATCTAAACCTCGGTACTTCCAGAGTGTCACCACGGCCCCGACCCGATGTGGATTGTTTTTTCGTACATACATGATGTTTTCAAGTAATTATAATTATAACAGATTTGAATCATTTACTAGCAAAAATACATGTTGTTGCTCCATCACAGAATCTCCAAATAAATTAAACACTCAGAACATATCTGCAGACATGGGAAGTGACTTGGTCATACAGAAAAAACGCAATCAGCCATCATATAATAAATTTGAAAATAAATTACATTCAGTTGTCAAATCATCCAATATCTCCAATAATAAACATAAAGTTATAATTGTATCGGATAATATAGGACAAGGTTTTGGTTCTTTACTTTCCAAACATGTAAATAATGTATATAATATATGTTCACCAGGTGCCAGTTTTCATAACAATATTAACAAATTATTGACATTAAATTTAAATAAGAATAGTACTATTGTACTACTTCATGGGGATAGTTCATCTGTAAGGAAACAGGAAATTGTTAATAATATGGAAATATTACTCAACTTACATTATAAAACTAAGTGCAAATTTATAATATGCTCATTTCCATATTCCTCTTTCCTTTCAGAGGAACAAAATAAATACATATATAGTCTTAACATGACTATATATAACATAACTCACCGTCATAGTGACGCTTTCTTTTATTTTGACTTAACTAATTTTATTAAATCTAGTTTTAAGGTGACAAAAAATACTTTGTATTTGCCACTATATTATAAGAAACGAATTGCTACTCTAGTAGCATATAATATACAAAACCTAGTTGTACATAGTACAACTAAGAATATTTTATTATGTAATAATCTTTTAGCAAACAATGTTAGTTTAAACTAAACATTGAGACAACGCCTAGACCACTTAAATTAAATATTGTGCATCAAAATATACAAGGCTTAGGCGGCAAAGAACCCGAAATTGAATTGTTCCTTAGGAAATTTAATATACATGTCATCTGCTTCACAGAGACATGGTTACATAAGCACTGTAATATTGTTAATATAGAAAATTATAAATTGTTAAGTTCGTTCGTAAGAGTAAATGCTATTCGCGGAGGCTCTCTTGTATTAGTTAGAACTGATATAGTCTGTAAAAATCGACAGGATATAGTGGCACACTCTGTCGAACGTTCTATTGAATTATCCTGCGTTGAGAGTCAACAGTATATTATAGTATGCGTATACCGGCCCCCCTCAGGTGATTTCGATCAGTTTGAGTGCGTAATGGATGATGTTCTTAAAAAACTATGTTGAAGTAGTAAATCATTAATAGTTGGTGGAGATTTTAATGTGGATTTATTACAAGTAACACAACTCAGTAAACGACTTTTAAATTTATTTAACTCATTTGAACTTAAAAATCTTTTTCATGAACCAACTCGTGTTACTAACTTAGAATTCAAAATTAAAATTTAGTGACTGGGCAACAGTAGGTATATACAAAAGTAGGGATTCATTGTATGAATTTATATAATTCATACAATGAATCCCTACTTTTATGATACTACTGTATGAGGCAGTGGAATCACGATCCTAACTTCCTTAATGGGTACAAACATTTTCAAAAATATTTAAAAAAGTCTGTGTTCAGGCAAAATCTATTTATATAAGAAATAGCATAATAAATTCAAACAATAGAACTAAAGCCACATGGGACATCATTACCCGTATATCTGGAAGAACCAAGATATTCAGGGAACCTATAAAACTAGTTATAGGTAATACTCCCATAATATCAGATAACGAAATTGCGAGTAGTTTCGAAAGCTATTTTTCAGACATTGCGGTTAATGTCACACGTACATTAAAATCATCTCCCGCAGACGCAATTAATGTTTTAAGAAATTATGTTACCCCTTGTCTACACATATTTAAATTTAATCACGTAGATACTTATGATATTATAAAAGTTTTGAATTATATTAATCTTAAAAATACAGAGGATTTATGGGGTATGTCCATTAAATTAATGAGCACAATAATGCCATATATTACACCACATTTGGCTTCTATTTTTAACAACTGCATAGATTCTGGAATATTTCCAGATCTTATGAAATTTAGTAAGATAATACCTGTCTACAAAAGTGGTGATAAAAATGATCCAGGCAACTATAGACCTATTTCCATATTGCCATCTCTTAGTAAAGTTTTTGAAAAGCTAATATTAAATCAACTTTTAGTTCATTTTAATGTGAACAAAATCTTTCACGATGAGCAATATGGATTCACTAAAGGCAGATCGACAACAGATGCGGGCGTCGCACTTGTCAAACATATTTATAACGCCTGGGAAAGGTCACAAGATGCAATAGGTGTCTTTTGTGACCTTTCAAAAGCCTTCGACTGCGTAGACCATAAAACTCTCCTTCAAAAGCTAGAATATTATGGCATTCGTGGCATCGCCCTCAATCTCATTGCCTCTTACCTTAGTAATAGAATTCAAAAAGTATCTATAAATGATGTTAATTCCGCTGGGTCCCAGATGAAAATGGGAGTCCCACAAGGATCAATCTTGGGCCCATTATTATTTTTAGCATATATTAATGATCTCCCCTTTTATGCCAGTGGGTTGTGTGATGTTGTACTGTTTGCTGACGATACATCGCTTATTTTTAAAGTTGACCGAAACGTATTAAATTGTGACGACGTGAATAGTGCACTTTCACACATCCTCCACTGGTTTACTATTAATAATATGGTATTAAATGCCAAAAAAACCAGATGTATTCTTTTTACCCTTCCCAGTATAAGAAGGAAAAGTTTTAGTTTAATATTAAATAACGTACCCATTAATCCAGTTGAGTCTGCTGTATTTCTGGGAATTACAGTAGATTCAAAGCTCCAGTGGAGTCCCCGTATATCATCTCTTGCCAATAGGCTGAGCTCCGCGGTTTTTGCGATTAGAAGGGTTAGGCAGCTAACAGACATCGACACTGCCAGACTTGTTTACTTTAGTTATTTTCACAGCATCTTGTCGTACGGCATTTTGTTGTGGGGGTAGTGCATCAGATATAAATTCTATATTTATTCTTCAAAAAAGAGCTGTCCGAGCAATCTACAATATCGGAGCCCGGAATTCACTCAGAGATCTTTTCAAAGAGGTTAATATACTCACTGTTGCTTCTCAATACATTTATTGTAATGTTTTGTATATACGTCATAACCTTAATTATTACCTAAAGAATAGTGACAGACATAAAATAAACACTAGAAATAAGGACAAACTTACTACGCCATTGTTTCGTCTACAAAAAGTAAATAAGTCGTTTATGGGGCAAAGTGTGCGTATGTATAATAAAATCCCACAGCCGATATTAAGTCTGCCGCTTGACCAATTTAAATGTAAAATTAAAAATCAACTGATGATTAAAGAATATTATACCATTTCGGAATATCTCGACGACGCCAATGTGTGGAGTTAATACTGTTGATACTCACGTAGGCTAGAATAAGATTATTATACCTGTATATTATATTGTACCCTGATATTTTTGAAAAAGAGCAACTGTTGAGTTTCTTGCCGGTCTCTTCTCAACAGAAACTGCTTTCCGAACCGGTGGTACCTTACGAACCTATACACATAATCTTTGATGTAAAATTTGACGATTCATAAGAGCGCGCAAGAGTCTATTTGAATAAATATATTTTTTATCTAGATTTTTGTAAAGCGACGGGAAAACGTTTATTTGCTTAAATATATGCCGTAGTGACTCACGTGGACCCAAGCCATAGACGGCCCGTATAGCCTGCTTTTTTATACAAATATTGTGTCTAAACCGGATGCGGAACCCCAAAGTAAGACACCATAGGACATTATGCTGTGAAAATAAGCATAATAAACTAATTTAGCTGTTTCCTCGTTAGTTAGCTGCCTGATTTTGCGTATGGCAAAGACGGCAGCGCTCAATTTCTTAGCTAACTTATCTACATGAAATCCCCACTGCAACTTGGAGTCAACGCTTATTCCAAGAAATGCTGTTGAATCCTCAAGGGGTAGGATTTTCTCATCAATTCCTGATTGGTGACACAACTTTGAAAGAGTAAATCTAGTTCAAAAAAGTAAGTGTTGAGCTTCTTATACATATGCACGCGCTTTACATTTACGGAATTATGTACTTTTTTAAATGAATTAATTGAAAATAACCTGTGGTGATGTGGCGAAGGCTGCTGCCTACTCTTTTCCGAGACGCTCCTCTGCATTGGAGTGTGAGCGTGAGCTGTGAATTTAAGGCGTAAACTGTCATTTTATTAACTTTCGAAAAAAAGCAATTCTTGTAAGTTTGTTTCGTGAAAAAAGTTGACAAATGAGCAGGCGTTTCACCTGATGTTATGTGGTGACCACAGCCCGTGGACTGTATAATACTAGAGTAGTTTCGCCAATCTTAACAAAAGTGGGTCTAGGTTGTAGCCTGAACCCACTTTTGTAAAGATGGACCACCTGGACAACCTGGACCCACTTTTGTGATGTATCGCTCATCAGACGAACCGCGAAATTATTATACTTTCACTTCGTGCCGGTCTTCTGTGAGGCCGTGGTACTTTCCCGGACGGACCTGCCCATTCGTGCAATTTCAAAAGCGTCTTTAAAAAATGTGCATAATAAACAACCTTGCAACCCTATGGGTGTATGTTAGATACTTATTTTTTACCATGCTCTGTAGTCTGAACAGGGTAAAAAGATTCGTCATATTTGGGATGTGTGGTAGGGCCATGCAACAGCTTCGGATGTTGCACGAATGGGCAGGTCCCTCAGGGTAAGTACTACGACTTCAAAGAAGACCGGCGTGAAGTGGAAATATCATACTTTCGCCTGGTGAGAGAAGTAGCTTTTTCAAAAGGTGGCTACGCTATCTGCAACCCTACAAAAGGTGTTGCAAATGTTCATGGGCGGCGGATTTCACTTAACATCAGGCGAAACGCCAGTTCGCTCGACAACTTTTCACATAAAAAATGGGTTTTTCAGTTTTGACAATAATCAGGTTCTTGATGAGTTCAAACATATCGTACACATAACGTACCTGGTGGCGATTTTTGGCACGTATACTGGAAGGTGTTTGTATCCCAAAGGTCGCTCTGAACGACTATGAAGTTCTCTTTCTTTCTCTTCTCGGAATCTTTTCTTTGGCCTGGAATATTGAAGAAATTAATTAAAACTTTATTGAAAATTCCAGGTTAAGGAAGTAAGCCAATTAGTAAGCAATTGTTGGACTTACAAGATTTTCTTCTCTCCATCGAAGAGAAATCGTGATCGATGTCGAGGATGTCTTCTGGCTCTTGTTTAGGTTTCGGCGGTATGGGCGGGTCCCTTTCTTGGACTAGAAAACAGTAAAGGTATAAAAATTATGATTTATTTAATTATTATATATTACAGTTTATCTACTTCTTTGTCATTACTTTTTTTATGTGAAAAGTTGCCAAAGGAGCAGACGGTTCACCTGATGTTAAGTGAATACCGCCGCCCATGGACATCTGCTACACCCGAGGGTTACAGATGTGTTGACAACCTTTTGAAAATTGGGCTCCGGCTACCTCACTCACCAGACGAAACGTGAAAGTTTTTGTCATACTTCCACTTTACGCTGGTCTTCTGTGAGGTCGTGGTACCCACCCGGACGGGCCTGCCCATTCGTACAACAGCCGAGGCTGCTGTGTGGCCCTACCATCGTTAGATATAATATAATACCTTGTAATAGCAATTGCCATGACTATAAATGATTTTTCTGATTTCTAGACTTGACATCAAAGTAGAGATAAAAATTATTCTTGATTAATGACAGACTTTTCATTTTACATCCAAAAAGCTTTGGCTAAGGAATAATTTCATTACAAAATCTGACCTGTTCAAAGTTATTAATTTAGATTATTTTAAATTAGGTTATAAATCTAAACTTAATTGTAAAATTGTTATAATATAAAAATTCAAAGAGCTCTATATTTGGTAGAAGTTTACACTAAAAAAGTTGACACATGTTATCTCTTCACTGACACTTCACGGATAGTCAGGCAATTTGAACTGCCAACATCTACAAGTAAGGGCGGAACTTCCTGTCTATTTATTTATTTATTTTTGGACGAGGGGCCTCTACTTTTCCCGCTCATCGGTTGAAATGTCGAAGATGTCATGGTGCGACAATTCGCCGGTCAAACTGGTCCACTGTTCAGAGGAAGCCACTTGGTGGCTCCGCCGCAGCGAACCTCACCCGGTGGAATCCTTTCGGGGACGTCGTCCCTGTCCAGGGGCACGTGCATGAGGTCGGCGAGGAGCGCGGGGCTGGCGCTGGACATCCGCCGGTGCCGCGCCTTGGGCTCCCTGGACGGCGTCGACTTGGCGCCACCTTCCGGGGGCTTCCCCGCCTTCTTCTGGGCCTCCGGCGTCTGGCGAACCCCACCGAGGTAATTACACGGGCATAGATTGGGGATAGGGGTTAGAACTTCTTAAAAAAGATCTCATTTGAAATAGCATATGGCAGTGAAATATTGGATTACATGTAAAAATGTGAAGGGCACTGACTTCTGTAACACAGGGTGACCTAGCACAGGAGTTAGAGTTCGAAATATCGTACCTTACCTCTTCCAATTTTATAAATGTGATTGTTTTTGTATTGGTTGCATGAATAAATTATTATTATTATAGACGATGTTTTCATGTGAAATGTTTAATAGCGAGCAGGCGGTTCACTTGATGTTAAGTGAATACCCCCGTGGACATCGACAACGCCCGATGGTTTGCAGATGTGTACAGAATCTGTGAACTGTGAAAAGTGAACCCTGGCTACTACACTCACCAGACTTTAAGCGAAACTTTAAGACGTCCGTTTCTTCTGTGAGGCTGTGATACTTCCCCGGACGCACCTGCCCATTTTTGTTGCCCACAATAGATTTCCAAGAAAACAATTTAACTAATTGGCAATAATACCATTTAATTCGAAAGGTAAACCGAAAAAGATACGAAATGGCATTAAATCTTTCTTTTTAACTTTTATTTTAGGTGAATCAAACATAACGGACATTTACTCATATAAATACTGAAGCGAGGTATATTAACTTGATTCACCTTGAGAACCTTCGGTGTAGCGGCTTTGGTATAAAGCGGCTCCTGTACTTTGGCCGGCATCGACTTGACCGTAGGTGTATCGCTTGGCTTCAGAGCTGGCACCGTCTTCGTTTCTGCTTTGACGGGCTCCGTGGGCTTTGTTATCGGTTTTGGCGGATCCGGGGGCTCCTTTAAAGTACTACTCGTTACAGGTCGTTCCAACCTCAACAGTTTTCATGCGCAATTATCGTCGAGCACTAGATATTTACTACGTATTTTTTAGGTTAGAATCGTGATGACTCAAGATCCGGGCGCTCGCTTTTAATTCATTACATTCGGCACTCGAGCAATCGGAGTTCAAATCCCGGTGCCAGTGAAATTTATTTATTTGTTTATTTATAGCATCACAAAGCAGAATTACAACGTATTTAAATAATAGTAGGTACAAAGATAATATTATAACATTCAGTTGACATTTCAAGTATGCGGCGACATCAAGTTATATAAGAAAAAACAAGAAAATTGATGGTACATACTATAAAAGTGACAAAGAATAAATATTTGTGACCAAACATGGTGAAAAATTTAAAACTAATAAATATACAGCTAAAATAGAATAACGGAGAACAAGGTGCAGTCACCAGTCAGCACTTAAAATTGTTCATTTAAGTGCTGAATTTCCCGTGGAACTTTCCCGGACGGACCTGTCCATTCATGCAACAGCGAATACTGTTGCATACTTTATTCGCTTAAGCCAAAGTATTGTTGGTTCCATCCTAGAATGTTGCTTGAACATGAAAAATTTGTTCTTTGTTTGAGTTTGGTGTTGTTTTTTGAAAGTCACCTCCGTTGACCAGCCGTAGGGAAGTTTGGCGAGCTGATCCTTTTCGGGTACAGCCTTGGAGGCCGGCGGGCTGGTGTAGTCCAGGTGGTTTTTGAAGGAGACGTTCTTCGTCTGCTCCTTCTTCGGCTCCTTGATGGTCACCTCCTTGATCGGCTCCGGTGGGGCGGATGGCTTCGGTCTAAGCATTTGCAGTCATTTTTATATACAGCTAGCTGTTCAAAACGGCTTCGCTAACGCGGTCAAAGGTTGAGTAAAGAATGAGTTATTTTATTATACTCTAGAATAGTCAGCAATTTTTTTCCTACTTACTTGACTCGTTATATATCGGAGAATTCACACAAAATCTTCATAAATTATAGCCTATGTGTTATTTTAATGTATTAGCTATATTATTGCGTGATTAGTCAGGAAGTTAGGAAGTGAGGATAAGTTTTAAAGTTTTTTTTTTATAGTGCTAATCTCTGCACTTAAGATTGAACATTAAAACATGAAGAAAAAGTACGAAAAGATTGTCGCCGCTGTGGGAATCGAAGCCACGTCTTCGGCATTCGCGGCTTGACGCTCTAGCCACTGAGCTAAACGGCTGATAGCCACAACGACGAAGTAAGGATAAGGAATTGACAATCGGATAGGAATTTACTTCACATGTAAAAAGTGTGCGACGTATACTTAATACAGTGTTTACATTTTTAATAGATATTTTTTTTAATAAATCGAAATAAAATATATGGTCAACAGAAACTATGTGTAGTTATTATGGCTGAGTGGAAGCGAAGATCTTTGTACTAATTGTGGGTGTCATAAAAATTATGATACCGTTATTTTAAAAGCTAATGGTTGCTGTACAAATGAGTTCAATCTAATAGAAATGCATTTGTTACAGTTGAGTAGGCTATTATTAGCGTATCTAACAACTGTTCATAGAATAAGATTATTAATTCGAATGGTACAAAATCAGAAAAATCTTTCATTTCAACTGATATCGTCTTTACGCAAATGTCGGTGCAGAGCAAAGAGAAATGGCTTCTAAAACACACGTTCTATTGGCTTAAGGATTTTATGAAGTACAAAGAGTGTTAATCAGGATTGTTATTGACATTGATATACTTATTTTGACTTTAATATATTATTACTTTGATATTAGCTGTTTGTGACTGATAATATTTGCATGCTATTTGTAATAGCTGAACTTAGAGTGCAAAAGCTATAAAATACTCGTATTATCGTCATCTTGTTAAATACCCAATGTTCAATGGCAAATAAATTATTATTATGTATTATTACAGCTGTAACCGTTGGGGAAGAAAGGTTCTCGAGTGGCAGCCTCGTACTGGCCATCGCAGTAGAGGACGACTAGATGGAGTGACGACCTGTGCAAATGTGCGGGAAGTCGATGGATGCAGGTGGCTCAGGATCGTACTTCGTGGCAGTCTATGGGGGAGGCCTATGTTCAGCAGTGGACTCAAACAGGCTGAAATTATGATGATGATGATCATTATTACAGCTATCTCACCTCTCGATAATTGTCTGACTCTGCAGATTTATGTATTCAGATTCGGCACCAGCTGACGCGCTTAGGCTGCACACCGATGTAATGTCGCTCGTCTCTGAAAACAGATGTTGTTGAGGAGGCGCCAATAAACAACCAACGGTGGTTTAAGACTAGTTAATGAGGGTCTTTGGAAGAAGGGTCTCAGTTTGCTTTACTCTCCGGAAATGCTAAAACAAATATTATTAATTTGCCCACTTTATTGTTTGGGTGTTACAAATTTCAGTGGGCGGCGGTTATCATTTAACACATAGAAAAAACTAAACTAGACTTGACTAGAGAAGAATCGGCAAGAAACTCTAGCGGTTTTGTTACCTCTTTTTTATAATGATAAAATTATATAAAATTATTTGATAAAATATAAAATCAGCAGCAGCCAGGGGTTTAGCGAGTGCAGAGCAAGAGTCATTTCCACGCATACTTGGCCACGTAACATCAGGTTGGCACCTTCTCATATGAGAAGAAAAGTAGAGACCTGGGTGGCTGAGGTCGCGCGCGGTGGGGCGAGTGCGCTGAGCAGCCGGGGAACGGGAGTCGCGAACCGAAGACTCCGAGCTGGCGTCGCTGCCGAGTTTGCTCAGCAGCATCTGGCGAGGGTGTTGAAGATAGATTGAGATTAATTCCATTTAATGATTAGGCCGGAAAGAATGAAAGAAAGAGATTGAAGCAAAAAATGACAGAAAAGAGGATACCTACGGAGTTTCTTTCGCCTGTTTCTTGTCCGTTAGAGGAACCTCATTATGAAACGGCCGTAGATTAAAAAAAATAGTATCGATAAATGAAATGTATTTTTCTTATGTCGATGATTTTCATTTTTTTCTGGTGCGCTAGTGTTGTGTACCTCGTTTTTTAAAAAAAACATCGCCCTTTCTTTAAGATAACATTATCTATTATATTATATATTTAGGACGTTTCACAAACATAAATTTCACGGCGACATACAACGGGACGCGAAACAACTATTCGCGGCTCACACAAATAGCTGTTCCGTGTGGGAATCGAGCCCCCACACCCGACGGCGAAGCCAGCACCTTGGCAACTGCACCACGGAGTCGTCTATATTGCATTTGTGTATACATTGGGTGTCGTCGCTGCTGTGGTATACCTGCAGCTCGTTCTCTTTCGCCTGCAGCGTGCGCCGGTAGCGGTTGTTGTACTGCCGGAGCTCCTTCAGCCGGCGCTCCAGCTCGGGGCCGGGCTCTCGGCACTCGTGCGCCGCGGTGGGCCGCAGGGTCGCCCGGATCCTGGATCCGGCGGCCCCCGGCTGCCCGTTGCGTCGCAGCTCCACCAGCTGTTCGCCAGTTCAGTTCCCAAATGTATTTTACGTGAGAAGGCGGGGGGCGAGCTGGCTGTTCACCGCGTGTTAAGTAATAAACGCCGCCCATTGACATGACAGTGGTACTGTTGTCGCCGAGATACGCACGGGGTGAAGAGGCAGCCCGCCACACATAAAACCGATATATCGCCGAGTGCACGTCGCGCGTGCTAATATCCTTTTTATTTACATTTACAACTTTAACTGCCGCGTTGCTGTATAACATTTATCTTTCAAGATTAAAGAACATCAATTACAAATATGGAGTCAGATGTTTAAATTATCTCTCAAACAGGTACCTAACGAACCTATATATAATTATTTATGTAAAACTTGACGATTCAGTAGTTGTAGTAGTTGTGTTGCCACCTTTTAATAAATGTAAATTCTACATTTGCTCTACATTTTCAAGTCGTCTTTACGTCTTCTATCAAATTAAAAAAGTAACGTATATTGGACTGCAGTTTTTTTACAGTGTTCGTCTCTAAACCTTGTCGTCTCTAATGCGGCCTTTATTGTTTTAAAAAAAAATATCTGAAGAGCTTACTTTAATAAAGATAAAATTGGTTAGCGTAACGAAAAAGTTTTTATTGCTCACTGTTAAACGTAGTTAGTTACCTTTGGCACGAAAACCAAGCACAGGGTTGCCGTTGTGCAGAAAATGATGAAGATGGCTATTAGAACGAATAAGGCGTCTTTGTGATCGGCTAATACCTGAAAAAAGAAAATAGATCCATCCCTAGGGTTTAAAGGCAAACGCGCTTACTTGTCATAGTGTCTTAAGATCAGCACCATTGTCGTGAAATTAATAATCTAAAGAAATTGTGGAAATCATTATATATTGTAAACCTAATAGATTATTAGATGCGTTGAAAACCTTTAAGAAAGTGTGCCCCGGTTACCTCACTCACCTGTGGAAACGCGAAATATATGCTTCTACTTCACGCTGTTCTTATGTGTGGCTGTGGTACTTCCCCGGGCGAGATTGCCACATCGTGCATGACGATGTATTCAAGTGCTGATTAAACTGATACCCTTAACTTTTCTTCTGTATCGAATGATGTTTCCTCTTTCAGACCGTAGACTATAAAAGCTTCATCGAATGAAAAGAGAGATCGTGGAGCAGCCCGATTCCGCGAACGTGATACGACCCTCCCCGTTAGGTACAACCAAGCATGTGTTCAATTTCTCATGCGTGCGATATTTACAGGAGGAGTTGTTGCAATTGGTCAAAGAGTGTGGCCCGGTCGTTGAGAGTGTTGAGCGTGGGCTGGGGGCGGTGAGAACCGCCCTGGAACGAGGGCGTACCTCGTTTAGCCGTTCAAGTTCTACCTAGTAAAGGTTTTCTGCTTCTACAAGTTGCCGACTCACTAGAGCGATGGGTGCGCCCATGATGCACATGATCAGGACGTTGTATACGGACAGGCCGATGTGCTTCGAGTCGTTGAGCGCTGGTATGGAAACGTGGCGTGTCTCCCACGCGAGGAACGCACCGAACACCTGGATTTGTGAAGGCGGCAAATTGAAATAGAGTAGGACACTAAGAATCTAGCTCCTGCTCTACTTTTTTATTGTTGAGTGTAATGTTAAAATGATATAAACACTAGGCGTTATAGCTTAATACCACAGAGTGCTAATAATTATAGTTTGATTTGTTCTCTTCTTTATGGTCAAATTGAAACAATATGGCGAAGTGTGTAATAAGTTGAGAAGCGTTAGAAGAGTTTGTTATATTATAAAAGAGTGTACCGTAGTAGACATTAAAAGGAAATTATATTTACATCACTGCGTTTCTTTTTCACTCTGCGCTATAAAACCTCAACATTTATGAATAATTATTTTATTTTGTCGATTCTCGGCGCTTTAAACAGTACACGCCATCTATGGTTACAGGGCAAATTGAAGCTGTATTGTGTTCTAGAACGGTAAAAATTAAAAAAAAATGCTATAAAGTTAGTTAAATAGTTTAATTAAGCGTGACATAATGATTGAGATATTGTTTAAATGTATCATTGCTTTATTTAGCGTTAAATCAGAAATTTACTTGAATTTCATTTGCACCAACTGTGCTTACGGCAAAATTAATGCGTTTTAATAATTCATAGAACTTTTATTAAATTCCTCGCTGATCCATCAACTTATTATCAAGTAGAAGTTTATCAAAAATATCTTGTATTTATCATCGATTAATTAAAACCGTCGTCACTATTGCTCGCGATAAATGGTTCGTAAAATTAGTTTTGATATTATCAACTTTCAAAAATAAACTCATTTAATGTCAGTGAAAAGGCCGAAAAAGTAAGAAGTATTTTTTTTTAGGACATATACGAACAACAGCCCTTTTTATACAATGTAATTACCCCAATGAAGATGGTCATCCTCTCAGACTGGCAATACTCGTTCTCCTGGACTATGACTATATCCTCGCTCGTCGGGTGCGGCTGAAGTGGAGAAGTCAAAACCATCTATTATCATCAAAATCAAAACCGTCGTCACGATTGCTCGACTGAGCAATGGTTCGATGGTTTTGATATCGTTGTCAAAAAGTCATAATGACTACGAAAAGGCCGAGCAAAAGTCACCTTTTTTTTTTTAAATATACGAGAGCTATACTTCGGTTTTATAAATGTGATTATTTATGTGTGAATTGCGTGGTAAAAATTAAACGATCATTATGGCAATTTCATCCGTTTAGCTTAGTGGCTAGAGCGTCAGGCCGCGAAGGCCGAAGACGTGCGGTTCGATTCCCCCAACGGCGACAATCTTTTCGCACTTTTTCTACATATTTTAATTTTCTACATATTTTAACGTTATAATATCTTAAAATTAAAAAAATATTTAATATGTTATATCATTCATCTATATTGGTGTGTGGGATTACTATGAACAATTCCGCTCCCAAAAAAATTTTTTTAATAGATTTCAACGATAGTGTAAGCGTATACTAACGTAGGGCTCCATTTGCTTCGTAGCTCTGTAAAAAGGGTCGGATATTTGCCAGGTGGTCATGATGGCCAAGTCGATGCACAGCAAAACACCGACGACCATGAACAGCTGGTAGTCTTTTATCACCTGAAATGAAAACCGTATACATATCAATCTATCATTCAACAACTTTTCTTTTCTTAATAAAGCAAGTGATAATCATATTAAAAGTTCCACGACCTCACAGAGAAGACCGGCGTGAATTGGAAATATTTTCTTTTTTTTTTAAACATTGCCCTTACTTTAGGATAACATTATCCTGTGTTGTAGGGACGTTTTACAGACATAATTTTCAAACACCTGCGAAACAACTACCTGTGGGTCACACAAATAGTTGTCCCGTGTGCGAATCGAACCCACGACCCCCGACGCCGAAGCCTGTTTCTGTTGCGTTTTTTGAATTGGGAATGTTTCTTCTGCGTTTTTTCTAGTGAGTGAGGCCGGCCTACTTCACTAAAAAGTGGCAACGCATCTTCAATCCTACTGGTTGTCCATGAGCGGCGATTATCACTTAACATCAGATGAACCGCTAGTTCGCTTGCCAGATTCTAACATAAAAAAGTAAACAATAATACCCATAACGAACCTTTTTGTTGAGCTTGACGTCTGTGAAAATGGAGTGCACGCGCCACGTTTTTGAGAACATAGCCCCAAAAGCCAAGCTGAAACCGGCCATAAGAAGCCACGCCCTCGCGGTGCAAATGTACGGGAACGCGGCTGAACCACAAAACGTTGAATTATCAATGTTGACAAAACGTAGTACATATAGAGAATAAAAATATACGAATCTGAGTAACAATGCTTCAAATGTATATGTAATGACTTGGTTAATTATCAAATTTTCAAACTTAAGAAACGAACGGTGATCGAAATGTGTTAAAAAAAGTAAAGAACGGAATGCAAACGAAGCGGTCGAAAGCGTTGGAGACCACTGTGATGATGTTCGTGGGAAAGCTCCAAAGCATAGACAAATAATGCCTGAAGTCCAAGCGACAGTAGCAACAGACGCAGTTACGGACACACGAAATTTCTCAAGCCACAAGATTACGCACGAAACCAAAATACAACAAACGACCAAAGCCTGCGGGTGAAGCGAAGAAAGGAAAATATAAACCAAAACTTGGAAACATGCTGTCGACTCCAGTGACCTAGAAGTGGCCTAGGTCTTTCTCAGATACATAACACTATGAAGTCAGAGTTGGGCTAAGAGTTCCCAAAATTTGGTTGGCGGGTTCCGTTCTGCCCAGGGACGAAGCTCAAGCTGTAGGGATGGGAGCAAGCACTATTACCTCCACGCGGCGTTTCCTGAGAAAGACCTAAGAATTAATGAATTTGATGAGATCAGATGGCGGTCAGCGTGACGTTATGTGCCAGCGGCATGCGAGAACTTAGTGATTGTTTTCACTTTTAGCCTTGTATGCTTTTAATCGAAATCAATAAGAGTTATAATTAACTTTAATAATTTTAATATTTTATTTTCTATTAATTGTTCTCATTCCTTTTTATATACGTGTTGTAATTTAGGCCTTTTTATTTAATAAAGTAAGAATTTTTAATCAATAGTTTACACAGAAAGGAATAATAACAATGGAATGAACGCCGGAAAAAGGAATTGCAAATTTCGAGTATAAATAGATTTACCTTTGATCCGTCAAAGAGAAGTGTAAACAACAGATTAATCATGATATTGCATAACTAGTTGAATATAGAATAAAAGTTGTATTTAAGGCATATCATACCTATACTGCTGAGGCTGGAGTCCAGGCCGAGGAAGATGACGCTCATATACGTAAGCATGCAGCCGACGATGATGAGGTTGTTTAGATGCGGCGAAGACATTTTTATATACCTGTGACAGAAACATTACTTATTATTTATAGTTTAGTAATAAGCAACTTGATAATGACGAAGAGTATTAGTTTCAGATAATATATAAAGATTATTATATTATTGAAGTCGATGGATGCAGGTGGCTCAGGATCGTGCTTCGTGGCAGTCTGTGGGGGAGGCCTATGTTCAGTAGTGGACTCAAACAGGCTGAAATGATGAGTGTGATGATGATTCTGCTAGAAGACGCTGTTTAAAATGTATGATTAAGGTCTGAGCGTAAATTAATTTTCACTCCACTGGAAGTGTAAAACCAAATGCGGTTATTTTTGTTAATACATAATATCTCGAGCTAGACTTAGCATGGCCTTACACTTCGCCCTGGTTTAGTAAAATACTGATTATACAGGAAATTTAATTCAATGTCCGGGCGCTCGCTTTTAATTCAATATACTCGAGCAATCCGAGTTCAATCGCCGGTGCTGGCACCAATGAAATTGTTAATTTTATGTGCTGACTAATCACGTGCTCAGCGAAGGATAATATCGTGAGGAAACCTGCATATTTTCGAATTAGTAACAAAAATATTTCGAAGATCAATCATCAATCGGTGTTTGGGCTACGTGGTGTACTGTGCCCTAATACCCTGTGTACAGAGGAGGCCTTTGCCCAGCAGTGGGACACATATAGCCTATTACTATTTTATTACTTTTATCGACATAGACACCGATTTCAGTAAGCTCTACTTTTGAAAGTCAATTCTAGATACCTTTGGTTTCTGTAATGTATGTTCATCGCGAGGAAACCAGTCGCTAGAAGAATTCCCAGCACGGAGCAAGAGACCAGCACCGCGTAGATGGTGATATTGACTTGTGTGTGCTCGATGAGGCGCAGTGTACGGTCTTTCGGCGGATTCCTGTAAGCGGATGTTTATTTTTTTATGTGAAAAGGTGTCAAGCGGTTCATCTGATGTTCCGTTGCCCCTGGACGTCTACAACACTCCATGCCTTGCAGACAGAATGATGCAGAATGAAAGATGCCTTTAGAAAGTGGATCCCGGTTACCACTCTCACCAGACGAAAAGCTTAATTTTAATACTTCCACTTCACGCCGGTCCTCTGTGAGGCCATTGCACTTTCCCGGATGCCTGCCCATTCATCAATTTCATCTGTCTAGAATAACAGCTTTAAAATGGTAAATCATTAAATTTGACCAAGAAATATGGAAGTTATAATAAAAATACGTTTGAGCTATAATATACAGAGTGATTTTTTAGACGAAATACAAAGTGCTTTGACATAATGTTAATTGAGCATTCCATAATTAAAAGAAATATTAATCTTTTATTTTGACAAGAAATAACTCGAAAAATATCAATTCAAACAATTTCTTTTAAATTTTATCCCGTTAAGAGTGGTCACCGTATTGTTAAGTGTTCAGCGAAAAGTTTTAGTGCTCGTGAATAGGTTATTGTATTGTGACGGTAAGGCAGGAATTTCTTAAGGTGTCCATAATGTTTGAAAAAATTAAAAATAATCTTTGAAAAAAAAATGAGGTCACAAATACGTACCAGATTAAGATTATTAAGATTATTATAGATATTTAATTATCGATTATTAAGAGTATTAAGATTTCAAATTCTGCATATGCTCTGTTAATATGCCCATAGTTGGTGAATATTAATAAATAAATGCAACAGACAACATCTCGAATATGAGACATGTTCTGACAGCATATTCGACTTGATAATCAAAGGCGGTTTGAAATATAAATCAGATAAACCACTTATCACTCACTTGCCAACCCATTTGAATGGTTCCCAGCTGCTCAGGTCGAGGTGGTCCCTCTCGGCGCAGTACTCGCCCACCTTCACTTCCCCAACCTGATCACCTTGGAACTGCTTCAAGAGTATAGAGGCCTTTCGCTCGTTGTCGTAGAAACGAACAGGACCCTGGAGAATGCGAAACAATGATCAGAATTTTTAGTAATCAATTTGACTGATGTTAAGTTCACTTTTTGAAGTTATACTTCTTTTGGCGCTTTAGGGAAAATTTTTGGAAATACTTTTATCTTGTTACGCCAAAGAAGTATAACTTCTAACGCGTGTATATAAGTACACACACACTTTTTTTTAATTCGAAACTGGCCAGCGCTCAACTGCCATCCCACCTGATGGTAAGTGGCGATGCTGCCGTTGATGGTAAGCGCGCTAGCTCAGTAAAACGTATTCATTCTGGCCTTGAATTTATGAAACTTATGAAATTGTTATTGACATACTTTTCTACAGCTAGCTTGGTGGTAAGGCGTTATGTTTTTTTAAAGATATAATTTTCTATTAGATAGTCATAATAGCTTTCAAAACATGCAATGATTAATATCAAAACAATAATGGACGGCAGTAGACTTTTTATACCTATTAATTGAACACGTTTTTTTATTTGGTTTTGGTTTTGGTTAAATAAAACTATTTTACGGATTGAATGAAACTATTTTAAAGAAGCATCTCAGTCTGTAACGTGACCATGCATGCTATAAAGGGTCGATACGTCGTGTGTGAAAATCTAAACGTGATAAAATCCGTAAAATAGTTTCATTTAACCATGTATAATATTCGCGTAAAAACAGCAAATCAATACGCTTTGTAAAAATTTTACCTACAACTTAAAATGTTTTTTTTTTGTGGATATAGTTGTCGAAAAATTTTTCGACCCTGCAAGGATTCAAACCTGCGTCTCCACAAATTCACATTTTAATTAAGAAGGATACTTTCGCAAATCTAAATAAATCAGGACATACACCGGTTTAATATCGACCTTTACGTAAGGACGAATCTAACCGTGAGCCAGAGTTAACAGTTTTTATCATCGCATTGATTACTTACAGTTACACCCTCAAAGGTGACGTTGCTGAGCGCATCCAGGAACAGCTGTTCCCACTCTTTGTCCCGGTACCGGAAGTCCTGAACGGTCTTCTCCTTATGCTTGAGCTTCACTCTCTGTGCCACCGTCTGGATCGCGAGGGCCATGGCCCATATACCTGGATTGTGGTGCCGTTGAACCAGTTTGTAATGTGTCGCGTTTATTAGTCACGTTATAAAGCATTTTTTTTATTTTATATGACTGTTAGGTCAGCATAAATCGTGAGAACAAATGAGATACTAAATAAAATTAAAGTGCTTGTCACTAATTTCAAAACATTCAAAAATTTAAAAAAAAACTTTCATTTTAGAGTTGTTGATCTCTTACAGGCTCCGAAACGGTCTTATTGAATTCGGTGAAAGCAAAAAAAAATGCCCATATCGTTTTATTGTGTTCACTCAGGACTTTGATTTATACACCTAATAGTGACTATATACCTCAGTATCTGGTATAAATTTCAACTTGTTAGGTCCACCCGTTTCTGAGAAAATCGGTGGTGACACACGGACAGACAGATGGACAAGGGAGTGATCTTATAAGGGTTTTCTTTTTTTACCCTTTGAGGTAGGGAACCCTAAAAAGTAACATAAAGGCGTATGTGTTGTGTTTACGTTACATTTACGTTACGTTACTGTCCTTAATAAAAAAATGAAGTAGTATATAATATAGTCTTAAATATTGTCTTGTGATTTTTCCTTGTCTTTGATGAATGGTATTACTGGTACTGGGTTTGTAGAGTTTAGTATATTTGTCTTGTATATCGGCTGTTGGAAAATGAGGTCGCGATACTTGATTGAGTTTTATTAAGTTACGTAATACTGAATGCAGTCAGTCATCGTTATCATCATTAATTCAGCCTGTTTGAGTCCACTGCTGAACATAGGCCTCATCCACAGACTGCCACGAAGCACGATCCTGGGCCACCAGCATCCATGGACTTCCCGCATACTTGCATATGTCGTCACTCCATCTAGTGGGGGTCGTCCTACACTGCGATGGTCAATACGAGGCTGCCACTCGAGAACCATTCTTTCCCCACGGTTATCGGTTCTACGAGCTTTTTGGCCGGCCCATTGCCACTTCAGCTTACTAACCTTCCGATCCATGTCGGTTACCTTTGTTCTACTGCAGATGTCAAAAATGTAGTCAGTGATCTGATAGGTAGTAATAGCTCATTGTCCAGGCGTTCACTTTTAATTCATTGTTGATCAAATTGCTAATTTTACTGACTTATCACGTTCTCTGCCCTGGCGGAAAACAACTTGAGAGCCTTCATGTTTTCGAAATAATAACAAAAATTGTTTTTTCAAATATGTGTGAAGTCTGCTAGTCCGCAGGCCTTTGCCTAGCAATGGGACCTTTATACGCTGTTACTTTACTTCTACTTTACAAAATGTAGTCAAAGGTCACCGATACTTACCGTCATAAGTGTACCCATGGAACCTGGAATACTCGAGACCTCTTCTGCGATCATACTCTACTTGGTAATCCTTCGCGGTCTAAAACACACATTGAAACATAAATTTTATAAAAGAATCATACTGTGTCCATCTAGTGGTCGTAATTCCATACACATTATGTATGAAATAACATAGTTAAGTCTTTCCAAAACGTTTCTACTCTTACACATTCATTGTGGTAGGGCCACGCAGCAGCCTCGGCTGTTGCACGAATGAGCAGGCTCGTCCGGGTAAGTACCACGATCTCACAGAAGGCCGGCGTAAATTGGAAGTATATTACTTTCGTGTTTCATCTAGTGAGTGAGGTAGTTGGAGCCCGAATTTTCAAAGGGTTGTCAATGCATCTTCAACCCTCGGGTGTTCCAGATGTCCATGGGCGGTATTCACTTAACATCAAGTGAACCGCCTGCTCGCTTGGCTTATCACATAAAAAGAAAAGTTAACTCATAGTATGCACGGGAAACACTTCCGTGGTAGGGCCACGCAGGAGCTTCGGCTGTTGCTTCCTCACAGAAGAACAGCGTGGCGTTTACTAATAGTTGACAAGTTGACTAGTGTAACCGTGACACCCGATGCTTACAATCCCCGACACGGTGGTCTCCCCGGTGGTGGAGAGCGGCAGCAGGTCGGTGAGGATGGCGGTGTCCAGGGCGGCGGTGAGGTCGCGCCTAGCGCAGGGGGCGCGGCGCAGCCACCAGCGCTCGCTGTACGTCCCCAACAGGAGCCACGTGTACGCCCGCCCGTACATCTCCAGCCTGAAGGTTTCGGAGTGTTTGGTCACATTGGTCTCAGTCAAAAACGATCAAACATCTGCGCGGTTGGTGTTGTAGGGCCACGCAACAGTCTACGCTGTTACACGGATTGTCAGGACTATCCGGGAAGTATTAAAACCTCTGAACTGAAGGGCGACGAGAAAGAGGTGTTATACCTCTGCGTTTAATCTGGTTAGTGAGGGAATCGGAGTCAAGTTTTAGTAAAAGGTGGCAACGTATTTTTCATTTAACATCAGGTGGATCGCCAGCTCGCTTGCCACCTCCTCATATAAAAAAGCGGTCCACCTGATTGTAGATCATAACTCAAATAACGGAGTGTTTGTTCACATTGCCCTATGTAAATGGCCACAAACCAGCAAAAAGTTCACCTGATCGTAAGTGATATCTGCTCATGGAAAGCCAAAAACACAGTTTTTGTTGCAACTGCCATCCAGACTTTAAGAGGAAGTATTATAGGCTCATTCCGCCGTTTCGTGCAAATTTGAACGTTCCGTGGATGAAAAAAAAAAGTCGTATTTTCACGTTTTATTTGTATATTAACAAGTTAGGTTGGTCACTAAATTCATAAAAAGTGAGAGGCACTTTTTTATCTCAAAAAAAGTGCCTCTCACTTCAGAAAATAATCCTTGAAATTTAACGAATGGATGGTAATGAAAGGGAGAAGGATTGTAATGAAATCAGAGGGGATGGTAAGAAAAAGGCTGGAATGGTAATGAAATAATTAGGTAAACAATGATTTTAATTGGATGCGTATTCATATTAAGTAATTTGTTCTATTTTTGAGAATAAAGTCAGTCATAATCAGTCATAAATGCGAAATAAAAAAAAAACTAATCGGATTATAATATCAAGTCTTATTAATCTTTGGAAGTTAAATCACAATATGTAAAAGGAATTAACAAGTAACTACATAATACAACTCAAAAAAAATTAAATTCGTCACTGCCATCTGAATCAAAAAAAATATTGGCATTGTTTTTTTTTCTGATTTATTTGACTGAATAAATGCTTCGAATTGAAGCTGGTGCTCATTATTATTTAAATAGAGTTTTTTTGGAATTAAATGTTTAGTTGGGGTCTCTAAAAATTTACGATTTTCCCAACTTAAACGGATATCGGATAAAATCTTGACTTTTGGAGATCTTGTCTTTGTTGTACTAGCATTTGTCATGGGCGAGAGCTGTAAGTCGATTGGGCCTGAGAGAGGTTCCAAGTCATCAAAAATAACAGATTCGTGTATATTATTTAAAATTATGGAAGTATCTATGCTTAGTGACTGATCGTTATGGGCTTCAAGGGTTTCATTTGAATATGAAAGTGTTACACCGTAATTTTAAAAATAAAGGAAGCATAAATGTTTGTTATGTACACAAGGAATGCTACAATCTTGACAGAAAAAGCAGCTAAGGCGGCGTAAAGTGATGATCTTACTATGATCAGTAGTCCAAACGACTTAATGAATTTGCATCGTACCTTTAAATCCTGGAACATTGGGTGGGAATTCTTTTTCTACGATGTCACTCTCTGTAACTATCTCAAAATGTACATTTTTTTATATGTTTAATTATCAAAGTCGCAAAATTTTCGAATGAACCAACATCTCCACCATGTTTTACGAAATTATCAGCAGTCTCTTTAACAACAGCCCCAATGCCATCCGGGGCACCTTTGCCATGGCCACATTCTTGGAAATTCCATGTCACCCTATTAATACTGGGGATAGTGTCTTTCAATTTTGTAAACATATAAAAAATATTCTTATTTCTGTATTGGCTAGTCGGCGAATCAGATAAAAAATATACAGTATTAAACGAAACTAGCTCATAAGCCATCTTTAAAATAGGGCATAAGTGAGCCCATATAGCTCAGCATGTTTTAGGCAATCACTTATTATACAAAACGATTTTGTTTGAAAGGTACCCTGTATGTTTTTATCGTAAATAACACCTGTATGTAAGGATACCTGTTGACGACTTCCTCCGTAGTGGTGGGATTGTATCTCCTGATTGTATTTTAAGCAGTAATTCTCACAAATCTATGTGTACAAGTATCTCATCATCTTTCAAATTTTGTTTTAATTGGTTAATAACCTCGTACTGTACTGTAATGTTTAGGTTGTGCTTAAAGAATGGAATTAACATTGACTCTAATTTGTAAACAACATTGCGCGGATAATCTTCAACTTTTTACAAATTCTTTCTTCCCCGCAGCAACTCTACTATTTGTGTCTTCTTCGAAAAAGGAATATTATCATTTATCAATAATTGTTTTTTTTTTCTAGTGTGATGTTTTTCTTTCTTCTAATAAATGGCAACTTATGAAGTAGCTTATATTTCCTCAATCTTTCTTCATTATGAATTATCTGTCCTGCAAAATGTCTCTTTTCCTTTTTAGTCATTGTTTTATAGATGTCTTGTACGTTCTGTGATATACTTTCACTAAAAAGCAGTTGTTTTTTAACTTCTTCTTTATTTTCGGGTCGTATTACCATTAAAACTTCTTCAATTCTTTTTTCGACAGAATCATGTTCTGGTTGACCTATATAAATTTGTTTACGAAAAGCATCGTTCCCCCTCTTTAGTTTATTAATTTCATCTTTTAATTTCTGCACCGTCTTTGAATGAGTATACCGCAAACGTCTTATTGCGTTGTTGAACTTAAGTAATCTTACATTTATAATACTCGGAGTTGAAGACAGTCCCGGTTCTGCAAGCAACAAGGGTTCTGATCGAGGTGGGTCTGGGTTAACATTAATCTTCAATTCACTCTCTGGTGGTAAGTTTTCTATTAATATTTTATGTATTTCGTTTTTTTTCTTCTTTCCTTTTTAAATACTTTCGAGAGTTTTTTCTCCAATGTCTTCTTTGTTCTCGTTGTGCTCTAGGGATCATGTCTTTGATACTACAAACTTTTTTCTTTTCTTTCCTTGCTAAATATTTTGTTCTCTCGTTTTCTTTATGTATAGAATACAGCTATGGGTCGTTTTTTTTATTTTTTTTTATCTTTCTCTTTTACGTAATCTGTTTTTTGCTAATTTTTCTTCTCTAGTTAATTTTTTACTCGTTTTGACCATTTTCGTAAAATAAAATAATAATGTCGTATAAGGTATAGTCACATAGGCTATAATAATTATAAATGTACGCTTAAAAACTGAAAAGTAACTCGTAGGTTAAAATTAAATGAATATTTTTCATTTTCTTCTAAAGGACTTCATTACCTTCCAACAATAAAATGGATGGTACGGATAGGAATGAAATGGAGTGGAATGAAAATTTTCAACTATTTGCTGTATTATCTTCATAAAAGTTTACATTAAAAGACAAATGGATTGTAATATAGATCAAAACTAATTAAAAAGACGTATTATTTAAAAAAATAATAATTTATATTTTACATTACCTTGTATAATCCAAGGAATGTGATGAAGCGATTTATGGACGAAGCTCTTAAAACAATGTAAAGATCGTCAATAACTTTGACAGCAATAGACATACGTCCACTTCGTCCAGTTGCCTCGGCCGACTGATCTGTTTAATTTAATATACTTTGTGTTTGGCGCCTTCTCAGTAAACGCATTGATCTCGTACATGGAGTTAATTTTTAGGGTATGGATGGTAATGAAATTTTAATTGTGACAAATTTACAAATGTTTATATTTTTAATTGTATTAGGTTAATTATTTATTTAAAATACTTTATCGATAGGTAATGATTTCAGTTACAATGTAGCATAATCATTATAGCTGTTATTTGGGAGATTGACAAATTATTATTTAAAAACGAGTTGAGGTACCTCGTTGGAAACAGAGAGGAATGATTTTTCAGGCAGGTTTTCGTATTTTTTTAATAAACTTAGTAATATACGTGTAATGGTAGCAATGCTACTTTTAGAGTGATTATTTTCAAACCTAATGGGCAAATAATATTCAAAATATATACCTTTTTTCACGCGAAAATTGGTCTGGAAATGCTTTTTGCATGAAACTACGGAATGACCCTATATCTAAACTATCGGACCCAACATTGTTGAAATTAATAAGTACACTTTTCTTATTTCTTTCAGCAGAGTAACAAAGATTGGTCAAGTCACGATCACGCTAAGCCAAAAATGAAAACAACCATGAGTTTTCGGTTTTATTAGTTATCTCGTTTGATACCTACCTAAATAGCATCAGTAAATATGGAAAAATAGAAATTGCTAAGTGCTGTGTAAAGTTTCTCGGGCGGAAAAACCTCACGAGCAGTGAGACAAAAGTGTATATCTTCGACAGTGATCAAAATTTTAACCTATCACTCCATTAAGCATGCACAGCAGAAAGGACGTGTCGTACTTATATGCCTCGCAGAATATCCTCATCGCCCACGTTTCATTGAAGTTCCCGAGAATGATCCTGATGTCCTTCTCCTTGAGCTTCGCGAGAGCGCTTCTGACTTCGGTGGCGAAGCTCTGCGTCTCGTCTATGTCAAAGCCGTGGCCGTCCAAGTCAGCGAGCAGACGGTTATGCGCCTGGTGCGGGAGTTGATTAATTTCAAAGAGGTATTTGCAAATACCTACGGGAGCTACAAAAACAGTATGAAATAAAAGTAAAATATTTTTTATGTGTATGTAGTATATTGTGTTCTAGTCTAAACCATGCCTATATTTTATTATAGTATGTGTCACTGGAACTTAGCAGATTGTGGAACAATGTAAAACATAGGTTTAAATCCTTACTTAAAAATCTATAAATCGATACACACACAAAGTTCTCGTACATCCATCTTTTGAATGTTATTAATGTCACATTTATTTATGGCTTTCACTGTGGCAATTTTAGATAGCTCTCATTCTAGTTGAGCATCAAGACTTCAACGCTTCAGATCAGATCGGGTGGTAGTCGAACACTTCTTAATCCCTGATAAAGAAAGTATCGTGACTCTGTCAGTCTTTCTATATGTTTGTACATTTATTGCCAGGGAACCCGATTATCCCCCGTACGTGTGTTGATTTTGATTTTTAGTGCTAGTCTCTGTAATTAAGATGAAATTTTTAATTTTTTTTGATAAATAAAAGAAAAATAGGTAAAGATAGATGTCAATATTTTCGCGCCGTGGTGTCATCGAGCGCTTAGCTTAGTTGGTAAAGCAGCGTGAAACCTAAATACAAACGTTCTAATCCCGCAGCGCTGAAAGTTTTTGATCGATAAATATTCTTCTAGAGTCTAGTGCGTTCTTCAATTACCGTAATAAATCACCATCAGCTATTACAACACTCCACTCGGACACGTCTGGAGTGCAGAGTGAGTTAGGTCAACGAACTCACCAGTGCGTATCTGGGCTCGTTCTGATAGATTGTCCCTACTCTCGTCCAGTTGAAGTGCTGCAGGAGCCTGATGCGGGGCAGGTTGAAGGCGTTCTCGGAGGGCACGATGCGGAAGAAGTTGGGGAACGCCTCCTTGGTGAACATCGGATGGGTGTCCGCGTACGAGAGCTAGGGAGAAACGAGTCAGTGGTTCACATGTTGATTTCTTGCTTTTACGCGAAACTTGTAAGTTTTTTTTTTATGCTTAAAGTTGTCAAACGAGCAGACGGTTCACCTGATGTTAAGTGAATACCGCCGCCCATGGACATCTGCCACACCCGAGGATAACAGATGCGTTGACAACCTTATGAAATTTGGGCTCCGGCTACCTCACTCACCAGACGAAACGCGAAAGTATTTGTCATACTTCCACTTTACGCTGGTCTTCTGTGAGGTCGTGGTACTTACCCAGACGGGCCTGCCCATTCGTACAACAGCCGAGGCTGCTGCGTGGCCCTACCACCGTAATAAATGAAACTAGTTTACGGATTTTTATCGCCTTTTAATTTTGATTTTCAATTCCCCACATTTCGAACCCTTTTCAGTGCTTATGCTCTGGTGGTAGGGCCACGCAACACTGTGGCACGAATGGGCAGCTCCGCCCGGGTAAGTACCACGACCTCACAGAAGACCCGCGTAAAGTAGAAGTGTTACGCTTCTGCTTTTCGTATGGTGAGGGAGGTAGGCAGGGTCCACTTTGTTTAAAGATGGCAACGCATTTGCACCCCTACAGGTGTGGCAAATGTCCATGGGCGGCGGTTATCACTTAACAGCAGGTGAACCGCCAGCCGTTAGGTACATTCTCACAAAAAAATGGACTGACTAATTTGTTTCAAGTCTTCATGTCACAGTTAGCCCGGGCTACCGTCAATTATTTTGTTATTTATCTTTATTCCGTTTTACGCAAAAAGAGGTTGTGGTATCTTGAGGTCCAGCAGTGTAGGTGAGCTTCGATTTAATTTTATAAATTATGGGATACCGAGCAGATGATAAACGCCGACCATCTTCTCTATTGCAATTAGGATGTTTCTTTATTTCAGTAGCCTCGCGGATCATCCTTGGGAGAATCAGAATTAACTCGTGAAATTCGTAAACTAGTTTAATTTAAACGAGTCAGTGGTGTTGGTAAAAACCGTAACGGCACTAAGAAAGCAAAACAACCATTTTCAGTTTGTTACATTAACTTGTTATTGTTGTGCTGACGCGAAAATCAATTATAATTATGTGAAAATCTAAATTTTCTCGAATGTATTTGCCAATGTGTGTCGAAAAATGGATCTCTATATTACTCCAAAAGTGTCTTCTTGTCGCTGTGCCATCACTTCCATATCATCCAATTCTTCATCGATTTCATGATTCAAATATCATTTTAAGGCTATGTTTGTCGATATTGACGAAAATTAGATAATAAGAATTAAAAAAAAAAAACTTAACTTTAAAAATTTATCTTAAGTTTGTATTATAATGTCACCAATTGACAATATGTTTAAATGAAAGAAAAGTAGGTTGAAAAACATTATTCTTCAAAATAAGACACCTTTCATTGATAAGTGCTTATTTATACATTAATATACGTACTTCGGTGTATAATCATTATACTGTGCGACAATTTTGCACCGGTGAATTAGTCCAATTTTAATATTTAAATCATTAATGCAAGATGTTATCACTATTTCACTTTTCCTACACTCACATCTGAGTCCTTCTTGGGCCTGTGAGTAAATCATTTATTGTACATCAGCTTCTGACTTAAAAAATCACCTGCGTAAGATGCCAGTGCTTGGAGGCCTTCGCGATGGGGTCGGTGACGTGGGTGCAGGCCGCCCCGAAGAGCATCAGCTTGTGGGGCCCGCTGTGCATCATGTCGAAGAAGGACTTGACACCCACGGCGGCGTTGCACTGGGGCCGGAAACGGGGAAAGAACGTAAGGAAATTAATGTTTTTACTGGTGTAGGGCGACGCATTAGCAGTCTCGTTCTCTAATATCAATATAATATTTATTAATTCCCAAGTGTATTAAATTCTGTTCGTATATAATATGGTTTTTAGCGGAGTACCGACCCAGTTCTTACAGCAGCGTAAAATAATTAATCACTTGCGATGGCCAGTACGAGGCTGCCACTCAAGAACTTTTATTTCGCATCAGTTATCGGTTCTAATAGCTATTTGCCCAGCTCGTTGCCTCAGCTTCTAGATTAGAGTAAATAGAATAGAGGATGGCGGTCTAACGTTCCCAACAACGCGACGAAAAGGAATATCAGTTGATACAAACCTGTGGTTAAGTTTTGGTATCTTGGTGTTAGAGATGAAAGTTCTGAGTTTCTCCAGGCAAAAAAGAGAAACTCACCTCTGTGTCGTTCCACCACATGTGGAGACGGTAGTTTCGCAGCACGGAGTCATGCTCGTTGACGTGGTCCAGCGCCAGCTTGACGCTGGGCATCACCCCACGACCTACAGCGGTGTTCACATAGCTTTGGTACTGCGCCCTTCGACTGATACACACATCCACAGAAAAAGAGAACGAACGAAAGAAAAGAAAGAAAGTGTTTACAATCAATGAATCAGACTTTTGCAGTCCACTGCTTGTTATAGGCCTCCCCAAGCTGTTTCGCAGTTGTCAAAAGTATAAAGTTTGTCTTTTGTAGATTCTTGTTTGGATTGTTTGCGGGTGATATTTTTCCTTGTTGCTAATAGAAAACCGTTCTCATTGATATTTTTTAGCGCTACTTTTTTAAGTTGTTTTTAAAAGACTGTTTACTGTTACTGTTTAAAGACTGTTTACAATAAAAAACATTTAAAGGTCTCTCTGGCGGCGGCAAAAAAAATGTATCGTTAATTAACGAAAATAGCCATTTATTTATGATTACTAATAATGTTCGAAGTTTTCTTAAACAGCCATACTTCACTTTCTCTTTTACTTTACTTTAGTTCACCAAGATCAGGAATTACCAGCAGGCCATTAAAATTGTTGGAATCGAACAATTATTATAGACATTTATTCCATCACCTTCATCTAGACACTTGCAGGATATGTCCATAATAACACAAAACTTTTAACATAAAAATATGAAATACTAAACTAAAATAATGTGTATCTGTAAAACAGTAAGTGCTTATTGTAAGTCGTCAAAATTTGAGATCGGGCCTGTTATAGGCTAGCTGTAAATAGATACCAGTGTTAGAGTTCTCGACTCCCTTGCCGAAAGGGAAGAAACCGGCTATGTAGACGTCCGTCCTCCGGTTCAGGATCGCGTCCAGGTTCGGCTTTTGAGGCAGGCCATGACTGAGCTGCAGAACTCCCAGCAGTATCAGCAGCATTGTAGCTGAAAATAACACGAGATATCCTGATGAAGGACCAGGTAACTGTGGTAGGGCCACACAACGATCTTCGATGTTGCACGAATTAGCAGGTCCGTCCGTGGAAGTACCACGACCTCACGGAAGACCGTAGTAAAGTGTAAATGCTATAGAAGTGTGTATGAGCAGACAGCGATGTGCAGGAACACGATGAGGAATTCGTTGATGTACGCCATGCCGACTGAAGTTGCGAGGCTTATTATTCTCTAGATATATCTGTTACATTGAGAGATTTTGACTGTGTTGGGGACACAACAGCATTTGCTGTTGCACGAATGGGTAGGTCCGTCCGGGTGAGTACCATGACCTTGCGAAGACCGGCGCGAAGTGGAAGCAATATACTTTTACATTCCGTCTGGTGAGTGAGATAGCCGAAGCCCAATTTATTGAAAGGTGGCATCTGCAACCCTAATGTGCTAATGTCGGTAGTTGACGGTTATCACTTGACATCAGGGAACCGCCAGCTCGCGTGCCACCTTCTCACATAAAAAAAAGGTTTTGCTACTCTACAGTGAACGTCGTGAGGTGATTAAAATTCTTCATGGATGAAGGTGATCAGCAAGCATACAGTTCCCCTGATGTTATGATTTCTGCTCCGACATACATATCAAAAATACCCCTGGCGGTGACAGATGCTTCACCGATCTTAAAGAGTAGGTCCTAGTTAATGAGCAGACAAAATGCGGCTTCTGTCGTTGCACGAATGGCCATCCTCGTCCGGGGAAGTTCCACGGTCAGATGACTACTGACTTTAATACTTTCGCGTTTCGCCTGATGACCGAGGGGAACCGGGGAGGTAAGGTTGAATGTTTGTAATTGGAAACTCTATTCGAACTTTCTAGTCGCTCCACGCCTCAATCGAGTCATGTTTATTGACTATTATTAAAAGAATGACTTTATGCAATAATTATAATCATAGAGAAGCTTGTAAACGGGTTAACGTGATATAGTCGCGAGACCTGAAACGTATGACCTATATATTATAATTATAATAGTCTCTCTTTTTAATCTAGTGTTATAGAGGGAAAGAAATGCATTTTTTAAAAACACATTTTTTTTTGGTAAATGCATTTCTTTATCTCTCTATCGAATATTTCTACCACATCTTTAACTACAGTACTGATTAATTGTCATGCAGTTAGCATTGCTAACATAATTTTGTGTTTAATAATAAGCGAAAAATGAGGAATGCTTTTCACCTATGCGCCCAAAAAGTTATGATCTCGTAAAAAATAAATATCTCTTAACGCTATTAAATTAATTACCACTACAGTACTACTCAAACCAATTCAGCGTGACTTTCCGCTCCAGCCCGTATATGTAAGGTCTACAGGAAGGTGTTATCATTTGTCTAAGATATTATGTAAATGACAACGTTCATCATAACTAAGTCCATAAAAGGCCAGGTAATCATATAACAGATAATAATATACTGTATCAGAAAATGTCCACAAATTATTTACAATCACAAAATAATCATCAAGGTGATCTTTAAAAATTCTTACATGTTGTAGAATCTTGCATCCTGGACTTTGTTTTATTCTTTGTGATCTTTTATAGTTCCAAAGCCTCTACGATATTTGAAAAATTCTTATAATGGAAAAAGAGGTATTGCAATATTAACCTTAATTAGAATTGATTCCCTTTTATCGCTTTTATTAGTATTCTATCATTTAATGATTTAATAATGGACCAAATAAGCTTTACGCACTTGTACAAATAAAATTTCAATCATAATCGCAAACAATATCGACTTACCGTCAGGCTTTCACCAGGCGAAATTTCCCAGCCCCCAAATGCGAAGGCGCACGCTGAAGCATCGGTTATCTCCACATTTTCACAACGCCACCGAATATTTTGCCAACACGTTTCATTTGAAAGAGAATATTCAGCTCAGATTAGCACATTATTACATAATTTTCCTGACTTTCATCGCGCGGCATAACTGCTGGTTCGTGAAACATGTTTTCGACTTTTCCACAGAAGCGACCTTTTCAGGCTGCGAGTTGAGTTCTAAAAACGGTTCTCATTTGATAGTCAAACGAACCAATGTGAGCTTTACCGTTGAAGCTTTAAGACACTTTATAAGGAAGGGGAATGTTATCTTTACATCGTCGTATTCGCAACGAAATGTCGCATCTTTATTCTCAACCTTTAGTAAATGCGTCACATTTTCTTAGTTATAAGATTAACTATCGCTTGTCAGTTAATGATGCATGTGATGTTATAGAGTTCGAACGTAGAGCAAACAGGCAAAATTAGGCTTTGACGAAGCGAATCGATAGAGGGTGGGTTACAGTAGTGATGTACACATTCAAATATCGATTCCTTGGATGGCGTTTATTTTATCGACTATATTTACATAACTTTATAAATATTTTTACATGTGTTCAACTAAAGCATATGATTTGCGTTGTGTCATACATCTCTTAGGACGCAATTGTGGTGACGAAGGTATCCCAGAAACAACTCCATCATCCACATCCGTAATGTTATTATAAATAATATTAAATTAGTTTGGTATGTTCTAAAGTCAATATCAAATCTATGCTAAACAGAAGTTGGATTCTAAAAGTTTTTAATGATACAATATGTCTCAAGTTCTAAGTTTACTACATTTAGTAAACAGTCGATAAACTTAAATCGATCGATATATGAACATTTTCGTAACAGTATACGAGCCCCGTTTGTTTTTTCCTCAAAGAATAAGTAAAAACATTTAGGCGAGGAAATATTGCTAGAATCTTAGCACTTAGTCACGACTAGAAAGTTTGCTTCAGTTTATTTTTTATTTATTAATATGTGCTATCGTCGAAAACATTTTAAGATATTTTCAATTGTGTCCTTTAGATAGAAACATAAATTGCAAGTGAGCAGTTGCAGTTAATACACAAACGTTATGAAAGGGGAGAAAAACACTGCCTATACATATCTCAACAATCTTCGTTGAATGTTTATTGACAGACTTTATAATTCTGTCGGGTCTAAAATTATATCGATATAAACAAATAATCTACATCCCTATTATTCAGGTGAAAACGCATGCGTACAGAAAATCTAGGTGTGTCTTGCCCGGCCCCCGGGTAACACTTAGGTCACTTATCTACATTATCTTAAGTTATTACATTATCTATAGTTACTTCTTATCCTTAGGTTGGATTTTTCAATCTTGATACAATGTTTCCAATAGATACATATGCATACAAACGTGCTATTTTCAAATATACAATATTATCTCATAACTAAGAAGTGTTCTATGAATCTCGAGAGTAAGATAACTATTAACTTAAATATTATTCAAAAGTTTGATATTTAGTAAGAATGATGGTTTAATGCATTTAGATGACGCATTTAGATGACATAGTGAATGTGACAGATGATGTTATAGAACGTATGTCACGGAAAGAGATAGCAGTCTATAGAGTATAGAATTACAATCTAATTACACCAAATGGCGTAATTTAAGTGGCTTTGTTTCGGTGCGCTAACTGTCCTAACTACGTTGTATTTGTACATAATATCATTTATAGTAAGAATAAAATTGAGTAATGTAATGCTTATTGTTATTGTTATTGCTTAATGTTTGAAGACTAAAGTCTTCAATCAATGTGTGTTGCCAGTGATGACCTACGGAACCGAGATGTGGTCCTTCACTGCTGGCCGTATGAGGAAGCTCAAAGTCGCTCAGCGAGCTATGGAGCGGGCTATGCTCGGTATTTCTCTGCGTGATAGAGTTCGTAACGAAGACATCCGCAGTAGAACCAAGGTAACCGACATAGCTCAGAGGATTAGCAAGCTGAAGTGGCGATGGGCCGGCCATATAGCTCGTAGAACCGATAACCGTTGGGGATCTCGAGTGGCAGCCTCGTACTGGCCATCGCAGTGTAGGACGACCCCCCACTAGATGGAGTGACGACCTGTGCAAATGTGCGGGAAGTCGATGGATGTAGGTGGCTCAGGATCGTACTTCGTGGCAGTCTATGGGGGAGGCCTATGTTCAGCAGTGGACTCAAACAGGCTAAAATGATGATGATGATGATGATGCTTATTTTCTACAACATGTATTATAAAACAATGTAATTCGATTCCTTCTCAAAAATTTGTATAAAAAGCGGTGAAATGTTCCATCTATCTTTCACACTCGATATTTTATATCGTAACTCCTTGTAATAAAGGTTTGATTTCATGAATTTAAAATTGACATTATATAGTTTAAAATTGCCATAAGCAGAAATTTACATTCCGTTTCATCTTAATAACAATAGCCATTTAATTTCTCTGTTAGCAAAAACTTATAAAAGCAATTTAATTAACATAATAATTACATGTGATAAATATTAAAAGAACTTTTTTAAAGTAAGAAGATTGGGTATTACCTGTGGTGCTCAAACTAGCAAAAATACATTTATTTCAAAAACGTTTCGTTTTATGCAGGTTTGCTGAAATTTCAAAAGTTCCACATAAGCGGTGTTATGCTGACAACACCGTCTGCCAGAATACGTGGCCCTGTAAGTCAGTGCTGTTCATGTGTCTTGTTTATATTTTTTATTGTAATAATTCTATAAAATTCTCCATTGAAGCCGTAAGTATTTTAAGATGAAAATCATAGGTTTATTTCTTATTTATGTGCCTGATAATTTAACATGAACTGCTAAGTTATAATGAATTAAAGATACGATGGCATCTGTCAAACTTTAAACTAACAAGATTTTGTAAGATATTATTAGAATTAAGCTTTGTTTCTGTTTTGTGTTGTGACTTTTAAAATTATAACTGTGAAAACAATTATTATTTCCTATAAATTTTATATATTCCTATTTTTCAACCTTCTATTTTTATATGACGCGTAGTTTTTTCGGCAATTAGTTCATATCTGAGCTATGTTTTTGACCTGCTTTTAAATGATTAAAACATTACAACATGGAACAGTATTGAATGTAAATTTAATCTATTGATTGTTTATTAATGGTAAACGTAATATATTTCATGTTACGTTTACTAATCACATTTCTATCAACCATATACTTGACAGGGAGAAATTTTATTATTTTTTGATGACAATACACACTATACTGTTTGTTAAAATAATATCATGCTCAATTCAGCTAGATTTACCATGCTTGCATCTGAAAATGCTATGGTTCTGGGTAAATGTCTTGGGTCTAATCTTTGTCTTTTCATCTTTTCATGTGTTATTGCAAATTTATGATGAAATAGCAGTTTATTTTGACTTAACCCCGCTTGTTCTATTTCAATATTAAATATCTTTATTGTATTTTTAAACATTATTTCTCAAAGGTGTTTTTCATCTCAGCACCTTAACTTTCATAATTCTTTATCAAATTCAATAATTCAAACACCAAACAGCTTATTTTTGCCGCCAATGAAAAAAAATATAGAATTAAGTACACATTTCCATAAAAGTAACTAATGTTTAAACATTTCGTATAAAGAATGTATGTTAATGTAGTGTAGTGTGGCATCTATTATAGGCCCTGTGAATATTCCTTTTTATTTTGTTATTTAATAACTATACCACCGTGTATTAACATATATTATTTGTCCTAATCAATCTAATAAAAGCTTATAAACATTTTGAAGCAATCATAAGAAATTATTTTGTTAATTATTTTGTTAATTAAAAAAAATACATCATTCTATAACTATTAAATAATGTTTTACTACAATAGAAAAACAACAAATGATGTGGCATGCAAAAAAGAACAATATTTGTTTTATTGTATATTATTTATATGATATTGTAAGTTTTGACAACTCATTTTTGTAATTTCAGGTTTATCGGCTTCAAGCAAGATGATGAATCCTCAGTACTTACCACCGGGCCAAAATAATAATGCACCTAACAATCCACTGGGCTTCCCACCAACGTCTCAAGATTACAATGGAGTACAGAACGCTAACATCTATAGTCAAATGCCACCAAATGGACCACAAATGCCAATGAAGCAGTTTGATCAAGATATGTCACAGAAAATGCAGAATATGAACTTGAATGGTCCTCAAGGGATACCCTCCTCACAGCTGCCACCTGGTCAATATTCGCCTGCAAATTTTGCACCCGGTCAGTTGCCTCAGGGCATGAGGCCGCCTGTTTCAATGGCAAATAGACCCCCTGTTAGTGGGGCTTCCCAATTTCAACCTCAAATGCAGCCGTCTTCTTCGACTCCCGGACCCACTTCGACATCTCAATCTCAAGGGTTTAGCCAGATGCCTGGCCAGGATCAAAACAGGCAGTACCAAGGGCCCCCAAATTCTATGTCTATGTTACAAGGGCCACAGAAGCCTACCATTTCTCAATCCGGCCCCCCAACAGGACAGGGTCCTCCAATGCAAATGTCTCAGGTGCCTCCTCATTCTCAACCCGTGCTTCCACTGCAACCCAGTATGATGCCAAGGCCACAGGGCCCATCGGACCAATCAAAACCACCTGGGCAGCAGCAATCACTTATGGGTGGGTTTCAATCGGGTATGCCATTACAACCTAGTCAACCAGGTTTCCTACCCCATCAGGGATTACAACCTCCGTCAAGTCAACCCCCGTCAAGTCAACCCAGTGCAGGTGTTCCCTCGCAACAAAATGCTCAGCAACAGCAAATGCGTCAACCGAGTATGCCTGCGCAGGGTCCTCAGCAACCGGGAACTGGTTTTCAGGGACAACCCCGCGGTCCAATGTCTGGAATGCCGCCTCCATCTGGAACCGTACCCGGTCCAACAGGTCAGCCCCAGATGGGTCCTGGACAAATACCCCACTCTCAAGCTGGTCTTCCACCGCAACCCGGTATGCCCCCTCAGCAAATTCCTTCCTCTCAGTCCCAATTTCCGTCCATGCCTGGCCTACCACATATGCCACCGCCACTTTCGCAACAAAGGCAGCAACCAGGGTCATTCCCAGCAGGACCCCCCGGAACTTATGGTGAGCAAACAATTTATATGGGATATTAATGTTCCTTTCTTATACTTACATTTAGTGAGAAAGCCATAAGAATTGTTTATCATTAATTAATAAAATTATTTTTACCAAACTACAACATTTGGGCCTTGAAGTGTTTATGATCTCATGGCTCAAAATAATTGATTTGATAATTAAATTTTCGATAATTCAATAACCTGTTCAATTAATTACATTTTTAATAATCACTTGCAATTAAGTTATAACAGGCATGTGATTGTTATGTAAAATAATTATTTAATAAATAATTTCTTAATTTCTGTACTCTAAATTAATAATTGCTTGCTTTTAGGCATGCCTCCAATGCCTGGGCAACAATCAATGCAAAGTCAGCAACAAATGCCAGGACAACCGCCAATGCCAGGTCAATCACCAATGCCAGGTCAACCACCAATGCCAGGTCAACCACCAATGCCAGGTCAACCACCAATGCCAGGTCAACCACCAATGCCAGGTCAACCACCAATGCAAGGCCAGCTACAAATGCCTGGCCAAATGCCAATGGCTGGTCAACAACCAATGCCCGGCCAACCACCAATGCAAGGCCAGCTACAAATGCCAGGCCAACCACCAATGCCGGGCCAAATGCCAATGCCTGGCCAACCACCAATGCCTGGCCAACCACCAATGCCTGGCCAACAACCAATGCCAGGCCAGCCACCCATGCCAGGACAACCTCATGGATACCAGCAACAACCTGGCTATCCACCATTCCCTGCACAGCAACCAAGTTATCCTGGTCAACAATTCCCCCAACCGCAACAGAGACGTCTTGACCCTGATCAGATGCCAAGTCCGGTTAGTCTTTAAAGCCTTTCCAATGCCAAATAATTTAACCAGTCAAAGCACTTCATAATAATTCATTCAGTCAGAGCACTTCATATAATACTCATGACTGACACTAAATGGAAATAAATAACGATATCTTAAAATACCAGTCCTCTGTCTCCTTACTCCGGGCAAAAAGGCTATTGAGATAGTCTTTAAAATTAAAAAACATAAAGTAGAATTTTCGTATGGGTACTGTGTTTGGAGAGGTGTCATAACAAAGCAATAATACCTGTTTAATATAAATAATCCTTGCTAACAAATCAAATTATTTCCTAAGACCACTCATGTTAGTAGCTCAAATTTAAGTTAATATTCTTCAGTATGCGTTGCTTATATGCTTTCAGATCCAAGTGATGGCGGACGATCAGCAGAATCGCGGTGGTGTTTTCGTCACCAACGAGAAGGGCCTGGTGCCACCGCTTGTCACTACAGACTTCATTGTGGACGACAAGGGCAATTCAAGTGAGTGACCGTTTAAACTTGAGTGCAGTAGGTACATGTCGATTGAAGAGAAATTTAAATCAGGGTTGCAATTCTAAAATCTAATAATAGTAATATACAACAACTAATAGCTGTAGTATTTTTATTGGCAGTTTTTATAGCCACTGAGCATTTAGTTCTCTACACATTGTTTACCAATGCCGAAACACATTTGGTATTATAACTAAATTGCCAACCTTTAAAATAGTGTGACCAGTTGCAACACTCATCAATCAGATGATATGAGAAAATATGATACTTCTGCGTCATGCTAGTATTATGTGAGTGGTACGCCTGATAAAGCCACTGTAAGGCTTTATATCATAGTAAGGGAAACTGATTACACCATCTGATAAAACCATTCCTTTAAAACTAGTGCTACCATAAGTCTAGTGCTACTATAGTTTACTAGATAGTAAAATTAGGACTAGCTTCCATTTGATTTCTACAGTTTAATATTTGAAAGAATGTTCCATTGTACTGATATTACATTAATCATATGTGGTATGGAAATTTTGCATACACAAATTTCAAGCAGACAATTTATGTCATGGCTATGTAGTTTTTCTTGTAAGTAAGTAATTCACTTGGAGATTGAATATATTCACTATATAATAATATAAATTCTTTACAGGTCCGCGATATATCCGAAGTTCAATGTACAGTGTGCCAGTAACCGCTGACCTACTTAAGCAGACATCAATGCCATTCTGTTTAGTTGTGAGTAATGTTGTAATGTTAGTAAATTTAATGGTGGTAGATGTAGTTTAAAATAACAAATACAGTTTTTTTTTTAATGTGAAAATTGTCTAGCAAGCAGGCTGTTCATCTGAAATGTTGACGATGGTGATGATAACTATTAACCAATATCCACATTCTAGATTTCTCCTATGGCTGAGACAGTGGGGCCAGAACAGGAGCCCCCTCTGCTGGACTTTGCTGCCCTGACGGGGTCTCCGACCATGGGCCCGGTCCGCTGCAGCCGCTGCAAGGCCTACATGTGCCCCAACATGAAGTTCATTGACGCCGGCAGGCATTTCAAGTGTGCTTTCTGCAAGGCCACCACAGAAGGTAGCGTGCATATTATGGTGCTTATCGGTTTGACTATCACTTATCTGTGACTCACCTACTAAATGACATTTTTTATACAACATATATTAACATACACTACAAGAAAATATCATTATGATTTGCGTGAACAGGTTTGAGAAGTAATTTCCAACTATCAGTACAACCTAGAAGATCTATTGTAGTCTAAACTACTGTACTACAGGGGATAGTATTATAAATAAAGGACTACAGCTTTGTACTACTGATAATAAAGCAATATAGTACTGCCAACTTTACACTTGATATTGTTTATTATAAAAAACAATGTCATATTATGTACAGTTTTGAGTACATTAGTTAATATAAATACCATCAACAATCAATAAAGATTACTGACCCAGTATACAAATTCTCCTTTTTATTTCATATGTTGTATTTCATTTTCACGTTTGTGACATCGGTGTAAACAAATGTATATGTAAAACTTCTCACAGACTTTGTCTAAAGATAATAAATAGCAATCTATGACAGATTAGTGGTGTTGTATATCATAGAAACATTTTAAAGATGGACTTCAATAAATTTACTCCTTTAAAATTCCAATAATTTTTTTATCCAGTTCCGATGGAATACACACAGTATATAAACAGCATGCAACAGTACGGCCGTGTCCCAGCTGAAATGGCGCTTGGCACTTACGAAATCGTTGCCACCAAGGAGTATTGTAGGGTGAGTCATGCCCCAAGAATATTATTAAATCTGAGGTGCTTATCAAATGTAATAATTTGTTGCCAATTAAATGCTAATCGTGTTTTGTGAGTTTAGACACATATTGTGTTCTGTGAGTACAGTAAAGTAACATTCCATAAATGTCCCACTTTTGGGCAAAGACCTTATCTGTATAGAGTGTATTAGTGCATAGTTTACATGCGACCCCACTGCGGATTGGCAGACTTCACAATAAGCATGTGATGTATTTTTGTGTAAAAGTTTGAAAATGCTTTATAAATATAATATGTAGAAAGCTATTTCGTTACCTTATACATTAAAATAAATGGACACTAAGTTACGATTACACATTATATCACATTGATTCATTGTGTAAGAAAAGGAAGTTGAGTAAAGTTCTTACTTTACTCTACTTAATCCTTTATTTTCCTCTCTACTTAATCCTGGGCTTTTGTAAAAAGCCTCCTCTGTATAGAGGGAAACTTTGTCCAGCTGTTATTTATTAACTTCATGGACTTTTCTCTCTTTGCAGAACAACAAGCTGCCGAATCCACCCGCAATAGTGTTCGTCATCGACGTCTCGTATAATGCTATCAAGAATGGCCTTGTGCAGACGGTGTGCGACAACATAATGGACTTTATTGAGGTGAGAGTTTTTCAAAAGCCACTCAAAAGTTATCGGGCTATGATATAGCCTTGGGGAAGAATGGAAAAGTTCTCGTTTAAAACCGGCTAATTATAAAATAATGGAAAGGGAGATTAATATTATTAATGAGATTGCTTTAAATTAGGCTTGAAAAGGTTTCTCGTCACCTACCCAGTAATTCATCCAAATTATTACCTAACTGTAATAGATGTTGTTTTGCAAGCCGTAAACTATAATTTGATCTAGTTTCTTTTAACTTATTTTTAATATTTATTTTTAGAAAGGCGTTTTGTCACACAGTGACTATGACACCCCCATTTAATAATCCCTTGTAACGTTTTACGATGACTTGAATGGGAATATTATATGGGAATCCTTAAAGCTATGTGTCCTTGGCTAGAAAAAAATGAGGCAGATAGTTTTTTCTTTTTGACGTTTTACCCATTTCCCCTGTACAGGCTATGCCGAAAGACGAGCAGACCGGGCAGAGCTGGACGCGAGTGGGCTTCATCACTTACAGTTCGACAGTGCATTTCTACAATATCAAGGTCTGTATCAGTCGAAAGTAAACTAGAGTTAGTGCATAGTGAACTTGTCTCAAATCTTCCCACTACGGGAACAATAAATATGGTATTTCCGTAGTGTCGGGCGTTCTTCATTCAATATAGAAGCATTACACTTAGTTATTGATTGTTAAAATACTACTGCCAGTTTGAAAAACCTTTTTTTATATACCCTTATTTGACAACAAATTGTGAAATATGTAATTGTAATCCATTTGACATTTAACAGCCAGGAGCGATCGATTCATTTCCAGATCGGTTAAACAATAAGTAGATACAAAGCAAGACCATGAATCGGTTTCGTTTAAGAACATTTCAAAGAGGCCATTATAAGCTGGGCAGAGGCGGCTGGTCCTCACAAACCGCTAGATGGCATACGGTGATGTCCCGTCTGACCGGACCTCGTGTCCGGAGAGGCCATTACAAGCTGGCCAACGCTGCGAGTTGGCATACTCTGATTTCCCGTCTGACCAGACCTCGTGCACCTCTTGTCCAGGGCACCCTGGCCCAGCCGCAGATGCTGTCGGTGGGCGACGTGGGCGACGTGTTCGTGCCGCTGCTCGAGGGGTTCCTGGCGCTGCCCGAGGAGAGCGGGCCCGTGCTGGCCGCTCTGCTGCAGCAGCTGCCGGCCAACTTCAAGGACAACAAGGAGACGGAGACGGTGCTGCTGCCCGCCGTGCAGGTACGCTGGAGGGGGGGGATGGGCGCGGGGGGAGTCTTCAACCGACTCCGGAAAAGGAGGAGGCTCCCGATTCAGTCATATACTAGTTTCGATTGAATCGGGAGCCTCGAAGACACCAAGATACGAGTTTTACCATTCAAAATACATATGCATATAAAGTTTCATTTGGGTAAACAGTTAGTAGTAAGATATTTTCATTGTTTTGCTAGTAATAATCGATATTATGTTAAAATATACGACAAAAGTGTATTTCGATTCGAACCTTCACTGTCTTGAGATCCTATTTACTCCCGAATTAGCCTACTAAGTATTAATATGTATTTAATTACAGTAGAAAATGTGTTTTATGTTTATCAGTTACCTAGTACCCATAGTATTAAGCTTTGTTTAATTTAGGACTAGATAACGTTTTGTAAAAATAACTCCTGCCAATGTATGCTATTTATACATTTCTACAGTACGCTTGAGTCATCTTAAAGACGTTTGGCCGAACGGAGTGTACTTATGATGTGTGTTAGTAAACAGAGAGGGCGCTAGAATCAATATCTCTTTCTCTCTCGTCCCAGGCTGGCCTAGAGGCGTTGAAAGCGGCTGACACGTCCGGCCAGCTGCTGGTGTTCCACACGACGCTGCCCACGTACAACGCGCCCGGCAAGCTCATCAACCGCGAGGACAGGAAGCTGCTCGGAACGGACAAGGAGAGGCAGATACTCAGTGAGCGATTTTGGTCATTACCGCGGTAGGGCCATGCAGCAGCCTCGGCTGTTGCACGGATGGGCAGGCCCGTCCGGGTAGGTACCACGACCTCACAGGAGACCAGCGTAAAGTGGAAGCATGACAAATAGTTTCGCGTTTCGTCAATTTTCAAAAGGTTGACAACGCATCTGTAACCCACGGGTGCAGCAGATGTCCATGGGCGGTGGTATTCACTTAACATCAGGTGAACCGTCTGCCGGTTTGACAACTTTTCGCATAAAAAAAAAGTACTCTGAGTACTCTGTTATGGAAGTGCTACGACTGTTCTACGGCGTAGTGTACGGCTGGTAGTTTTATGTTTTATAGCTCTCCTCTTGCCCTTATCGAAACGTAGATGTCCTGGTATATGTGAATCATGCTGTTGCTAGGATTTTACGAGCAGCACCTGAGTTCAACTATTCCTGCGAACAAATATCCACGTCCGTAATAATTACACATGGATCAAATATTTCTCCAGTGTTGAAATTGTTTCCACAACCCCTTCTCCGAAGTCAATAGCTTAGCAAATGCATAAACGAGTCATCCTCGACGGCTAGTCGTCCCGTCTAAACTGTATTTGCTGCACTGTAGCATAGTAGCAGCCGTCTCGTAGACTTCTAAAAAAATAAAAAAGGTATTGGTTTCCGTGACAGGGGTCGTGTGTTCGATTCCCACGCGAGGCAATTTTTTTTTGAGCCACTGATACTTATTGTTTCGGACGTGGGTGTTTCACGTGAAATCTATGTATGTAAAACACCCTTACATCACAGGATAATGTTATCCTACAAATTCAAATATCATTATTCAACATAGGAGCATTAAACTAATTGTCACATTTTTTGATTACCGGTTTGGAAAAGAAGAGAAGAACCGGCGAAAGAAATTTAAAGAGATAATTTTTTGACAGTGTGAACATGTTTAAAATATGTTAAATACAGTATAAAGAGCCTGGAGCGATCAATTAAATCCTAGATTAAGGGGCAATGTTTTCGAAGGGACGACTACAATAGATCTCCTACTGGTCGTTGGGACTTGCTGCCCAACACGGTATAATACATAAGCCCACAGTGCTATGGCGTAGCGCTACAATCATCCACATAAAATGCAATGGAATACTCAATGCATCGGGCGCCCGTGCTACGGCGTAGCGCTAATCTCGACACCCGTGCTCAGTGCCGCAGACGACCGCGTACAACGAGCTGGGGCAGGCGTGCTCCGGCGCGGGCGTGTGCGTGGACATGTTCGTGTGCAACAACGCGTACGTGGACGCGGCCACCATCGGCCAGCTGCCGAGGCTCACCGGCGGCCAGCTCTACAAGTACACCTACTTCAACGTGAGCGCCACCATTGTGTACAACTAGCTCAACCATTCGAGTGCTACGCCCTTGGTAGAGCCCCTTTGAATAGTTGAATCGAGTGTGTGTGTGTAGTAGAATTATTATTTCAACGCGAGCGCGCGACGCTTGTGTACAACTAGCTCAACTATTCGAGCGCGCTACGTTCTACGCGCTTCGTAGAGCCCCTTTGTGCTATGTAGTAGAATCGTTGTTTCAACGTGAGCAACTCTTGTGTTTTTTGAAGTAACACTTCTAATGCGACTTCCAACAAGGTTGCGTTAAAAGTTTAACGATACCGTGTAGTGGGTGTGAAAGCACTGTTGCGTTAAACGTTCAACGCTCCTGGGAAGGGGAATAGAAAGAGACAGAGCGAGAGTAGCACTCGAAGTTTCACTTCTTCCGCGCGGAGGGACTTCACGCAATATTTTTATTTTTATGTGATAAGGTGGCAAACGAGCTGGCGGCTCATCTGATGGTAAGTGATAACCGCCACTCATGGACTATTGCAACACCCATGGCGTTGCAAATGCGTTGCGAACTTTAAATAAAGCGGGCCCCAGCTACCTCACTCACCAGACGAAACGCAGAAGTGTAACACTTCTACTTTACGTCGGTCTCCTGTCACGTCGTGGTACTGCAACAGCCGAGGCTGCTGCGTGGCCCTACCACCGTAAAGTTTGGTTAGTCGTTTGTGTTGACTACAAACAAACAAACTAACCAACCATGCAAACAGCTCCGAAGCGAAAGCCAACAGCTCAGAAAGCCAACGCCTTGTTGTCTATCTGCACTAACAAAGATTATAATGTGTACCATTCATTATGTTCGATGGAACAATAGCGATAGATAGGTAGTCCTACACATGTCTCGAGAGCAGACGTAGACGTCGGGTGTGTGCGTGTGTGCTAACGAGCGTTACACATATACCTTCTCGAATGCGAGCGTCTACGCATGCGTGCCAACGGACGCTACGCGCACACGTCATTTCGATAGCGGACGCGCGTATACTATCGAGCGCTTCGACTGCGCTTGTGAGCGTGCAAACGAGCGCTGCATCGATAGCGGGCATGTTTGCGAGTGTGCTAGCGAGCTACGCACTCACTTTCGACTGCGCGCGTGATTGCTAAGAGCGGGTGCGCGTGCGTGTGCGTGCGCAGGCGGAGACGGACGGCGCGCGGCTGGCGTGGGACGTGCGGCGCGCGGTGTCGCGCGGCGTGGCGCACGACGCGGTGATGCGCGTGCGCTACGCGGCGCGCACCTTCTTCGGCTCCAACAGCACGGCGTGCGCGTGGTGAGAGCGCCGGTGCGCGTGGTGCGCGTGGCGTGGCGCAGGCGGAGACGGACGGCGCGCGGCTGGCGTGGGACGTGCGGCGCGCGGTGTCGCGCGGCGTGGCGCACGACGCGGTGATGCGCGTGCGCACCTCGACGGGCGTGCGCGCCACCGACTTCTTCGGACACTTCTTCATGTCCAACACCACGGACGTCGAGCTCGCCGCCATAGGTGAGCCTGTCGCCACCGCGGTCTTGACGCAGTTAAAGTCGTCCAGCGAGGAAGACGTTCCACCTGATGTTATGTGAATGCCGCTGACTGACCGTCTACAGCTTGAAGATACGTAGGCAACCTTTGGAAAGCGGGCCCCGGCTACCTCACTCGCCGAGAGAACGCGGCAGTTTAATGCTTCGCGCTTCGCACGAATCTTCAAAAGGCTTTGCTACACAGAGTGCCACGAAGCAAAGACGTGGACAACACAAATGACACAAAATCGCAAACCTAAGTTCTGATCGAGCTATTTGTATAAAAATAGCTTGATCAGAAGTTCCTCTCATCCATCATGCTAATATTTTATTTTATTCCTTGTTTTGTTGAAGAACGTTAACGTTTAACGGTGGTAGAGCCACGCAGCAGCCTCGGCTGTTGCACGAATGGGCAGGCTCGTCCGGGTAATTACCACGACCTCACAGAAGACCGGCGTAAAGTGGAAGTATGTCAAATACTTTCGCGTTTCGTCTGGTGAGTGAGGTAGCCGGAGCCCAATTTCAAAACAGGTTGTCAACGCATCTGCAAACCCTCGGGTGTAGCAGATGTCCATGGGCGGCGGTTTTCATTTAACATCAGGTGAACCACCTGCTCGCTTGGCAACTTTTCACATACAAAAAAAAAAAAAAAGAAATACTCCACGTTCAGCGAATTCGTAGTCTACATTATCCAAGCTTCTTATCAATAGTCAACTCCTAATTGTCAAATCGATCAATTTTTGAACGTCAAACAAAAAAAAAAAAAAACAAATAATTTACACAAGACGGGATACCGTAAGTACAGGTACGGTGACACTGAAAGTTTGACGTGAACCGAATTTGTCTACCGGAGCGAGTGTGCCAATTTCGAACGGAGCCGTTCTCCCTTCACAGATTCCGACAAGGCCATCGGCGTCGAGGTCAAGCACGACGACAAGCTGACCGGCGAGGACGGCGTCTACATCCAGGCCGCGCTGCTCTACACGCGCCGCTGCGGCCAGCGGAGGCTGCGCGTCATCAACCTGGCCCTCAACGTGGCCCACCAGCTCGCCGACGTGTACAGGAGCGCAGAGCTGGACACCATGATAGCATTCTTCGCCAAGCAAGGTCTGTGAAGCTGCATCCAAGTCCAGGTCCCCACGATGACCATAGCGATAGCATATCGTAGCGTTTTACCGCGAGTTGATTGTAAACAGAGTTGTATGAGATTTGTTAGATTTTCTTCTGATATATGTACTTCTTTAATACCTTTGATTTTTCTCTTTTTTCGGGTCAAATTAAGAAGTACGGAATATTTCCTCTCTTAAGACTAAACTATATTTATCAAATAAATTATAATTAAATGTTAATGTGATAATGTACTTAGTAGATTCAACAAGGGCCCAAACTATCATATTAAATGAAACCGTCATAAATTAAAATCCTAAAGGAGTATCATATAATAATGCGAGGTGAGAGATGATTACCTTTCTTTGCTGTTGTTTGAATGGGCAGGTCCGTCTGGACAATTAGCACGAGTTTACAGACGACCGTCGTAAAGTGCAAGTGTTACAATTTCTACGTTTCGTCTGGCGATTGAGGTAACCGGGGCGTACTTTATCAAAAGTTAGCAACGCATCTACGACCCTAGGTGCGATGCATATGTCCACGGGCGGCGGATATCGCTTAACATCATGTGAACCTCCTACTGGTTTAAAAACTTCTCACAAAAATTTTTGTACGAGCAGTCCCTCCAGCTCTACTAAGCGGTCTTAAGCTTAACACGATGTACTCCGTACCCGTTGTGTATTAAAATTAAAAAGATTTATCGTTTAATATTCGCGCAAATAAGTGACACCCCTAATCCGTAGTAGATTTAAATAAAAAAAGCGACAACCCTAAACCGCAGGGGTGTGGGCGCTGCGCGAGGCGCCGCCGCGGCAGGTGCGCGAGATGCTCTCCGCGCGGTGCGCGCGCTCTCTGGCCGCGTACCGGCGCCACTGCGCCTCGCCCTCCTCCGCCGGCCAGCTGGTGCTGCCCGAGTCGATGAAGCTGCTGCCGCTCTACACCAGCTGCCTGCTGCGCTCGGACGCGATCGCCGGCGGTGAGTGGATTTGTATGAAGTGAATTGAAGCGCAGTGAAGTACAGTCAAATGAAACGATGTGAAATGAAAGTAAATTAAATGAAACGAAGTGAAATGAAAGTAAATTAAATGAAACGAAGCGAGAAGAGAGGTATACGCCCCCTGCTAACAAAGTGCCCTCCCCCCCCCCCCCCCCCCCCCCCAGGGCCGGACGTGACGTGCGACGAGCGGTCGTGCGCGATGTACCGCGCGCTGAGCGCCGACGTGGCGCAGTCGCTGGCCTACACGTACCCGCGGCTGCTGCCGCTGCTGCCGCTGCAGGCGGGCGAGGGCCCGCAGCCGCAGCCGCTGCGCGCCTCCATCGACAAGATGAGCGACCAGGGCGTCTACCTGCTGGGTGAGTGCGAGCCTTTTTTCCAGAACCTGCCACGCGACCAGGTGCTAAACCCGAAGACACAATTTTTGAAGAATTTTGCACTCTTCCTATGGGTGAGCATACAAATCGACATCAGTCGATTGTTCAGACTTTACGGTAGGTGGAGCCACGCAACAGTCTCTGAACGGGCAGGTCCGTCCGGGCGGGTACCACGACATTACAGGGGAAGACCGGCTTGAAGTGAAAGTGTTACGCTTCTGCGTTTCGTTTCTGCTAACGTATGCATGTACGATGCCAACGTATCTGCATACCCACGGGTGTTGCAAATGTCCATGAGCGGCGGTTATCACTTAACATCAGGTCGACCTTCAACTCATTTGCCACCTTCGACCGATTTTCGCGGCGAGACGTTATCGGTCTAAGGCATCTAGATAGGCTCGCCATTCAACTTCGATCCTCACTTAGAGATTAAATACCAAAGAGTGGCGTCCAATCTTACCCTACCTCTCGACTTTGACCTCGACCTTGACCGCGACCCCGATCCCCCGCAGAGAACGGCGTGCACATCCTGATCTGGATAGACTCTAGCTTCAACCCCCGCTTCGATCTTAATACCAAAGAGCGGTGTCCAATGTCGACCTACCCCTTACCCCCCGCAGAGAACGGCGTGCACATCCTGATCTGGGTGGGCTCGCTGGCGCCGGGCGAGTTCGTGCGCGACGTGTTCGGCGTGGCGTCGCCGCAGCAGGTGGACGCGCAGGTGTGCGAGCTGCCCGAGCTGGACACGCCGGCCGGCCGCGCCGTGCGGGCGCTCGTCGACCAGGTGCGCCTGAAGAGGCGCTGCGCGATGCGGGTGAGTGCGCCCCGCTGCCGCTGCTGACGGTACGGCGGCTCTTGGCTTCCCTCCCTGCTGCTGCTGCCGTCCGCTGCTGACGGTACGGCGAGTCGCGGATTCCCTCCCTCCCTAACGACGCAGACGGTGCGGTAGCTCTTGGATTCCCTTCCTGCCGCTGCTGCCGTCTACTGCTGACGGTACTGCGGCTCGTGGATCTCCTCCCTCATTGCCGATGCTGATGGTACAGCGGCTAATGAATCCCCTCCGTCCTGCCGCTGCTGACGGTACGCCGGCTCGCGGATTCCCTCCCTCTCTGCCGATGCTGACGCTATAACGGCTAGTGAATCCCCCCCTCCCTGCTGCTGTTGCCGTACGCTGCTGACGGTGCTACGGCTTGGGTAGGGTACATTTACATCTTCGGTACTAAAGGTAGTAAGATGTTCCCTGCTGCCACGGATGTGGCGCCCGCTGACGTTACAACGGCTAAGGGATGAATATAGATAGATCTTATGTAGTAACGGTAGTAAGAGATCTCAGCTATCACGGCTGGGATAATCATAGATTTTATTTACTACATATAGGTATTAGGAGACAACAATGCTAATATATAACTGCTAATATATAACCAATGCTAGTATATAAAAAAGGGCCTGCCTAGTGCCATGGTTTAACTTTTTCCATTTAAGCGAACTATGTGTATTATTTTATTACATGACATATACATCTCTAGTCAATACCGATGAGTTATAGTACTGCTCAAACATTACACCAATTTAAATTATTCTTACACAACTTCAAGTCACATCTATGTAAGGAACAGGAAAGCCTTCGTTGGAGTTATATTAAATTCCTACTACTACAGAGTACCGTGCTGATGATTGTATATGCGGTATATGCATACACTGAACAAATCAGCTTCAACAATTTTGACGCGATTTTCAAATAGAGCGTAATGGAGAATGGGTATTGGAAGACACAAGAAAGAAAGGAGGAAAGGAAAGACAAGAGAGAGAAAGAAAGGCAATGGAGGCTTGTGATTGGTCTCTTTAAAATGACACCTGAGGTGTGACCACCATGGACCATGGTGTTCTATCACATTATTTTAGAATTCGACTTGTACCACGATGGTAGGGCAGATCTTAACCGTACCTAATCAATTGTGAAAGAGACAGTAGTTTAAAATTGGTTGAAGCATTAAAACTTCGAGGTCCGCGATCGATGAAGATTTAATATTGTCTATGGATTGAAAGCGAGAACATCATTCATTAAAGATAATAATGATAAAGTCAGACTAGGTCTTCCTCTTTACTTTTCACTCTATTCTCTATGGTGTGCGGTGGACGTTTGATTGCATGTCTTCTTTTATTTGTACCGGCTTGCTTGATAGATTAAAAGATCCATTGCTCACACACACACATATACATTTTTTGAGCTATGAACTCTATCGTGTATGAAAATTTAATGGTTGAAACAATTTTTTCGAATAATAAAATCGACCAAGATATATGTAGATATGTTATTTCATTTTTACTTTAGATATGATATCTGCTATTTTTTAAAAATAACAATTCAACATTTTAATTTTCCTCAAACATTTTGTAATCGTAATTGTTTTTTTTTTTAAATTAGGTTTATAAAATGTTACGACCAATCGCTGTCCTATAAATAGTGACAATTAATACAGTATTCGGCGATACATATTGCACGACCTTTGGTAAGAGAAAATTTGGTCAGCTAATTTTGGATTTGTAGAGCGTTCTCTATCGCACACTTGTACAAACGACTGACATAACGATATATTCGGTACATTAACGTTTTAATAATTTGAGACACCTTTTTGCTACTTTTAACAATATGAACGATTTTGCGACGAAATTATGTTTGACATTGCGAGCGCAAACGACTCTTCGACGGGTGCAGACTAAGCGTGTTTGCACGCGCATGTCGATGCATGCACACATGTGCACGCGCATGCATGCATGTGGCTGTGCATACATGTTGACATGCAACGCCTGTTCTTGTGTCAATGCGTACATACATAAAAATGCGCACCCAAACATGCGTACATGTGCGCGCGTGTCTCCCAGCTGCAAGTGCTGCACCAATACGACAAGAGCGAGGCGCAGTTCCGTCGGCTGCTGGTGGAGGACAGTGGCCCGGATGGCAGCGCTTCGTATGTGGACAACCTCATGGCGATCCACAAACTCGTGCAGAAGATGCTATAGTCGGGGGTAGGGGCGGTTTTCTCGGTGGGGGGTGTTTCGATCTCGTTTGGCGCTCGCTTCTACAACTCGCTTGGGGAGGGGGGAGAATCTTGGGCAAAATGGGCACTGGGGGCTGTCGACGTTTGTACATGCGTGCCGCATGTCCGTCGTTTTAATTGCACTCGACGTGTCATAACAATGACGCGTACGGACATGCATGTTGCACATGTTCGACGTTGTAATTGCACTCGACGTATCATTACAATGGCGCGTGTTGCAACGTGCATGTTAAAACGTGTCGCCATTTGGTGTTTTGGTTCTCAGTCTTGAGGTTTGCTTTTTAACTGAGCTCTCGTGAAAAGGTATGACGCGATTTGGCCGCTTGAGCGTTTCTTCATTTGCAAAAGATGCGCTCGTGAAAAAGTGGGGTTTTTTTTGGGCACATGCACTGGTAAGGGTGGAATGGTTTAATAATTGGGTTAGTTATTGGAGCTTTTGGTAATTTTTATTGTTTTAATTTTTTTTTTACTTTTTAATCGAAGTTTCGATTAATTAATCGCTGCTTTTGGTGTATTTTCCGGGTCGCATGTTTCGGTATGCTTACACCGGAACACGCCAAACATGTATTCTACCATGTATTTATTTATTTATAACCATCCATTCTTATATTCGGCTTTACTGCAACAAACAATACTAACGTTTTATATGATTCCATGACTTCGGTTATGAAATATTACACTGGTGTGGAAAAATAAAAAATAAAATAGTAATGAAATAATAATAAGAGAAGTAAAAAGAAAATATTTAAGAAACATATTAGTAATGAACATTAAAAGGCTCTCAATACAAAAACACGTGGTTTGTTTAAGTTTTGTGTCAGGAAAATTAATTGTTTTAATTTTACTAACAAGTATTAAGTTCTGTGAATTGAAAATGAAAATGTTTTATTACAGGCAAATAATAAAACAGTTATGACAAATAAATATAAAACAAATGCAAAGTATTTTGTTGGATTGAACCATTCAGAATAAAAATGATTTCTATTAGTTTCCTTAATAGGCAAGCCTGTATCGAGGAAACTGAGATACCAAATGACATAATTGAGGCAAATTATGTTTTTACATAATTTGCCTCAATTATTTATCACTTCTTCATCGGCGAAGTATAACATAGTGAGGAGACCTGCAATTTTCGAAATAATAACAGAAAAATATATTCCGAAGATATTTCGAAGCCTGATATTCGGTTGCCTTCTATACTATTACCGCATAATACCCTGTGTATAAAGGACATAGGCTGTTACTTTTATGATACAAACGAAACTTTTGCTTTCATTTAATATTGAACTACAAGTGAAACCAACGGAAGTACAAGCAATGATTATTTTATACCTCACTATTTTTCGACATTTACGCGAATAACTTTCTCATTCCACGAACTGCACTCAGCCAGCTGAAACTGTTTTAAGGATTTTACCCCGTTTATTATAATTTAATTTTGAATCCAACTGTTTAGATCTTGAAGCCGAGTTTTATTTTACGACGGTACTTATGTCCGTTTTCACTTTACTTTAAGGGACACCTAAAAAAATTTACTATCACCTAAAGTCTTCAAGCGTGACATTTAAGCGGTGATGAAAACGGAATTAGTATTAATCCTTAAAATGCATTCATTTGGCGAAATATATTCGCTTTTTATTTTTCATCGAGAAATCACCGTTCATCAGTTATCATTACGCAATTTCCATTTGGGTACTTCTCTATCACAATAATCGTCGACACATTCTACAGTTAAGCATTCCTCTTTCCTATCTATGGCTTTTGGTTTCGATTTTCTATTTGGTTTATTTGGAATCCGATAATAAAACATTACATGCCTTTAATTTTTAACGTTTCATATTTTGCGTAGAGACGGTAACTGGGGGCATCTTTTAAGCGATTAATTTTGGCACTATGAGTAAAAGCTACCATCTTCGTCAAAATTGAGTTGTAATGATCTTAGATATGTTCTTTACATCTTTGGTGGGCTATTACTGTCTTTTGTGCACTTCGCAAAGCTAAAAGAGCTGCAAAAGCGTACTGAATAGACCTGCCTGAGATATGGTTAAATAGACCCCGTATTTGACATTTGAAATTTGATGAACAACGTACATTTTCATTGCTGATATTATACTAAGAAGTTCTATAAGCGAGGGTTCTTTGGAGAAAGCCTTGGTGGAAAGTTGACCCTCTTTGGGTTTATATTACCTTACTTTAAAAAAATCGTCCGCATGCATGTTAACAATCGTTTAAGCGTTCATCCCGCCAAATGATATCGTGCAATGGGTTCGATCCCCATACAGGACGAAAATTGTTTCTCTTGTGTCCACGATCCATGATTGCAAACAAAAATATAATCAAATAATAACCGTAAAGATGTTAAATTTTTAATGATCTTGTATTACCTGATGTTTTTTCTTTCAGTCCCGAGACTATTAAAGCTTCATCTGACACAGAACTGGTATAGGATAGCCAAAACCCACGGGTTTGGGCTTTTTAATTATGTTATGGGGAATAAAGGGTTAAAGATGGTGTTATGTGGAATAAAGGGTTAAAGGTTAAATATGGTAAAAAAAAAACCTTTTTGAGTGACATGCAAAGTAGCTGCGGATTACGTAATTCGAAAGCGCTAGAAGCTAAGTCCATTCCAGTTGCGACCGACGGGACATCTATTGACCTCCACTTTGGCTTTGCGCAGCTGACCGTGATGCGGCAGCACGACAAGCTGGAGGCGGTGCTCCGCCACTTCCTCGTCGAGGACCGGGGCGTCGACGGCAGCTCCTCCTACGTGGACTACCTCTGCCACATCCACAAGGAGATCCGCGCCCTGCTATAGCATACGTTACAACCCTAGCCGGCGGCCTCGACGCACCCCGCGCCCCTTCCAACCCCCGCCTCGCCACTGTAGCCAGTTTCGAAATCACGGCGCCTCGGTGTAGATTTCCGACCACTCGGCCGTCCTATGACGTCCATAGACAATCTGCTAGACTAGGGAACGAAATAAAGGACTTGGTGATGTGCATTATCGGTGTCGCGTCTCGCCATTGTAACTAGCTAGTTTCGTAAAGTTTTTAGTTCCGTTCGGACCAGTCGCCCCGAGACGCCCATAGACAATGTGCTAGACTAGGGAACACCATAGAGGACTCAATGGATTATGAGTGTATGCCCACGATTGTTTCGGAAAGTATTTACTCCAGATCCCTCGGCCGTCCCATGGCATCCATAGACAATTTACGTCTCACCATTCTAACTAGCTAGTTTCAAAAAGAAAGGACTTAATCGCTGTGAATTATCTGTCTCGCCTCACCATCGTAACTAGCTTCGAAAAGTTTAAGGCAGCTATGATTTAGCTCTGTCAGACCTGTCCAGAATGTTCATCATCCGTCTGTCGAATTAGGGAATTACCTAAAGTTGAAGACGTTCCATTCTTGTTGCGTAATGTACGTAGCTAGTTTAGAAAATCTACGGGCGTTTTAAATTAAACTCATTACTACCCGATGTCTTTTGTTATGTCTATTTGGTTAACCCATCGTATGTGTCCGCACTGTAACTACCTAGTTTCGAAATGGTTCGGGTAATCGTAATTCAGCCTTTTCAGCCCATATCTATAGTCAATTCGTCAAGTTAGGGAATATCTAAATTGGTCTAAGGTCTTGATAACTTCTCCGTATCGCCATTGTTAGTAACTAGTTTAAAATCTTCTTGGTCCATAGAATCTATATGCGGTATTCAGATTAGGAATTGAATTCGTTGCAAATAGGTGATGATGGTTTTTATGAAATTTAAACGAGATTTCTAAGTCTGCGTTAAGGCCCTTTAGTGTTACTGTTGCGTTATCTTACGATTATATATCCACGTATCCGACTACCATTAATCTCGCTAATGATAGATCAACGTCAGAAAAGAATCCTGAGGAAGCATTGTGCCAAGTCCGAGTATCTTGCTTCAATGTTTTATAGAAGCGACTGTTGATTTAGCGAGTTTGATTTTATAATACTATTCTCACCGTATGCTATGATTCGTCTCCACTTTTCGCGATAACTCTGTTATTAGTCATCGACCTAGTAACGTTCTGAATACAACATTTTGCCGCATAATTTGTACAGTATGTAAAAGAGAATAATGTACGAAACGTGCTGAAGGGCGAAAATCGCTTGCAATATCACTCATAAAACAGTGATCCTTAAGGTTCAATATGACGTTGCCTAGTTTTTAGAAACTCGACCATAACCGAGTGTCATTGTATAAACGTACTCGCGACGTGTTTTATAATAAATTTCAATTGAATCATGTTGTGAATATATTTGAACGTGAACGAATGATTTTCGAGATAATGTTAACATAATTAACTCTTCCGAAACTCGGCGATAGCGAATATAGATAGATTTATACGGATGTCGTTTATCGTAATAAAATGACGCGGTGAATTGTAAATTTTAATTATAATTGTTCAAATGATACTATTCAATCGACATAATTGGTATATCCATACTATGTATATTGTAATAATCCATTTTATCTCGGTGTTGAACGAGTTATTAAAGTTTAATAAAATCTACATACTTATACATTGTTGAAGACAAGTATTTAATGAATGTTATATATTTTTCTGGTCTCGTAGAATAAATGACATTATACTTTTTTTTAGATACGGATAAATATCGTTAAAGTTAGATACGAGGTTATTATTTATAGGTTTATATATACTAACCTCGTATCTGGGAGATGTAAAGGAGTTAAATTGTATAACAGGTCGGTATAATCGAGACTTGTTCAATATCGTAGCTTTGTGGGTTATATCCATATTAAGGTAGTCTTGTCCGTTTGATTAAATCTGTGGTATTTTGAAGGGATGGTTAAAGTGTCTGTAGCGGTTGATTGAATTGGGTTTTGATTAGTTACGTAAAGTTTTACGAAGACTTAGGAAATGAAGGAATTAGGAAAATGTTAAGTAACTTGTTATATACTCCCGCAATTGAAACGTCTCTTTTCCAACTTTAGCAGACAAGGATGGATGTAATCCTTGTCTGCTCTGTAATGCAACGTTATTTCTCTCCCTTTTATATATACAGTATTTCGTTACTTCTCTCTCCAACGCCTCAACAGTTCTTAATTGTGTCTTGTCACGTTATTTTGTCAATTTTTCATGTCGATATTATATCCACTGATCCAACATCACTGGTAGATTTTAATTTGATTTCTGACGATTTCAATATGTCCGTTTTAAAACGTATCAGTATAAATTGTCTACGAAATAACTAGTGCGAGTCTACGTGCGATGTTCACTTTACCATTTATTGTTAGCATAGACACATGTACTTTTTATAATCTACGTTAAGACTTGATTGTAATGGAGTGTAAATAAAAACATATTCGCATTATTATTTTATCCTTCTCTTTCATTCGTGTGATCTCTTTTCAGCACGTCGAAGCGCTTTCTGAAAATAATATCTGACGTTTTGTGTAACTCGCAAAGCATGGAAAGGAAATGGCAGTAATGGAAAGGGTCTATTATAATTTCTAAGAATACGTTGTGATGGATATGGGGAAATGACTCTTGCTCTACACTTGCAAGTCCCCTGGCTGCTGCTGATTTTATAACTAAGAAATTTTGTATATGTATATAACAAAAAAAAATCTCAGAAATCCTTGCCCGTTTTTCTCTGGACAGGTCAAGTTTAGTGAATAAAAAAGGTCAACTTGAACGCTTTAAGCATAACTTAACTGATGATTTTAAAAAAGCCACTTTATAAACTTCTTTTCTCATTGAAATTATATAGTTAAAGAAAAGGTATCGTAAAGTAAGTTTTTGTCGCTACGGGAATCGAACACACGTCAGACTCACGTTTCAACCGTGGTTGGGTCACGCAACAGTTTTCGCGAATGGGCAGGTCCGGGAAATTACCACAACCTCACAGTAGACCGGCGTGAAGTAGAAGTATATAATATTTCTGCCTTTCCTCTGCTGAGTACGGTAGCCGGGGCCAACTTTATTAAAAGGTGGCAACGCATATGTAAATTGTAACCCTACGGGAGTTGCAAATGTCCATGAGCGGCGGTTATGACAGCCTCAGGTGAACCGCCTGCTAGCTTGCCACCTACTTACAAAAAAAAACCTTAGAATTACCAGACGAAATGAAATAGAAATAATAATAAGGCGCTTGCTTCGTCTGACACCGTTATCTTTAACAAAATCGACGAACACCGTGATGCCCTGAACGTGATTTACATTCCCTGGCTCCTACCACTTTTTTTGTATTAACGATCGTGCCCTAAACACGTAAAACTATTGAGAATGCAACAGCGTTCCTTAATTACTGTTCCCACCAATAATACTGTCCCCCGAACTATCCACCATCATATTGCAAAAGCGTAACAGCAGACTCAGCAGCATATAGACGTATATGAAGTAAATTCGACTAATATTCAACGGTTGTCAACGCATCTGGAACCCTCGGGTGTGGCAGATGTCCATGGGCGGCGGTATTCCCTTAACATGAGGTGAACCGCCAGCTCGCTTGGCAACATCACATTAAAAAAATTTTTTTTTTTTAAATCGATGTTACGTTACCATTATACAATGTAGACTTATTATTACAGGAATTAGTATTATAGTGTGGAACGACGCCACGAATCCATTTAATATTCGATAACGCATTCATGACGTCATCAAAATGCTGCACAAGAACACAGTTATTCACCCTGTTCCCCGTAAATTAACTTTGGGTGGAAATCAAACGACTCGGCGGCAACTTAGCCCGCGCAATTATGAACATGAGGTCTACACATTAAGTAACACATGCTAAAAGCAACCCAACTGCCCGCGTCTAAGGTTTAAAGTCGAGCGTTTCATTAAAACACAGATGCTCTTTTACCTCGAACTAATTGATGTGTACCCAGTCATTGGTTAGAGCACTCAGAAGCGCTAAAAGGGTCGCGGTCCGTAGCGCTATATAGTAATTTAAAACGCTCGTTTCGTGGCCCCGTTTTTCATATTCGACTAGGTATTTATCGTGGGCGGATTTATGGTCAGCCGGCTCACAAATGATCGACTACACGGCTTTCCCTAATCTCGTTTCGCGAGATTCCAAAGCTCCGTGGAAGTCGGGTTTCCGCGAATTGAGAGCTGACTCGTAGCTTGGTTGTGACGCAAAAACAAAAAACGTCTAAGTATAGAAAGTGTTACACAAAATAAACGGGACTTGTTGGGGAATTAGCTAATTTTATAGTTTAGGAAGCATTAGACAGTCACATCGACCATTGATGGTCAACGCAATGGTTCTCTTCCTCTGAAAATACACTTTTAATAGAACGGAAGAAGATTGGGAAATGTTCTCCGTCGTTGTACCATTAGATAATAAAAAATCGCTTCGGATGCGAGAAATGACTGCATCAAAAAGAAGACGTGATCAATAATAATAATTTAACCAGGAAGACTTTTAATCTTTAACGTGAAGGTGAAATCTGAAATGACATAATTAAATCGATTGTTCGTCTTTGAAATAATACTAGTCTTTAGTTCCTTATTTACGAGTATCTCAATGTGAGCCATGGGGTACGGGCGATCCCTTTTAATAGGTTAGAACCTTTATAATAAAATACTTTCGGGTTTCATCTGGTAAGTGAGGTAACTGGGGCTTACTATTTAAAAATTGGGACTACGCATCTGCAACCACTCTGGTGTTGTAGATATTCATGGGTGGCGGTAATGACTTAACATCAGGTGAATCGCTTACTTACTTGCCAACCTTTCCCATAAAATTTTCGAGCAATTCGAGGACAAATACCGTTGCCAACATAAATGAAGTGTTAATTGCAATTATCTGTGATGATTAGTGTTGAAGGAGAACTTCGTGAGGCAACCCACATCACTACATAGTATAAAACAATTCGTCCCGCTGTCTGTCTGCCTGTCCTTATGTATGCTGAGATCTTTAAGACTACGGATCTTGATGCGGTTTTTTTTAACTACATAGAGTGATTCAAGAGGAAGGTTTATCTGTATAATACATTGCACCCGTGCGGAATCGGGGTGGGTCGCTAGTATTGAATATAATAATATAATAAAAAAACATTATGTAAAAACGATTAGTAAAGCCTGCCATATGTTACCTATCCTTATTAAAATAATATGTACGTATGGAGGAAGCCTTTACCTGGCAGTGGGACGTTACTATTATTTTAATTTAAGCACATTAACTATTATTAAACGAGCAATTCTTGTATATATATATATATATATATATATATATATATATATACATATATATGAAATGATTTTCATGAAATTTAGTATGTGCATAGATTCGGGGGCGAAAAATCGATCTAGCTAGGTTTCGTTTTTAGAAAATGACCTTTTATCCCTGTTTTCAGGGAATGAAAAACATAATTAGAATATGACGGTAAATTTCGCTGCAAGAGAAAATGTCATAATAGCTCGGTCGGTAATCGGGCGGCCCCAAAACAGACGGCCGTGGTTCGCGTCACGATCATTTACACATTTTTTTTAACTTTTTTTTCTAACTTGATATTTGTTTCTCTTCTTTTTAAAGTTCTTTCTTTTGTGAAAAACATCAGTTCATATTTTCTTATTATTACGTCGGTAAGATCGAAAAATATTATGCATATTTCATTACTCAGTAATTTATATCTAAATGTAATTTCCAAAACACACGATTAACCAAACAAAAACAAACCGAGCAAAGCTCGGTCCTCCAGGTACTTAACTATTATATGAGCTAAACCATACGTTTCGGACAACATATTGCATGACACGTAGAAAAAATTAAAAACAAGTAAGTTTGTTTGGGTTCATTAAATTTTTTTCTTTATTGTCAATATAAAATTGTTTTATAAGTTACATAATAATTATAAAAAATGGTACTGTGAATTTATGACAAATGTTATTGTAGTTAAATAGTCGTTGATATTATCTGCGACGGTCGAATGTGGCGAGGTATTTCTTTTCAATTTCCTTTAAACTCAGGAGCGTTGTTGTTTTTTCTGAAACGAAATGATTTGGTTACGACTGTGGAAAAAAATACATTGGGCGAAAACCACAAATCGTACAATTAAATAGATCATATGCTTTACATTTAAATTATGTCGCGATTTCCGTTCATAGAAACTAAAGAAATGTGGTTGCTACGACACAATGCCACGAAGCTGGTACTCATTGTGGCGAAAATCGCGAAATAGCACAATTGTAGTAAGATATCACGTGTATTTATTTTTTCATTAAACGAGCGATCTCTAAACTGAAAAGCGGTGTCACCTTGAATCGCCGTTACATTTTAATCATGGTCCTTAATTTTGAAATAAAAGCTGTATAATGCTTTATACCTGTATGTAAAGATTATATAAGATTCTTTGTAGGTACTCAAAATACACGTTATTTTGGGTGGGGGTGGAGGGGTAGTCTTAAACCTCACCGCGTATCACCTAGGCGGAGGAGGGGGGTTAAAAATGATAAAAAAACATCTGGTGATTAATGCACGGCCCCAAAGATGAAGGATGACTACTTGGCGCATTTGACAAGGTATGGGATCCGGCTTCGGGGTTATAGATTCGATTTCCAAACGAGACAACTATTTGTGCCACCCGCAGAAAGCTCTTTCGGATCAGGATTATATTATCAAACAGTAAGGGGGCAATGTTTCCGAAGGGAAAACTACAATAGATCATTCTGTGTTGCTGTGGTCGTTGGGACTCATTACCCTTCTGCACAAAATACAAAAGTACGCCAAAGTCTCGGCACAAATGTTTTCCATGAAGGCTCAAGCGAAAACAGCTCTTAATAGGGCGAATGAAAACAGTTAGTGATTATTTATTAACTCGAGCAGTTGAAAATATAGGTTTGATTATGATACATCGTAATAATACTGTATCTAGTCCATAGCTAACGCACGCGTGAGCACATGCGTGGCCCTACCAACTGTGGAGGGCCTCAAACCCGTGGGTTCTGGCCAGCCCACCGGTTCTGCGTTCGATGAAGCTTTAATAGTCTTAATAGTCTCGGGACTGAAAACGTTAACATCAGTTAAAAAAACTGTTTCTATTTACGCGAATATTACGCGTAGCAGATGAAATATACTTTTTCGACGGCTATCTTTTTATACTTTCGAGTCTTCTTTTAACGTGAGAAGGCGGCAAGCGAATTGACGGTTCACAACTACAACAGTTGTCAACAGACCGTTTGTACAACAGGAGACTGCTGCGTGGCCCTACCACAGCGTTCGTGGTGAAGGGACGTCACTAAGTTATCGTTCTCACATAAAAACGCGCGATATAATACGTAGCCATTGTTTAATGTGATGCCAATTCATTGATCACCTTGATGATGATCTTCACGCCGGGGTAGTTTCCGTCACCAGACTTGATCTGTTCTCTGAGGCATTTACCCTGGTATACTTCCACCATGCAGACAGCGATGTGCAGGAAGACGAGGAGGAATTCGTTGATGTACGCCATGCTGACTGAAATTGCGAGGCTTGTTATTCTATAGATATAATCTGTTACATTGAGAGATTTTGACCGTGTTGGGGACACTCGACAGCGTTTGCCGTTGCACGAATGGGCAGGCCCGTCCGGGTCTGTGCCACGATCTCAAAGAAGACCGGTGTGAAGTGGAAGTATTTCACTTCCGCGTTTCGTCTGGTGAATGTTGTAACACAGACTTACTGTTTTAAAGGTTGACAACTCATCTGCAACGTTTCACGTCGTGTGGATGTACACGAGTGGTTATTACTTTGATTGTGGTAGGACCACGCAGCAGGGTAAGTATCACGACCTCACAGAAGACCGGCTCGAGGTGCAAGTGTTAGGGTGGTGTTACGAGTTAGCCGGGGCCCACTTCATTACAAGGTGGCAACGCATCTGCAACCCTAGGTGTTGTGTAAGGTGTTGCATATGTCAATGAGCGATGGTTATCACTTAACAATAGGTGAACCGCCTGCCCGTTTGCCACCTTCTCACATAAAAAAATAACATCAGGTGTCACATCTGCTGGCTTGCCAATTTATTCCGATAAACGAGAGGTCTGCCTCTGGACCACGACGAGTAGAATGATTCTTCATCTGCACCTCCCGCTACTAGTTATAACTAGTTTTATGTACTTTTCTAGTATAGTATTGTGTAGTTAAGCTCAATAAATATAAATTTATTAGAGACAAAAAAGTACATTTGGTTGTTCTTTTGGTTCTTTTTGTTGCACTATATAGTGTCTGGCAATGTATAACGTGATTTTTAATAATATTCTGAAGGTATAGCAAAAAAATCGCACTTTATTATTTGATGAAAGTAGATCGGTATTTTACACACCTTTAGTACCGTTTACCTCCCAAAGCCCAGGTAACCCAAACTCCATAATGGTCCATCGTTCTTACCTGTTTTGAGAGCATGCGCTTTCAAACTTTCAGCTTTTTTATAAAATGAGGAAGGTCTGGCCTTCAGGGGCCTTGCTCTACAACTCCTTGATAAGTTAGTCCCTTTTTTATATTTTTTGTTTGTTAAGTTGCCTATCACTTAGCATGCTAATAAAGCCTTGTTGGTACATTAAATACGAAAAATACTATTATACTTACATGGAAAACAGGTTTGATCGATATGTTCAATGTTTCTTAATGGGTGATACGTGTCAGATTTGATTTCATCAGTTTCACTTACTCCATGCCGCCATTTACGACGCCATAGGCCTGCAAACGAATCACATCGATTTGTGTCGATCCACCACAAGCACACAAATTTAACACTAATCTTAATCTACAAGTCTTTGCTTACAATGAAATACGTTAAATAGAACGGTGGATTTTGACCCAAACCAATATCTCTCGTTATCGGGACAGGAAGCTAACGGCGGAAATGAGACAAAATTCAATCACTCATTGGTTTATTTCAAACAGCGTTTAAAAGTTTGAGAAATCAGTGTGTAGTAAAAATCACGTCGCGTGAGAATTACGTTGGACACTACGCCACTTCCATCATCAGCTTTTCTTACACCTCTTGTTTGTGCTACTTTCTATATGGGCCACGTCTGCAAGGCGCTCGCCCGGTGCAGGATATGTTCTTCTTGCAACAGCTGGCGCCGGCGATCAGCACGCAAATTAGGGTCAGCAGCAAAAACAGCCGAGTGGGGTCAAAACGCGCCATCCTATGACACAAGAGAAGCGAATCAAATGGATCAATGATTAGTTTTAGCTCCGATTTAGCTCTAAATTTACAAAAATCGTCGCCTTTAACGACAATATAGACACGAAGGTCAAATACACTTCCATTTTTGTGTCAACGTATAGAATACGTTTAGCGGTTAGGACTCAGATTGTACGGATAGCAAGATTGTAGATGATAGTAGTTGAGAATTTTAAACAGAGTCAAACAGCAGTAATGGTGATATTACAGCAATATTACAGTGATAGTACAGCAAGCCTTGCTGATTATTCGGGCTAAAAACTGAAAGGAGTACAGACCTTGATGGCGCCAATAATTTTTTTTTTAAAAGGCAGAGTAAATTAATTTACAAAGTTGAAAGTTCCAATGATACGGACCGTAGTTAACTGTAATACAGTCTTAAAAGGCGCGGGAAATCCATAACTAAATGATGATATTCAAAGCGAGCTAACTGCTTACTTTCTCTTTTTTGTGAGAATGTGGCAAGCGAGCTTGAGGTTCAAGTGCGCACAAGCAGGTGTAGGTGATTACCGGGACAGACCTGCCCATTCGTGCAATAGCAGACTGTTGCATGGCCCTACCACAGTTAAAACTGTCTTTTGGTAAAACTTGTTTTTCTATCCGATGGCGAGAAACGTCACCATCAGCTATACCGTATACTTATACACCGCGTGGACACTTACTTTTACTCATGGGCGTAGCAACACCGCACTGGGTTTCGATTGAAAAGAATCACGGTAAAGCGAGGCTCGACTGCGCGGGGCTCACTCCCCGCAGGGAGCCGGTTTCTTGCAGGCGATGTAGATCTTGCGCGTGCAAGCGCCGGCGTAGGAGATGAGCGAGAGTAGAGTGGCGAGGAGTAGAAGAAGCGCGTTGCGCACCAGACCCATCGTAGGCTAGCGTTCGGCCATGGCTCTCATGGCACCGACCCTGAAAAGCAACCAGCCTCAGCCACTGCCTCGGGACCAATAGCTACGGAGCAGTTAGCCGCAGCACAGGTCACCTTTTCATAAGAGAAGATATCAAACAAGCAAGAGATTGAAATGATGGTTGGAAACCACCCAGTTGATGAGTGCTTTAGGAGGCTGGGTCGTGATACTTTCCCGACGATAGTACTAGTTTAGCAACAGAATCTACAGTGTAGCCAAACCAAAGTAAACAGAATGTCCATAGTGGTGGAAAGACATACCAATGAAGCGGAAGAGATTGGAAATGTAATTACAAATGCACACAGATATATATTGTTATATATTTATTATCATTTATTATTATATATGCATTTTTTTTTGTTTTGAAAAACCATTGCCATTACAACACAGGATATTATCCTGTGTTGTAAGGACGTTTTACTGACAAAAATTTCACGTGGACAAACACCCAGATGCGATACAACTATTTGTGGGTCACACAAAACCCCGTGTGGAAATCGAACCTACAACCCTCGACGCTGAAGCCAATACGTTAGCTACGCCATGGAGTCATCGAGATTATAGATACATATTTCTGCTGTGGATATATATCATATATACATAGGTATACATATGTTTGCTGTGGTAGGGCCACGAAAATGTCTTCACTGTTCGTTCTGGGAAGTACTACGACTTCACATGACCAACATGATGAAGTAGAAGTATTATACTACTGCGTTTCGTATTAGTGTAGTGAGGTAGCGGGCCCACTTTATTGAAAGGTGGCAACGCATTTGCAACCCTACGGGTGCTGCAAATGTGCAAAAATGCACGGCGGTTATCACTTAACATCAGGTGGACCGCCATAATTAAATTATGTACTCAGGTCCTTAAAATAACCGCAAATAATGCAACTAAAACTTTATTGTATGTAAATACCCATATAGATTTTACAAATATTTCCTTCAAAAATAAACTTATAAACAGTTCACAGTTATAATATAGTCAGTTATTATACAGCTCACGGTAATGGCTAATGGTTTAACTTACACTCGTAATTTGAGTGGCAAGTCGTGTACTCGAAAACTACGCGTGTGATAGTTGACTGTTAGGGGTAAAATTCTCTGGGAATCTTCTTACCTAGATGGAATTAAGAATCTTATAAAATATAAAATGAAACTAGTTTACGGATTTTATCACGTTTTAATTTTGATTTTGTAATTCCCGACGTTTCGAACACTTTCCAGGGTCCATAGTCACGGTACAGATTAATTAGTTTCATTTAATATATATAATATTTTATATATATAATAATATCCCTTAATATGTCGCGTAAAATCAAGAAGTCAATATCTTATAAATTTATAACGATTGTCATAACCGAGAAAGAGTCGAACCTTGCACTTTTGTTTAGATTACATTTCTATAGATAGAGTACATTTCTATCAGCCATAAAATTAACGTTTTTTTTTGTCTTAAAACGTCTCTATCTTTAAAAAGTAATATATTGGTTTGGGTCAAAATTGCAGTAGTGTTAAACGTGGAGTCTGGCAGATATTTTTGATTATCTCTTTGTATATGTAATAAGTATAGATTTTAAATCAAAGAAATGATAGTTTTTCGACAAGCAACAGCCGTTGCAATATTTTTTACAGTAATGCTCTTATTTTCTAACATTAATTTACCTTTTTATATTCATTATCAATAATAGGTATAATTTCAGTTCTATTTTTCCACGCAACTTTGTCGTCAGCGAACACATGTAATTTATTAATTAAATTTAATTCTATTAGAGTTGAATTTTTATCACTTACCTGAATTTTTTTGTATTTTTATTGGAATTTTGGGTTGTTCACTCTGCAATTTATTTATGTGTCAAATGGAATTTAGGTTTTTGAATGTGTTCATTTTTGTTTCGCCAGTGACGGATAAGTATCAAAGAGATTGGTGATTGCGATATAAACTACTTATAGCTATTTAATTTTTTATCTACGACAATTTCCTTCCTTTTTTAAGATATTCATCATACCTAAGGACTAAGTACTATATGTAAGATGGAGTAGAGAATTTATTAAATTATATTGTAGTATTTTTTTTTAGATTGTAAAGGATGGCATCCACAACTATCTATTTAAGGAGGATCTGCGATTACCTAACTCTCGGTGAGTTAGGTAATAGCAGATTGCGATTACCTAACTCACCGAAATCACTCGAATCACTAGCTGAATGAAAACAGAAAGTATAAAAACATCTACAAAAGTTGTTTTTTTTTTAAATATTCCTCAATCGTGTGGACTACTACATAAAACATGTCCCAAAACTCAACGATATGGCAACAGGAACTAGGTAGTTGACAAGTTGATGACAAGGGAAAATAATAAACAAATGCAGACGCTTGTTGACTAGTTGATGAATGAGGATATTAAACATACGCATATACACACTCTTTTTTTTTAATCGTTAGTATCTGTAAAAACGAAATTTAACTCCTTACAAATTATAGTACAAAAATAGGATGAAGTTCATTTTTTCTGCAACAGTTTTAGGGCAACCGGAAGTACCCTATAGTAGTTTACGACAACTACCTATATGGTAGTTGTCGTTGACCTAGAAAAAAGCAAGGTCAAAAACGTAGGAGTTTCTTAATTCGACTGTATTTTTTTTATGTTTGTTACCTCAGAACTTTCGACTCAGTGAAACGATTTTTGATGATTCTTTTTTATTTGAAAGCTGGTGCTTCCCATGTGGTTTCATATTAATTTAATTGGTATTGGAACTTGGGCTCCGGAGATACTTAGGAAATTCCTGAAAATCAGTTATAAAATTAACACAGAGATATTTTAGTTCGGTTTTGTTCTTCGTTAATAACCGTATATTCTGTCTATTGTCAAGCTTTTGACAATAGACAGTATATTCTGTCTGGTGTAAATTTCAACTTGCTAGCCTTCACCCGTTTCTGAGAAAATTGGTGGTGACATACGGACAGACAGATGAAAGAGAGAGTGATCTTATAAGGGTTCCTTTTTACATTTTAAGGTATGGAACCCTAAAAAAGGAAACTGAAATTACTTATTTATTTTAACTAAGTATAATAATACATTTTCATTTTATAAATACATCTTATTTTCGTAGGTTGTGGTTAAATCGAGTTATCGCTCTACCACAAAAATTGAAAGTTATTGTTCTTATACTAGCTTCTAACAGAGATAAGAAAGCTGAGAATAGAAGTTATTTCTTTTACGTTGGTTATTTGTTTTTTTTTCCATTTGCAATATAAGCACTTCAAAGTGTTAACATCGGTAGTGTTGCACCGTACACGTAACAGGTTAAAGGTAAAAATTACACCTTTCAGGAAAAACAAAAAACCTTACGAAACCCTGAAAATAAAGAACTGCAATCTTAAATCGATAGTCACCTGGTCTATAAGGCTATAAAAAAAAGAGAGTAAAGTAACAGCCTATACATGTCCCACTGTTGGGCAAAGGCCTCCTCTATACAGAGGGTATCAGGGCATAGTCCACCACGCGGCCCCACTGCGGATTGGCGGACTTCACATATCTTCGAAATATATTTTTTTTGTTATTATTTCGAAAATATGCAGGTTTCTTCACGATGTTTTCCTTCACCGCGGAGCACGTGATAAGTCTGCACTTAAAGTTAAAAACTTCATTGGTGCCGGCACCGGGGATCGAACTCAGGTTGCTCGAGTATATTGAATTAAATGCTAGCGCCCGGACACTTAGCTATCACGGCTCACTATATAGCTATAAGGCCATAAGGATCATTTAAATGTATACAAGCGTTAATAATAAAAATAAGCGTCAAAGATACCACAAAGCTCACACGTCATTTCATTTATTATTAGTTTAATGTCAGCCCGAAATTCTCCCAGTCGGAGTAATACGTGCCGAAATGCATCATTAGCATCCGTCGTCGACATCTCGTTAAAGTCGTCAGCGGCTCTTAAAAATAATGAGAGACTTCCTACAAAAAACCCAGCGAGAATTAACGAAATAAAATAACGTCGGAAATGGCCGGCGTTACGTGTTTTACGTTCTCTGTGGCGCTAAGAACACGCGTCGACAGGATTTGTCGCATTAAAGAAAAATGTGTCGTAGATTATAATTTTTCAAATTATAAAGAAAATATGTCGTAGATTAAAAATCACATCGTTCAGATTTTATTGTCTTAATGGACAATGAAAATAGCGCCATCTCTGAATAATTCACATAACTATATTAAAGTTCCCAACTAATTATTATAATATTTACTTTTCTCTATTGTTTTAAAGTTTCAATGTTGTTTTTTTTGTGTACTCGTTCCGAAAAATGAACCTTTTTTAATAATTTTATTACTATTTTGACGATTCGAATGGCGTAGTGGGTAGTGTACCTGCCTCCTTAGCCAGAGGGTGTGGATTCGATCCCCACTACATGAAAGATATTGTGTGATGAAGATAGTGGTTTTCTAGTGTCTGGGTGTTTATATATGTATATTATGTATTTATTTATAAAAGAAAAGTATGTTTAAGTATGTTTATCAGTTTTCTAGAACCCATTACAAGCTTTGCTTAGTTTGGGACTAGAGAATGTTGTGTAAAAATGTTTCCTAAAATATTTATAATTCCACACATTGCCATTACTTTACAATCTTAATTAAAATGTTAGGAAAAGAATCAACTTAACAATAAAAAAGTATCAGTATGACCAATATGTATATGCATACATTATAAATTTTTTGGAATGTCCGATTTTGTTGCGACATTATTATGGGCTAGTGCAAATTACAGGATAGGGAACTTAAACACCTTATGAAAGGAATTATCATTTAAGGTAGATGTCTAGGTAGTATAAACTATAAATATAAGCCTATAAATGTCCCACTGCTGGGCAAAGGCTTCCTCTGTACAGAGGGTATCGGCATAGTCCACCACTTGGCCCCACTGCGGATTGGCGGACTTCACATATCTTCGAAATATATATTTGTTTATTATTATTTCGAATATATGCAGGTTTCCTTACGATGTTTTGCTTCACCGCTGAGCACGTGATAATTCAGAACTTGAAATTAACAATTTCATTGGTGTCGGCACCGGGGATCGAACTCAGGTTGCTCGTGTATATTGAATTAAAGGCCAGCGCCCGGACATTGAGCTATCACGGCTATTCCATTGCTATATTAAAGCAAAAAGCACTATTACCCTATAGAATAAAACAATAAATAACACAAAACATCAGTGAAACGAAATAATAAACGATATATTTATAAGACTCATCCCTGCCCTTGACGTCGTAATAATTTGGCACAAGTTTTCATTCCAGAATTCCAGTGAAGTGTCGTTCACGGATATTTCCTTCCTTTTCGGATTTCTTAATTCTAATCAGGTACTTGCATCGATACTTTTGAAATTATGTGTCAGCTCATCTGATAAAATACTTCTCTACATAGAAACGGTTATTTATATCTAAAATCTTTGGATCAATGAAGATTTATTTCGTGTTCTTGAGTACACGTCTTAAAGAAGCAAAATAAGATATTAACACATAATAAATTAATATGCAGCAGAAAAAAGCGTACATTTTATTACTTTTTATTGAAACTATTTGAGACCTATATAATATCTTCCCAATACTATAATCTAACTTAAATCTGCCGAAACAATTGTAAGGCCGCTCGGTACAAGATTTCTAAGAACTTTTTCAAAAGATAACCATTTTCAAAAACTCCTGTTTACACTTGTATTTTGCGCCACTGTGTGTCTGCGGTCCTTGACCGATAAAGGGCTAACGAGTTTTAACAGAAATCAGATTTTTTGCAAACAGTTTAAAAATAGATAAGAACGCACTACGCTGAGTAAACGTAGGTTTGTCGTAAATAGTTTAAAAATAAACGCATGCGCTGAGTAAAATCCCTTATCTCGAGAGAGTAGTCATTTAGTAAAAATGTTTGAAGGCGATTTTGACTGTCCCATCGGAATTGATTTTTTTTTAAATTTAAATCGTCCAAATTGTGAAATTTAATTGATTGTGGTAAAATAAAGGTAAGATGGAGCAACATGTGAGTGTGGTGGCCATCGAAGACATTCATATCGCAGCTCCTCTTGTTTAACAAGTGTCCATCAGAAAGCGTGAGGTCTAGCGTTATCCTGAAGCAGCGGTGGGCTAGCTAATAGCAAGCTTTTCCATCATGGTTTGCAAGTGTTTAAAAACACTTCAGGCCCGCCCGGGTACGTACCACGACCTCACAGAAGACCAGCGTAAAGTGGAAGTATGGCATATACAATACTTTCGCGTTTCGTCTGGTGAGTGAGGTGGCCGGAGCCCAATTTTTCAAAAGGTTGTCAACGCATCTGTAATCCTCGGGTGTGGCAGATGTCCATGGGCGGCGGTATTCACTTAACATCAAGTGAACCACCTGCTCGCTTGGAATCTTTTCGCATAAAAACACAGATCAGCCGCAATCGTCAAGCCAGATCTTAAGAAGCTGTTGTGGACTAGCACTTATCCACCAAACACCCTCAATAACCTCACCAGTACCTGAGTATTGTGACGGTTGAGTAATGTAACGCAGCCTATATGTGTCTTTGTTTGTGTGCTTAACTCATGCGGTACCATCACGCTTTTAATTCTTCGCTGTTAACTAGATTCTCCGTTCGCCCACGGTGTTTGTTCCGATGGAACTAAAAACTTAACGTGTTTTCTTTAACAGTACCTTTCCCATACACAATACTAATCTTTTGAGTGTCTGCAGCGTTGATGCCATGGTGGAACTTGTTTCGTAAGACCGATGTAAATGAAAAATGAAATGGCTTGAAAACAAACGAATCGCTAAATTCGAAACGCAGATACAAGCCTAAATTTAAATTCTTTTGGAATTCCTATCCAAACGCCAGATATTTAAGATCGAGGTGGCTAGTTCGACAGAACGCCAATTTCATAATATGTATAAATCTAATAATAAAAAATATTTTTAATCATATTAATAATCAAAGCAATATCAATTTGAACGTTGATAGGCCTTCAGGCCTTTATGCATCGTGCTCTTGGCCGTTGACCAGATCGCGGTGTAATTATAGAATAACGTTATCTAACAATTACTTCATTACTATTTACGAACGGAAACAATTTTCGAACGCCGCGCGCACGCCGCGCAAAATTGTTGCGAACGAACGAAATTATAACGTTGCATTTTCGCGGCATTTTTCGTCCCGCGCTAGGGCGCCGCCGTCTATCGATAGTTTTGATATCGACGTGTGTTATTAATGCTTACACGATACTTCGGTCCAATTAATATATTGAGAATATTCTTTGACCTTTGTTATATTAAAAAACAATGTAGTTAAAATACGTTGAGATTTATATTTCAATATATATATATTTTTTTTAATCTTATTTATATCTTACACAAGCAAAATATTTCATTGCCAAATTTGCGTGATTGTCAAATCAGTATTTTAGCGTAGCGGTTAAAGCGTCTTGGCGACATTCCGGAAGTCGGATTCGATTCCCGTGGTGGTGAAAAATTTTTCTCCGTATTTACTGTGAGAGTGACAAGGGTATATCAAAATAAAAAAAATGCACAGACACGCAGTCGGGTGTTTCAGTTTTTTTTAAATGTTATTTAAATTGTTATGTTCTACTTGTATTCCAATGAAGTTTACAATGTTAATGGACGATGTAGAGAGTCTATATTATTAATTTTGATTTAAGAAGTCTTATTTTTTTTTAAAGAATTTCCTGTAGGATTACTTTGGTATAATTCTATGATATAGTTAAACAGTAAAAAAATTAAAGTTAAATAGTGTGTAATCTAAATTTCGTTCAGCACTGAGATTTGAATTCCGGTTGCGCGAGTATACTGAATTAAAAGCGGGCGGTACTGAAATTTTAGTAAATGTTTCAGGAATACACGCAGAAGGCTATTTGATTATGTCATCAATTAAAATGAACACCACGCTAATAAGCGTCGCGGCCGTTTCTAAATAACTCGCACGCGACGGATTTAGCCTCGCCGCGCCATCGGAATTGTTGCGGAAGGAATTATATCGATAAATTTAGGACGACGCACGCCACTACGGCGTTGCCGAGAGTTTCCACCATTAAAAATAATCCCGCCGAGATATCCACACGATTCAAGCGTGCACGACCCGCGTCCAATTTGTAATTGTTCGGAAGGCGCGCGTTTCCCGCGCATTCGGTGTCGCGCCATTCTTCGTACGCGCTTTTGACATTACTTGGCGTGGTGAGTGCGTTCGTATTTTGGTTCGGTTTCCCCGTATTAGCCAGTTGTAGTTCGGGACTTAATAAGGCGGGTAACGTGGCGGCGGTCAAATCAGCTGGCCAGAAGCACCTTCTCCGTTGCAGCGTAACCGTTGAGTCCGCCTGAACGTGTATCATATCGTGAACAGCTGATGACGCGTTGTGATCAAATGCCTGTGCTTTTCCTGTGCGGCCACTGAGTTGAATCGAGCGCGATAGACCGGTCTCCTGGTCGTATCGCAGTCCGGCAGTTTTGGCGGGAAATCGCCACGAAATTAGGACGCGTAAATGTTGACAGCTGTGTAAATAAAGGTGAGAAACTAGTTTCATTTATTACCGGCTTTTATAAGCTTTTTCGTGCGGCATTTGCTTTTTCGAATTGAAAATATTTATATAGAATATCTTTAGATATTATAAATATCTGTAGAATATATATAGATTATCTTTATGTCATAAATAGTAGCATATTTAGCAAGTGAAGTGTCTACTTTAAACACTAAGCATACAACAACATTGCTTAATAAATATCCCTAGCAGTACTATAGATATATTTTTATATATTGCTCTTTAACTAATTATTAAAAGTAATATTTTATCCTTATCAAAGTATCATTCCTTATAGATTGTTTTATGATAAATTGAAAGTAATTTTAATTAAAATTATTATTATCAGGTCTCCGCATTCAAGATACAATTGGAATGTGAATTTTTAATAAAAAAAATTGTCGAAAATTTTCGGCGCTGCAGAATTAGAATCTGCGTCTTACGGTTTACTAAACGCTTTAACCAATTGATCTAAGCGGCCGTTTTCGAAAGATGGCCGTTAGTACTATCTAATTTTAAGCAATGCACATTATAAATTGAGAAATTTTTAATATTTTTCTTAAATATTTAAAATTTCTGTTATTTCACTTGTATTTGATCTTTAAGACACTCATTAACGAAAGGAAGCCAGTTACTCCCTTCGAAGTTTTACGTGAGTTTTAGTTGTTTTTACTAAACGCAAATAAAACGGAAATCATTATTCAAGCAATTTTCTTTCGGTTCCATTTTGGAGATTATTGTCCGAAGAAAATTTTCTTAGGCGACGGTATCGTCGTTGATGGAGATCTGACAGATCTGTCTTCAGTTGAGATTAATGTCCAAAAGTGACGTAGCCGTTATCAAGCATCGCTTACGGTTTGTTATCAATTCTTCTTCTACCTGGTATTAAGTTCGGATATTGCCAGGGTCTGCCTTTCTACTCAAACTCCCCCACTTTGCCCGATCTTCAACACCCTCAGATATCGTTCGTCACGGTTTGATATCAATTTTATCACATTCGTGAGCTAAAACCTTCTGCTGACCAAAATCATTATGAATAACCAATATCAATTTTACTAAGTGCTACTGAGTTTATAATAACATACATGAGTGTGGAACAAAAGTTATATTAACGCTTCATTTCGAGTCATGGGTCCATTCTTACTTAGAAGAAAATTTTGTATGACCTAAATGCAATTAATTAACTAAATGTAAATTCCTTCGACAACATAACATATATAACGTTTTTCTGACGTTTTCCATTGTTCATTCCTCTCAACAATAATTTGCCTATTTTAAAATTCTTGCTTTATTACAGTGTATGGATGTAGTACTTTAGATAAACGTTATGTGACGTATGAATAATTTTCAACAAAAAAAGAACCGAATTCAAACAGGAAACTAAAAATATTGTCAACAACTATAACACTTGAGCATTGCCCTCTGGGATGCCATCATCAGATCCGGGTTTCCTTATCGTGGGATATCTCCTTTCCAACAAAAAGAATCATGAAAATCGCTTCATAAATGACGAAATTATCCGCGAACACACATAAAAAAAAAAACAGATAAACCTCCTCTTTTTGAAGTCGGTTAAAATATATATCCGATCGAATTGAGAAGCCTCCTTCTTTTTTGAAGTGGGTTAATTAAAACAGGCATAAAACTCCGTCCCCTCCGCCCTATATCACTTTTCATTCATCGCGACCTATCTTTTATAGGTCATTAAATATGATTTAGAAATAATTCTCATCAAAGCGCCCTCGTTCTCTCTGATGAGACGTCATTTAGTGACATAAATTCTTACGCTTTCATTTGATAGAGGAAATTTTTCCCGTTGGAGAATTGAATGACGAACGTTCGGACATAAATTACACGAAACTTTTATACCATTACGCCGTTTAAAATTACGGAGGTGGTGGAAGAAAATTACGAAAACTGCTACAGAGAATCACTATGTTATATCTCAAGTAGTAGATAGTAATACCGCAACAGTACAGGATGTTGGGGATTATAGTTCAATGTGCATAGTTGCTAAACTCTGGCTGTGGCGACGTGGGAGGTGGCATTCCAGTACCAGCCCGGAAAAGTATTAATATGAATTCAAATCAATATATAATAACTGAGTTTTACCCTGTGCGTGACAGTCGACAATTCTGCAAAACGTATTTCTTCAGTAGACATGGAGTTTTTAAACTTTATTTTTATAACAATACTAGAATTTCTAATCTTTTTTGTGCTGCCCTAACTTCGCCTAATTGGGGCTGGCGCAATATGTGAATCATGTTATTTATGGCATTGACTAGGTTATTACCACCTTTCATATGCAAAACATATGCTTTCCACAACATGTAATTTTTGTAATAATATAACTTTATTATCCGTTTAAATTGATTAGACCGAATTAAAAATATCAATTAATGAAATAAACACGTAAACATAAAAATAGTATAAGTGAATTTATTTGGTCATATCATCCAATGATGTCTATATCATTATACTCTGCTATAACACACATAGCGTATAGTGTAGGTTAATTGCTTTCGATCGAACAGTAACTATATTTCGAATATCACCGTTGCGATATTAGGGGTGGCCCGTAACCCAGTTAGATGCCAGCGTGGCCTGTGCAGGTCGGCGAACCTGACCACGTCAATGCGGGTCAGAGCAGATGATGGGTCATTGTTCCGGTCATGTTTGCGGCCATGATTATTTAAGTCAAGGCTTATTTTAAGCTCTTATTGAACGTCAAACTACCACCACGGTTCACTAATCTAGACCTGCAAGAGAAGAACCGGCAAGAAACCCTGTGGTCATATTATAATTTTCTTTTTCTTGTTTTTTGTATAAATTATTTAATTATACAAATAATTTTTTAATTACAAAAGTATTTAATAACAAAAGTTTTAAGTACAAATTTAGCAGGAGCCAGGGGATTGCAAGTGCAGAGCAAGATTGAAATTTTCAGCTTGCTCATCTTCTTAGCTATGTCGATTAAGAGGCGACCCCCCACTACATGGAGTAACGACCTGTGCCAATGTGCGGGAAGTCGATGGATGCAGGTGGCTCAGGATCATACTTCGTGGGAGTCTATGGGGAGGTCTATGTTCAGCAGTGGACTCAAACATGCTGAAATGATGATGTCGATGAGTCCTGTGGCTATGATCAGACAAAAGATAGGGTCCAGTGGAGGAAAGGGATGCCTTTCTTGATACCTTCCAATAGAGCTTGGTTCGTCAGGCTTGTCGAAAGTTGAAGCAAGCGGCATGAAAGTGAATGCTTGTTCATCTGGCGTAGTTTATATATGTTCTCGATGCGGGCGATCTTGTCGGTCCAGAAATAGACTGCTTCCTCGCGAAAGAGAGTGTCCTCAATCACTCAGTATATGAATCATCTGTCAGTGATGTAAGTGCCTCTTGCTCCATTGGGTGTGGGTTCGAACCCCACTACTGGAAGAATATTGTGTGATGAACATAGTGTTTTTTTAGTGTGTAGGTGTTTATATGTGTATAATATGTATTTATTTACATAATAAAAGTATGTTTAAGTAGTATCAGTTATCTAGTAACTATAGTACAAGTGTCGCTTCGTTTGGGACTAGAGAACGATGTGTAAAAGTGTTTCCTAAAAATGATCACTGGAAACCCCAGGTTCTTATTCTACGGGCGTGCGCCAGTGCGATTGACATTTTTCGGAATTCTTACATACAAACTTCGATCGATGAGTCGGTGGCGCCGTTGCTAAGCTATCGGCGTCGGGAGTCGTGGGTTCGATTCCCACACGGGACAACTATTTGTGCGACCCACGTATAGTTGTTTTTCATTTGGGTGTTTGTCCGCGTGAAATTTATGTTTGTAAAACGTCCTTACAACACAGGATAATGTTATCCTAAAGCCTCACTTTATGTGTTTTTATAATGTATGCAATGAATTTTTTTTTTCTTAAAGAAAAGGCACATCACCATTCTCTTCTTATGCGTAGTCTCTGGTGAGAGAGACCTTTTGCTTTAAATGAGTTTTAGCATATAAATGTAAACTATCTTGTAACGGTTAGGGGAATTAAGCTAAAAGCGAAATTGTTCTTAACATAAAATTATAGTACTTTTAATTAAAAGTTCTATAACTTTAAAATTTATAGAAAAAGTACGAAAAGATTTTCGCCTTAGTCTCGGTCTCTTTCACATATGATTTTTTTTTAAATATCTAACACCTATAGTACAAGCTTTACTTAGTTCGGGACTAATATGAAAAGTTTGCGAAAAACACATCAATTGCAATTGATAACTATTTAATTAAATAACTTGTACTTAAATGTAAACTAGCGGCCCGACCCGGCTTCGCATGTGTGCGATGTATTATACATACAAACCTTCCTCTTGAACCACTCTATTTAGTAAAAAAACGCATCCGTTGCGTGGTTTTAAAGATCTTAGCATACATAGGGACAGACAGACAGCGGGACGACTTTGTTTTATATTATGTAGTGATGTCAAAACTATGTTACTGTTTGCCATGGTGATACCTTGAATTTCGTCGAAGTTAGTCGTCTTGCAATTAACATCATGTTCCGTTTGGACTGTCGTTGTGCGCACGCATCGTAAAAATTTTCCCCTCACATATGTTTTTCCAAACGCGCCAAAAGGAATATTTCTAATATATAAAATTCTCGTGTCATTTTGTGTGCATATCGACCAGGGTGGAGAATCGGACGACATCTATTTTTCATCCCCCTAAATGTTAAGGGTGGTCCACCCTTAACAGTTTTTTCTACCCTACAAATTCCCTAGCAATAATTTATACGGCAGAACAACGTTTGCCGGGAGAGCTAGTAACTACAATAATAATTCTACTGTACGCCGGTCTTCTGTGAAGCGTCCATGCTACAAAGCGATGACGTCTCTAGAATTTTTAGTATGCAAACTGAAAATTACTTTAGTCTTATTTCAGTCCAGTCAAATTCTTCCTAGCTCTTTTTAATAAAACAAATAAGCTCTGTTCTGTTTATGTTAGTGATGTTCAAACACGCAT